ACAGTTAATGTAAACCAGAAGCTTCGGAAAAGTTAACTAGGAATACCAAAACTGGCACCCTCCTACGCATGATTATGGAACAAGCATATAGAAAGAGATGAGTAAGTGGAACAAAATCACATACCCCACGTCCATTGTCTGCAACGCTGACAGAACCATCTGCATGTAAAACAACATCGACCTTGGAAGCAAAACCAGCTTGAGCCTCGTCGATTGCGTTGTCAAGTATCTCATAAACCTATAAAAACAACATGAATTGTAAAAGATAATATTAGAACAAAGTGAAAGGAGACAGCAAGGACCAAGAGAGTTGAAACACAAAAACGCATTTACCAAATGGTGCAAACCACGAGACCCAGTGCTACCAATATACATTCCAGGTCTTTTCCTGACAGGGTCTAAGCCTTCCAACACCTAATGCATCATAGAGAATTTATCATACAGATCATCTGAAGAAAGTAAGAACGAGAAACAGAGCAATGAAGGGATTTACTTGAATGTGCTCGGAACTGTAATCTTTAGAGGTGGAGCTCTCTTGGAGAGCGTCAGTGTCCATGGTCGATGACATAAAGGATCTTGGTGAGACCGCATTTCTAAGTACAAGTCTTTGACTCAAAACCTTGGCTAGCTGAAACTTTATCCTGAAAGTAGTAACGAAAGGAGAATTTTTTTAATTGCCAAGTGAAGAATGGTTACAAAAACAAGTTTTGCTTTAAACAGTGGAAGAGAATCATTAAGCCGAATTTTCCACTACATCAATTAGAACCGAGAAAGCATACATACATCAAAAATAATACTTTCTGAGCTAAACGTAACCAAAGCCTTGAAAGTATCCAACTACGCAAAACTTATTTGAGGACTGAATTATAGGCTTATAGCAATTGACTTCACTTCAAAGAGTATAACATAAATTCACGATTTTGGGTTTCTTGGAAACTTTCAGGAATCGCGGAAATGCATAAATTCTGAGCATCGGAAGCAACTTGTTAGTTTCCCTGGAAACCCAAAACGGAAAAAAAGTGAAAGAGGACATGAGCTAATACCTGGGTGTTGAAGAGAAGGAGAGAGACGAGGAGTGACGGTGAAGTGAAGGATATAGAGAGTGAGACATGAGACGAGGACGAGAAGCCATTAGACGAAAATAGAGGTGAAGATAAGGGCTTGGTCTCTGAAGAAGAGCCATGGACGAGAGTGATGTAGACAGCAAATGTTTTCTTCTGCTTCAAACAAATTTCTCCGGGTCTTCATATCGGGTCGGGGTTTACTCGAATACCGCCCGACCCGGAACCGGAACCGGATCCGGACCCAGCTCAAAGTTTTTTGGGATGCCTTCAACATTTTGCTATAATCCAAAAAACAAAATTTATTTTGTTATCAACAATTTCTGTTTATGAAGTACTATATATGATTATGAATTTCAGTTCTTGTATGCTCAATATTTTATATGAAATTTGTATATATTGACATATTTAGAGAAATTAAACTTCAACCGAAATTAACTCGATTCTTTTTTTGTTCCATTGAAGTTACTGACAAGAGAAAGTGTCTTCAAACACAACAAAACACAACAATGGTTGTGCTTAAAAAAAAAAACACAAGCATCTAACACAAAGCGATGTATATGAGTATAATATATATGTTTATAAGTTAGATACAAAAATGATTAAGAAAAAAAATCTTAATCTCTATGTCATCATCATCAGTTCCTAGTTAAGAGCCATTAGATAGAAAAACAAAACAAAGATCACGAGAAGTCAGTCTCTTGAGCTCATCTAAACCTGCGTTTAGTCTCTCCATAAGCAACAACCCCGAGCACCGTTATACTGTACCCGCCGATTCCCATCACCGTGACCGGGTTTCGGAACAGCAGGATCGATATCACAACCGCAACAGCTCCTTTAGCGTTCCCAAGAACCTGCAAAATAAAAGGTGATAATACACAATACTCAACAGTCAACATACAATTTAAAGAACAAAATGTTTCAAAGAAGGTTCAGATTTTTACCTGGAGGGTAAGCGCGCTTGTGTGCTTGGTGACAAGAAAGTTCAACAAATTGGCAGAATAAGCCATGACAGAGTTAACGAGGAGAAGTAACCACATGTACTTATGTTGTTTTCCGAGAGATAGCGTCACACTCATCACATCTGGTTCCATAACAATTGTGACTGGAAGAAGAGCTATGACGGCTATTGGAGACATGTACAGCATCAAATTCATCGAGTTCAACTTTTCTCTGCAAGACAACTCAACAAATTGTTAGAGCCTTATGAAAATAAATGCAAAAACAAAAGCAATGATTTTGATTACGGATTTACCCATCGGAAGAAAGAAGGATGCCTTGGAGAACAGATTTGAAAGCTCTTGCTGCAGTAGCACTAATGCACATAATGAATCCAAACCAGTGAAAACCTGGCTCACCCTGTGATACAGATCATAGATCATTCATAAAGATTATACAGAAATCTCAAAATCAGCTCATGTTTATCGACTAACAAACCAAATAACTCAAAACAAAAGATCTGAAATTGTGCTTAATAGACTTATTTTGTCTATCGTTTCATAGTTGAATTTGTATATTTCACATTCATGAAACAAAGCAAATCTTTTTGGATTCCAGACACGTACGTGGAACACAAACAATCATCTTTAGACTTTAATGCTCTATCCTAACAACGGATCCAGAAATCACAATTTGAAACAGAGAAAGAAGAAAGAACACTTTTTCCTTCCGAATCAAACCCAATTACCAGAATTTCGTAACAGAAAACCGCCAAAAACGTTTTCATAAACAAGAGCAAAAAAAAAGCGTACCCCACTGGCGATTACAACGCCGGTAACGACGGGGACGAGAGCGCCGTAAGTGACCCAAGCTTCTCTCTTGAAGGTCATGATATAAGCGAAGAGCGCGGTGAAAAACGGCGTCGTAGCACCGACGGCCTGATTAAACGAGACGGGGAGATAACGGAGAGAGACGTTGCCACCGACGACGGAGGCGCAGAAGACAATGCTGAGGGTGGCGACCTTCATGAACTGAGTGCGAGATTTGAGGTATTGGAGAGGGACGAGCTTGAGGAAGACGATGGAGACGTAGCTGAGGATGGCGCATGCGGACATGTGGCACATTGTGAGGAAAATCGGGAATTTGAAGCCGTAATTGGAGAGGAGGAACTTGTTGAGGAGAAGAACACCGATGTTGGAGGTGTACCAGGAGATGATTAGGGAGGAGATGAAGAGGGTTTGTTTCTTCGAGGAAGACGAAGAAGACGACATGTCTGATTTCTGATCTGGGTTCTTCTTGTTCATCTTCGTTCGAGATCGAGATTTGGTTTTGGAATTTTTTTTTTTATGGGAGAAGAAGAAACGAGAGAGAAATTAGCTCCTTGCCTCGAGCATGGGACGAAAAAGATGAATCCCTGATGGAAAAGGAAGCTTTTTTGTTTTTAGAAAAAAATATATATATGTGTTGAAATGTTGTTTGCCTTGTTTGGTAAACGTAATTAATACATTTGACCAATAAAAAAAGAAACAGTCGAATTATTAAACTGGACGATATATAACTAAGGCATTAGTTTACAAATTATCCGGAAAAAAGAATTAGCTAGTTTACAAATTTTAATATTAGTTTCGGAGTTTTAAAGTTATTATTTTTGTTGTACAAATGCAATTATAATGTTATGAAATTAATTTATTTTTGTGTTACAACACACTGCAAAGGAAACAAATTTTTGTGTTATCAAGAATTAAAAGCATCAATGTTTTGTTTCAAACAAAAAACGAGTCCAGTACTTTTTAATTTACTTTTTTTCCATATTAGGTAAGAAATTCGGTTCTGTACCAAATTTAGATTTATATCAGGACTAGGGTTTTAATTGCCTTAAATGCGTTCAATTAAATTTTACATGTTCAATTGTAACTTGATCTGTAGCTTTGATAGTTTATACTTATCTCATCGTAATTATATATTTTGATTATGTTCAATTTATTCAAAGTATAAAAATAGCATTGTCTTTTAGAGAGTTTGGAATTTTAGAGACACATTACATCAGATTATTCTTAGTACCAAGTTAAAACATGAGATCCTCTTCTGAGGCATAGAGTTGAGACTTGAGACTGTTCTTCATTGTTTTTGTTTTCCTTCATTGTTGTTTGTTAGTGAGCTAGATAATGCAAGTTGGGGTTGAGACTTGAAAGAGTATCACCATGTTTTCGACAGTTCCTCTCTCTCCATATAGCATGAACGACGGCTTGGAAAATATATATGATCACAATTCACAATGAAGAGAGGAATGCGATCTTTTGTAGACTTGTAGTGTCCAATATAATCTGAATTACGTGGTCCCAACCCATATAGTATCTAATAATAACCTTCGAGATCCCCAAATAAGTGTTCTCCATACTTGAGCCGAGAAGTTGCAAGATAAGAAGAGGTGACTTCGAGTATGTAGAGGACATTGGCATAAAACGCAATGTGGACGTGACGGAACGTTCCATCTTTGCATTCGAATTCTTTTGCAGAGATGATTATGTATTGCTATTTGCTAGCCATACAAGAGGTCTTCCAAATTCTGTAAAGTCCAAAGATGTATTTTTGAACTCTACATACATATTTTAGATGCTCAAACGAATGTCATACGAGGCACGGGCCAAAAGAATACTTCTGCTTCTATCCTGCCGGGCCCGCCAAAGATGGCTAATCTGACACGAGGGACGGCGTAGTTTCAAAGAACGTACGTCAGCAACAGAAAATTGACGCGTCACGCGTGTGTAAACCGTATATCATAATTACGATTACACCCTTCAACGCGTACAAAACCAATTGGTTCTTCTCTCACGGGTTTGGTGTATCGTAAATATCTCAAATTTTAAACTCCGAATATATATATATATATATATATATATATATATATATCTGACGTAGCAAATTAATATCATCCCAAATTCCCAAATTTCGCAAACTCTATTTTCCACTTACAATTTGATCTCTGAAAGCTTCCTCGCCATGTCTGGTTATCCTCCATCGAGCCAAGGTTACGGTTACGGCGGTAATCCACCACCTCCTCAGCCGTACGGTTCCTCCGGCGCCAATCCTCCACCGTACGGATCATCCGGCGCACCATACGCTGCTCCGTACGGTGCGCAGCCTCCACCGTCTTCTGCTCCTTACGGTGCACCACCGTCCGCTCCGTACGCAGCTCCTCCAGGAGATCATAAGCCACATAAAGACAAACCTCAGGGCGCTTACGCATCTCCCGGTGGGTACGGTGCTCCTCCGTCGTCAGGAGATTACGGTGGTTACGGATCGCAGCCGGGGCATGGAGGTTACGGAGCTCCTCCTCCGCAGGCGGCTTATGGAAGCCCATTTGCGTCTCTGGTTCCGTCGGCGTTTCCTCCCGGAACGGATCCGAACATCGTGGGCTGCTTCCAGGCCGCGGATCGGGACGGTAGCGGCTTCATCGACGATAAGGAGCTTCAAGGGGCTCTCTCTTCGTATCACCAGAGTTTCAGCTTAAGAACTGTTCATCTCCTCATGTATCTCTTCACCAACAGCAACGTCAGGAAGATCGGTTAGTATCTGGATTCCTAAAACTTATCCGAAACTCTTACCAATTTCGTCAATTAATTTTGCGTTGATTATAGTCTTCCATTTCGCTGAATCTTGTTCATAGTGAAATTGCAGTTTCTATTAGGCTCCATTGCCTTACTTTCATCATCTAGGTTTGAGTTTTTGTCAACTGGAAATATGCAAATTTTAGAAACAACTTGTAGAATTTTCCTCTGCAAGTTGTTCCGTTTGACTTTGATCGTTTGTAGCCAACCTCTCCACCATACCAAATCCCTGATTTACATTATTTTAATTCAAGATGAAATAGTCATCTTTTAATTATTCTTCCTGCTAGACTGGTTGTGAGTAATATACTGATTTAAGAATTCCACACTGCAGGACCAAAAGAGTTTACTTCACTTTTCTACAGTCTTCAGAGTTGGAGGGTAAGTTCTTTAAGAGTGATTTTAATGGAAATTGTTGGTTGATTAACATAGAAAGAATCTTGGAGTTAAATAATGAGGTTTCGTTTGCTTCTCAGTCCATCTTTGAGAGGTTTGATAAGGACAGGAGCGGCAAAATCGATACAAACGAGCTGAGAGATGCACTATTGAGCCTTGGGTTTTCGGTGTCTCCTGTGGTTTTGGATCTGCTCGTTTCTAAGTTTGACAAAAGCGGAGGCAGGAACAGGGCTATTGAATATGACAATTTCATCGAGTATGTTCATTCGATTTAATCAATTCCCTAACTTTCTTTTGTTTCCCTCTGTAAAAAGGGTAAAAGTTGAATAGTAAATCTGGTTTTTCTATTGATGCAGGTGCTGTTTGACTGTAAAGGTATGCTATTTTCATTGCTTGTGTCACATTCTTGAAACCAAAGTCTGTTACAATATGTAGAATGTGGGTTTGTGTTTTGATGGTTGATAAAATCATTTGCAGGGGCTGACTGAGAAATTCAAGGAGAAGGATACGGCGTTATCAGGCTCAGCTACTTTCAATTACGAGAACTTCATGCTCACTGTTCTTCCATTCCTCGTCGCTTGAGTATGATGATAGCTTCAAACACTTGTCTTTTTATTCCCTTGTTGCCATATGAGCTTTTGAGTTTTCTTTAGTTGGATTCCGAGTTTTCTTTTTAACCTTTCTCGTCGTTGTTTCTGTAAGATTTGAACGCCGAGTTTTCTTTTTAACCTTTCTCGTCGTTGTTTCTGTAAGATTTGAACGTAGGCTGTAGCTCTCCTTCACATGAGCAACACCTTGTTAAATAAGTGACATAAGTTTGACACTTTGATATGGACTAGAATCCGATGAAATAAATTTGAACAGCCCAAATTTCTTCAAGCGTCGAGGCCCAATCATCCAGGGGATTCAACAAGCTCAAAAATATTATTTTGGCCTTATATGGGTATTAATCTTTCATATCTAGAAATTTGTTTGGATGTGAAAATGATAGATATTTCCCAAAATTGCGCATAACTAATTCTGAACCCAAATTAATTAAAAACAGCCTTACCATCTTCGAGAAATGAGAGTCCGTTGACACCTTAGCGAATCTAACGGTCAGGATTGGTTCACAATATATTTGAATTCAAACACAGTAAAAAGAGTTAACGTTACAATTTCTTCGCTCAGGTTTTTTAGATCCGAGACTAAATATCCGTAACGAGTACCCCAAAGTGAGTCAAGAACCAGAAGCAGAAGGAGACGAAATTTTCGTTTTGCGTCGCTTCTGAAATCTCACTTTCAGCCCCTCTCTTCAAATTTCTAGGGTTTCATCTGTTCCCCGAAGGAAACAAACATAGTCCGTAATTGGTAGTGATTCTGATCTCTTCGATTTTGTTTCCTTAGCTGATTCTTTCTGATTGGATGCGCATTGATTTTGATCGGCGAATTCAATATTTTTTCCAGGTAGATAAACGAGAATGACGAGCGTGAGAAGTGGGTTGCATGAACTTAATCTGGCCTCAAGAAGAGCCGAAGAAGCCGGTTCGTAACATTTATCTGTTTCATTCGAGAAAAGAATCGGAAGAAAGTTGTGTGGTTTCTGATTCGGATATGGCTGATTTGTTTTCCGATGCAGCGGCGAGGCGATTCCAAGCCGTGCAATGGCTTCATTCGGTGGTGGGTCAACTCGGTATTCCGACTCAGCCGTCGGAGAAAGAGTTCATTTCTTGCTTGAGAAATGGTATGATACTGTGCAATGCGATCAACAAGATCCACCCAGGAGCCGTTCCCAAGGTACTCTTTGTTCGATTGTTCGGATTTCTCAGATTCCAAATCGTGAAATTTCATCAGACTTTTGATTTGGGTTTTTACTTCTTGAAATTAAGGTTGTGGAGAACTACTCCCATCTGCAGTCGTTTAACCGAGAGTACCAACTTCCTCAAGCTTATCAATATTTCGAGAATGTCCGGAATTTTCTTGTGGCTTTAGAACATTTGAGGCTTCCAGGATTTGAAGCTTCTGATCTCGAAAAGGTAACACATTGAAGAAATCTTTACTTGAGTTTAATGGTTTGATTGAATCTGTGAAGATCTTACAACTTGTTAGTACTTTGAGTAACTGAATATGAGGTGTAATGTTCACAGGATAATCTAGAATTTGGATCAGTGACAAAGGTTGTGGATTGCATTTTGGGGCTGAAGGCATACCATGAGAGCAAGATGACGAGCAGTGGTAATGGGTTCTACAAGCACATCAAGACGCCAACGTTTCAGCTCTCTGCAACAAAGGTTCAGCCACTAAGTGCTTCCAAAACGTCTAGGCATCTAGATATGTCCTCAGTCCGTGACAAGAACGATTGCATTGATGATGAATCTGATAAACTCAAAGGTTTGATTCGTTTCTTTTGTTAAGGATATAAGAATTTTACTCTAATTGGCTTATGTTAAGGATACGTCCTCTTACTTGATGCACTTGGATTGGATACTTGCAGTGATAGCCAAGTTGTTTGCCGATCACATTTTCAATTCCAAGGAAAACATTGTTGAGAATCTTATGTCACTTGAGCATGGCAGTGAGGTAAGTTGAAATCTTCTGCCTCATTTTCTTTGCATATGTTCAGATATTATATATTATAGTGTAACAGTCAGATCAACTTGAATTCTTTGAATTGCAGAATTCTAGAGTAAACTTCGAGAAAATCATCTCAAGGTTCCCAGAGGTGAGTGTTGTTCAAGTTGCAAATTTGACATTTGATAACTTGCTAATATTCTAAATTGAGCTCCCTGTATAACTGTATTCACCATCCTAGTGGCCAATTTATTGCTTTCCTTATTAAATTTATACTTGTTCTGGTAACTTTTGCGTTGGATACATAGAAAATCGATGTGCCTTGTGATGATCTGTTCTGATTAGGAAAGTGTTATATCTCAATACAGCTTTGGTAAATTGGTGTGAGACTGATGATTTCTGTGCCCTATATTTTAATGCAGCTTCAGTCAGTGTTCAAGAATTTTCTTAGCGAAGGTACCCTGAAACCATCAGACTTAAAATCCATGCCTCTGGAGGAGTTACCTGTCCGTGAAGAAGACCAAGTATGCGTTTTTTTTTCGTTTTCACTTTTATGCCTGTGGCACTAAACTCTTACTTTTAGAACTGCATTTTCATGGTGGCAACTGAACAAGAACAATAACCATTCATAAGCCCTTTCCATGTCTTGTTTTGTTTTACCAATTTTGATTAATGCTCTAGTTATGAATTCACGAGTGACTGATTTTATCTTTTTCTTACTTTCTGGTTTCCGCTGCTCTTGCTTAGACTGCTTTCTTTACTGATCGACTGTTTAAAAGTGTTTCAGACTCCAAGTTTGCGCTAACAAATTGTTGAATATTTTTTTGCTCAGTCAAGCAGAAGTCTCCTAAAGAAAACAAACTCCAACCATAGGCGTTTACTGAAATCACAAGAAAAGGAGCTAGCGGTACGTTTTGCATTTAATATGTCTTAATGAAGTTCTATAACTCGTATGGAAAAAAATACTTATGGCAGACCTCTCTTTCTGTCAAGACCTATTGGCAATCTCTCTCAACTTCCATTTCTTATGTTTCTGTATTCTGTGTTCTAACCCAAATATGCTTCTCTTTGTTCAGGTTCTCAAGACTTTGTTTATAAATACGAAGCAGGATTTTAAGGAATTTCAGGTCCATTTGCAAAGAGATCTGATGGAACTAGGTTAGTTTGTACTCTTAAGATTCTATGTTATTCCCTCTGGAGAAAACTGTTCATTTCGTTTTTGATTACAATCTCATTTTCTGGTTTCATACGCACAGGGAATCAGATGCAAGAGATGTCATCAGCAGCTCAAGGATACTACAAAGTGGTGGAAGAGAACCGAAAATTATACAACATGGTGCAAGATCTTAAAGGTACAAAATAGTTAACACCAGTTTTTGCTCTTTTCAGAAATTCTCATAATGCCATGTCTAAAAATATGCAGGAAATATAAGAGTCTTCTGCAGAGTTAGGCCGATCTTCAATAGAGAAATGAAAGGAGTAATAGATTACATAGGAAAAGATGGCTCTCTCTTTGTTGTGGATCCATCAAAGCTCCAAAAAGATGCACGAAAAACGTTTCAGTTTAACCAAGTATTTGGTCCAACGTCAACTCAAGGTAACTTAGCAATTAGTGAAAGGTTGTAAGCTTGAAATTTATTAGTTAACTGTATATGAAACTTCTTTCTCCATGTATACAGATGATGTATACAAAGAAACACAACCACTAATCAGATCAGTGATGGATGGTTACAATGTCTGCATTTTTGCTTACGGCCAAACAGGATCAGGGAAGACATACACAATGGTAAAAGATTTCTAAAACGAGAGCATCTTCTTGCCTTTCTGCATATAGTTATTTATCACATGTACTTTCTCGATGCAGAGTGGTCCGCCAGGCAGGTCAGCTAGTGAGATGGGAATTAACTATCTAGCTCTCAGTGATCTCTTTCTTATATGTGATAAAAGGAGGGACATGATGACGTATGAGATATACGTTCAAATGGTTGAAATCTACAATGAACAAGTCCGAGATCTTCTTGCGGAAAATTTCACCTGCACCAAATATCCTTTCATAGTTCCCAGTTATCTCTTTCTGATAGGAGAAAGATATTGAATGGAGAATTTCTCGTTTATTTATTTCACATGGTGTTCTTCTTAACTATACACACATTAGATATTCGGACTTGCTCCAGCGAGGATGATGGCTTGAGTCTTCCAGATGCTACAATGCATTCTGTGAATTGTACCAGAGATGTCCTAAAGCTGATGGAGGCTGGTGAGGTGAACCGTGCTGTTAGTTCCACATCCATGAACAATCGAAGTAGTCGGTCTCACAGGTACAGAACTCAAAACTACATTTTTATAACTATGGAGTTACTACTGCTTTGTGATCTAAACTAGGTATGACTTTGTAGTATATTTATGGTGCACGTACGTGGGAAAGACACATCTGGCGGTACCCTGCGGAGTTGCTTGCATCTGGTTGATCTTGCAGGGAGCGAGAGAGTAGATAAATCAGAGGTTACAGGAGACAGGCTCAAGGAAGCACAATATATCAACAAATCTCTCTCTTGTCTCGGAGATGTGATTTCTGCATTGGCTCAGAAGAATTCTCACATCCCATATCGAAACAGCAAGCTCACTCTTCTACTTCAAGACTCATTAGGTAATAATATCTTAGACAGTAATCCTTCATTCACTGTTTTGTGAACAAAAGATATTCAATGAATTTCTGCCATGTCTTCATTTCAGGAGGGCAAGCCAAAACATTAATGTTTGCTCATTTGAGTCCTGAGGAAGACTCCTTTGGGGAAACAATCAGTACACTGAAATTCGCACAAAGAGTTTCGACAGTCGAACTTGGAGCTGCTCGTGCACACAAAGAGACTAGAGAGGTTATGCATCTCAAGGAGCAGGTTTGTAGAGATTGATCCTGGTTTAGCAGCTAGCAAGTAACCAAATTCGTTTCCAGCAACATTTTAAAATCTTCTTCTTTCAGGTTGAGAACCTGAAGAAGGCTTTGGGTGCCGAAGAACCGAAAAATGTTTCCTACAGTGGAGCAAAGGAGATAAAATCTCCTTTCAGCAGGCCGGTCGCAACTACAGAGAGAACTCCTCCACGTCTCAGAAGATTAAGCATTGAAAACTGTAGCAACACAAAAGTGACAAATCACCTTGAAGACAGAAAAGGTGTTAAATCACCTTTGCCCTCCCGCCGTGCGAAAAGAATGAGTTTGGAGGGTCCCAAGCCCTGTAAAACCGAAGAACAAGCTAAAGGAGATCTCACCATGGAAGTGAACCAGCTCAAGAACCCACGGAGTCCTGTAAGCTCTTACCAAACCAGAGCAGTGAAAGTAGACGGCAGAACAAGCATTCCTCAGTTCCAGCTACTGCAGACACCTGATAAAGGATCTTCCAGAAATGAGGTACAGATCATTTCTGTGGATTCTAGGACAAATGGAAAAAGTTCACACATACGGAAGTCACTGAGGACAATCGGGAAGCTCATCAATGGTTCAGAGAAGAGGTATGACAAAGATCTTTTAAGTTTATTCCAATATTATGGCATTTTCCGGCTTTATTTGAAAACCTTTTTGTTTACCACAGGAAAGAGAACATGCCTACAGATCCAAGATCACCGCTTGGAGTCTCAACTAATTTCAGTGGTATAAAGTCGCCACACACAAGCAACGCTAAGACAGTGCGAAGGCAATCACTCACAGGTGTGATGCCATCAGGACCAGAAAGATCACGCAGATCCTCTATAGGAGGAAACACAAACCCAATTGAGATTAATGGTAAGGAAGTTCATGAGTCTCTTTACGCTTTTCCTTTGGAACAGAATCGATACTGAAGCTTTTGCTTTTACAGGTGTAAATGGTGCAAGAAATGCAAAAACACCTCCACCTATGCGTTCACCAACAAAGATAGGGAAGCAATGGGCCTAGAGACTATTGAAGAATAACACGTTCTCTTTCTCTTGCTTTGGCTCGAAGCAAAGTTTCTCAACTGAAGTATTCTTTTCAGCTTCTATACTTCAATTGATGATATTTTTTTCTTCTGAGTAAATAAGAACTCAACTTTAGATGGATCTCTGACTGTAAGATAGATGCTTCTGTTTAAGCAATTCTTAACAGTTTTATTGTTCGTGTCTCTGAAATATTGAATTCATTTTATCTCACCGTTTCATTTAAATCTTTACAAAGAAGCTCCGTACTTTTCTGTAGTTTGTGCAGACTATACAGTTACAACAACAAAATTTCAACAACAGCTAATGGATTTTGCATAGGCATCAACCAAAATCTTCTTGAATCTCCGGAGATCTAACCTCACTTGCTGGTTGTTCAAGTATATCCCCTTTGTGAATTGCCATCCTTTCCTAGTGATGCTGTTTGGGTCTCTTAGAACTGGATCATTCTTATCATATTTGTCAGACAATGAGCTCTCTCTTGGAAGAATCTTGTAACCAACGTAGTCTAGACCAAGCTTCTTTGCCGGTTCTCCGTAATATGTCTCTGCTGCCCAGTCTGTCCCCAGTGGAATGATCTGAATAAAGACACTTCTAGGCTTCATGAATAGAAAATGGGTCATGGCTGCTCCATGTACACCAACCATGACACTGCTTGAGTTGAGCACTTTGTAAATCCTTGCCAGCTCCGTTGTTCTGTCAGGTCTCAAAACCTCGACTTGAAACCCAATCCTCTGAGCCAACTTCACCATCAGATCTTCGTTTGTTATCGCTCGAGACCCGGTTCTTGAAAACAATGCTAGCTTTGGTCTCTGAGTCTTTCTTCTCTTTGCTGCTTTTGCTTGGAGCCGATGCTCCTCTTCAATCTCCAGTCTGTTGATTCGGGGTTTATAGGTTCGTTCAAGTAGATTTCTGAAGTCATTGATGGATGTTTTACCATCTTGCATCAGAGAAGGATCAACTGTTAGCTCACCATGGATTCTAAGACCAACAATGGCTTCCTTGAAGCAGTGAGTTCTCTTGTCTTTGGAGAAATCAATGAGAGGATAATCAGAGAGCTGAGAGAGAACATCTCCGTACTTCATCTCCCACCACTTGTGGTACTCAGAAATCACAAAAACCACCTTTTTGTTGAAACGTTTGGATGTTATATACAGAGGAATGAGACCGTCGTTGAACTCATGGTAGAGGTTTCCGGTGTATCCTCCGGTAGAGAATAATACGGCGGGGACTTCATGTGTTACTTGGCAGCTACGCTGCTTATCTCCAAAAAGCTTCACAAGTTTCAGCTCGTTGATGGTTTCCATAATACTGGTTTCCCATTTTCTGGTGTATGGTTTGATTTTTTCTTGCAAGACATGATCGGTGAGATCATTGGAGGTGTAGAGGAAGATGGAGGAAGAAGAAGAGTGTGTTCTGATATCGCCTTTCATGAAACAGATGTCTGAACGATAACCGGTTCTGTCACACAAAAAGCTATCTTCTGCATAATAACCATAGAAGAAACTTTAAGAATGATACCAAAAATAGAAACATTATGAATCTTCTTGCTTGATATTTCAAGAAAGGTAAGAAACAGAGGATTTAAGTACTAACCATTATTCGATGGTTTGGGAGGTTCTGTAATGTTCTGGGAAACGCGGTCTTCAATCTCTTTGATTGAAGTATCTGCAAAAATATAGTAATTTAGGACAACAACAACAACAACAAAAAGAAAGAAAGAAATACTTGTAGTAGAAGACAGAAGAATCGTACCGATGAGAAACAGAGCAGAGGGGTAAGGGAAATAGAAGAGATGAGGAGCAAAGACTAAGCAACTTGAGACCAGAGAGAAGAGAAGAAGATAGATAAGCTTAGGCTTCGATCTCTTTGTGCTATTGCCTGAAGAATTATTCAAACCGAAGACACAAGGAAACATCTTCATAGATTCTTCTTCTTTGACTTTTCCGACCTTTTTCAGATTTTGCCTCCCCATTTACTTGTTATTTAAGTCATATAGATGAAGAACAGAAAGAGAGTGAAAAACGTTCGCAGATAAATATGGTAAAGAAGAGGGAGAGAGATCAAGGAGTGAGAGAGAGAGAGAGAGAGAGAGAGAGAGAGAGAGAGAGAGAGAGAGAGAGAGGTTGTCTGGGTGCTGTTGTAAGTTTTCTCCTTTGAAAACAGAGAGAGAGAGAGATGTTGTCTGGGTGTTGTTGTAAGTTTTCTCCTTTGAGAACAAAGTATATATTCAGAAAGAGACGTTAGCATACAATTCTTTGGAAGAGGGATAGAGAAAGATACGTTTCTTGGTATTGTATGGGGGAGAGAGGGAGAGAGAGATAAAAGTTACTAAGTCTTGAGGTGTTTCATTTCTTGGTCGAAATAAAGAAGGAAGAAGAATGGGGAGACGTGTGGGAGATCGAGAAAGGGACTTTGGCCAGACCCATTATTCATCTCTTTGAGTTGCGCTTACAGTAGAACCTCTAAAGTAATACCTCGATAAATGAATAGAATTTTCAAGTCTCGAATTCAGTTTTTGGTTTAATTATCTCTGGATAAATTAATAATCTCGCTAAAGTAATCTTTTATTTATATTATTAATTGAGAAGTACATTCTAATGTTTGGATACAAGAATTAGAGAAACATCTATTTGGATAGAAGAATAAATGGAAACAAAAGTTGTTTGGATATAAGAATAAGAGAAAAATCTATTTGGATAGAAGAATAAATGGAAAAAATTGTTTGGATACAAGAATAATAACTTAAAATAAACCGATGGTTTAGAAAACTTCCGTTTTCCATCTCTTAAAAATCTGCAAAAAAAAAACTTAACATAATCTAACGATAATTCCAAATCAATAGAATATGCTTTTTGGATTTTCGGGTTTTTATAGACAAGTTCGGGTTTGGGTGAAAATCTGAGACATAATTTTATAGAGATATATATAGAGATATAGAAATTGTTCGGGTTTCTTTGAAAATTTCTGTTCGGGTTAGGTTCAATTTTTTTTTTCAGTTTAGGGTTTTCCGGATTTTTTAGATTTCTGGTTTTCGGGTTTAGATATATTAAAAAAATTGAGTATTTTAAAATTTTGATTAGGTATTGGGGTCGGGTTCCGGGTGAAAAAGTTTCCAGATTTTTTTTGTTCAGTCAGGGTTTTCGGGATTTTTTTGATTTCGGATTTTCATGTTTAGACCTATTAAAAAAGTTTGGGTTTTTAAATTTTTTGATTAGGTTTTTTGTCGGGTTCGGATTTAGGGTTTAAATTTTCTACACAAAACAACAACGTCACACCGCACAAACGTGCGGGTACTCTACTAGTAAAATATTGTAGTCCCAACGTTATTACTTTATAGAGGTTTTACTGTATATGTTGCTTGCATCACAAGATTCCTTTTCCTTAAATGATGTTTGGTAACATACCTAAATAGTATTTATAATTTAATATATGCTCGTTCTTGGTTGAAATAACCCCATCAATGACATATTAATCTTCTTTATATGGGGTTTATGTCTTAATCAAAAAGTACAAAGAAAAAAAGGTTATTAGACACATATATGTTCTCTGCTTTCATATATCAGTGTTTTCGATCTGGCACAAGCTTATTATTAGATAGTTCCAGCTAATTGTGATCTTTAATTTCGACTAACGATTTTGTTGGGTAGAACAAAATATTCGGTAAAAGACTGCATGACCCGGAACTAGTTTATGGTTCAAACTTCAACTCGAAAAAGTCCAAAAGTATAACTTGTCATATCTTAAGGCCATCGGAAGAGAAAAGTTGTTAAATGAATTAAATTAATGATGAGACCAATCTACTCATAGGGATGACTGATTAAGAATAAAGAATTTCAAATTATTGGACATTAAAATATTAAGAAAACATTGAGAAATCGTTGTCAAAGAAAGAAATGATCAAATACTCGATGGAGGCGTTCTTAACGGTCAAATACATACAAAAATGTCATAATATTCCATGAACAAGTGCCAAAACATTTATAGGACGTTAATATATTTTTATAGCTATCGTCTGTTGCACCAATATTTTTATTATAACTCGTTTTACAGAAAAAACAAAAATTCCCACAAATAAGAAAATCCCAAGAAATATATCCAAAACCAAAAAGTTGGTGGGCGGGAAAGAGTCGATTAAAATCAAGGAGGACGAATATTCTTGAATTAAGGATTGAAAATACAGATAGGATTATAGGAAATTCATTTGCTCTTGTTCATCAGGTTAAGAATATATTGTATATACTACTACAGTACTACTACTACTACTACTACTATTCGTAATCTAAAATCAATAAGTTTGAGCTATGTAGAAACTGCTAACGTCAAGATAAAGTATAGCTATCCACTTTAGATCAAAGTTCGACGTGATGTAAAGGACTAAGATCTAAAGTTCACTGTAGCAAGAGGGTTTGACTAAAAAGGCTGTATATAAATGAGAAATAAAGATGATGATGCCAATAATTTACCAAAATTTTACACTAAATTATTGGCGTTTACAATTTTGATTGCCTCGTGTAATTTTAAGTATTAATAAAAAAGACAACGAATTATTAAATGATCCGATGAACTGCAGAATAAGTACGCAAAGAGGATCGTCGAAGACCGGGATTTTGCTTTATTGGGAATTGCGAAGTTAACTTGTATATGCACTTTTGCACGAACGAACGATCATGAGTACGTCATAATACAATCATATGACTGGATGACTTCTTTAACTATCTTTTTGCTTATTTCTGATTTCATTTTTCTCTATCTTTTTCTTTGCAAAAGAGGAGAGAGCCTCATATGGGCGTGTATCGACCAGAACCGGAACAGTGCTTAATGTTAAAGTCATAAAATACGTGTCCTAATCATTTGCCTACATGTGTTAGTTCATATGTCAAATTTGAGTTCGCTGTATAAAATAAATATGATTTATAAATATATATGACATAGTTAAATCTCTTTTATATCGCAGTTTTTTTGTTAACAATGAAGAAAACAAAACTAGTGAATCTTTAGGTTGGTTTAGGACAGTTCATAGAAAGTCATTTCTAATCATATAATGGTCTTACGATTGTGAGGGCATGGGGATTAGTTGTTCCGTGTATTCAATTTTATCATCCGAACTTACTCACTCCGATCCAAATTATACAATCTTATTAGTAAAAGCTTTTGAGTCTAAATCAGTCAAACGTCAGAGTTAGCTATGGATAACTCTGTTTTTTTTTCAATTGAATTGATATATCTTAATCACCCGTTTAGATAATTATCTAACGTGACAGCTAATTACATCCCGACCTAAGAGTTTAGTCTTTATATAACGTGATAGCTACGCTATGTGTTATGTATATCGGGCTTTAAAATATTGGGCTTTAATATGTTGGGCTGGATTTTGTTTTAGAGCCTCTTATCTTATTCTACAACAAAACATGTCTGTGTTATCAAATCGACGAATCGTCAGCCGTTGGATATCAGAAGACACGTGGACGGTGTATATCTTCCTGAGTCGTTAAATCGCATTTCAGGTAATATTTTTGTTGGAAAGAGTCTGAAATTACTGAAGAAGAAAAAGGAAAGCTCAAGCCGCAACGAAGGAAGAAGAAAAGTGGCATTCTTTACTAAATTATACTCGAAATCGGAGTCCAATCAATCAGAAGGGTTTTCAGGGTTTTTCCGAGAGCGTAGAGAGAAGCAATGGACGCGTTTTGTTCGGATTGTAAGAGGCAGACGGAGGTCGTGTTTGACCACTCCGCCGGAGATACAGTCTGCTCAGAGTGTGGACTTGTACTCGAATCGCACTCAATCGATGAAACCTCCGAGTGGCGCACCTTCGCCAACGAGTCCGGTGATAATGATCCCGTTCGTGTTGGTGGTCCGACGAATCCTCTTCTAGCCGACGGTGGACTCACCACCGTCATTTCGAAACCTAACGGAACCTCTGGCGATTTCCTCTCTTCTTCCCTTGGTCGATGGCAGAATCGTGGATCCAACCCTGATCGTGGGCTCATTGTCGCGTTTAAGACCATCGCTACCATGGCTGATAGGTAAGGTTTTGCGAATTTGGGTCAGCTGATTTTGTCTTCTCTAAAGCTCAATTTCAAAAAAAAAATCGCGCCGCAATTCCGAATTTATTGCTTGTGGTCAGAGAATTTTGAGAATTGTAGTTTCCAGTAGCAAAGAGTGTGTCACTGACAATTAAAGCTAACCTTTTTAGCTATCTGGTGAAATGAAAGACTTGATTTTTGCTCATTAAGTGTGTGCAATGCCTCTAAATACTTACTCTAAATAAGAACAATCGATTCGTTTTCAATGCCTTGTAGAATGTTTTGACTGTAAGTTTAGTGTCCTTGAGAAATGCCATTTACTGATCTGATGAACCTTGCTGTGTTCCTCCAGGTTGGGCCTTGTTGCGACCATCAAGGTACATTCTCTTTCTCTTAGCAATCTTAAGGCTAAGTTGCTTTAAATGCTCTCTGTTTTGCTATGTTGTTGATGAATTTCGTGAAACCTAGCTTACGTTTATAGAATTCTTTCCTTATCTGATGTCAAAATAAGAGAGAATTGTTTCCTTATCTGGTATGTGCTTGCCTTTAATGCATTTTCTTATCATGTCCAACATTTTTTGTCATGGTTTTTTGGCAGGACCGAGCCAACGAGATATATAAGAGAGTAGAGGATCAGAAGTCAAGCAGAGGAAGGAATCAGGATGCTCTTTTGGCTGCCTGTTTATACATTGCTTGCCGGCAAGAAGACAAGCCACGAACCGTCAAGGGTACCAAACAGTCTCAGAAAGTTTTTGTATACTTATTCTTTAATCATCCATCACCTCCGTTTTTCTTAGCCCTCGCTAAATATTATGTAGAAATATGTTCTGTTGCCAATGGAGCTACTAAGAAGGAGATTGGTCGTGCAAAAGAATACATAGTCAAACAGTTAGGGCTTGAAACCGGACAATCCGTTGAAATGGGAACTATCCATGCCGGAGATTTTATGGTGACTTCTTCTTAAAATCAGTTGCCTTTTCGTTTTCGGCTGTTCTTATCCGCGGTTTTGCATTAACTTGATTGGTAAATGACTCTCAGAGACGTTTTTGCTCAAATCTTGGTATGACCAACCAAACCGTGAAAGCGGCTCAAGAATCTGTGAAAAAGTCAGAGGAGTTTGATATAAGGTTACATCCATTAACCATTATTGTCTTGTCCTCTCTGTTTTCTGGATTCTTTAAGATAAGTCACACGGAGGTTTTTAACACGTTGCAGGAGGAGTCCGATATCGATTGCAGCAGCGGTTATATATATCATAACACAGCTCTCTGATGAGAAGAAGCCTCTTCGAGGTCTGTACCATTCACATTTTGTGAACTGAAACACTCTAATATGAGAACTTTCACTTAAAGAAAATCTTTGGGTTATGATTATGAACCTTGTAGATATATCAGTGGCAACTGGAGTCGCAGAAGGGACTATAAGAAACTCTTACAAAGATCTTTACCCTCACCTTCCCAAGATCATACCAGCTTGGTACGCTAAAGAAGAAGATCTCAAGAGCCTTCAAAGCCCTTAAGTCGAGTTTCGATTGGAGTTAGGGTTATATAGAGTTATTTGGTCTAGAAGACTAGTGCGACTCGAGCAAGAGTTTTCAAGTAGATTTGTATCAGAAAAATCATTAATGTTAAAAAATATGTTTTTTTTCATTCTTCTTATACCATAAAATTGTTGAATTAATGAGATTGGCATTTCTAAGTGAAATCTAACATTTCGTAAATCATGCCACAGACCGAGTATATTCTGCTAATCGAACATGTTTGGTTTCTACAGTTGATCAAGTTTTACAGCATAAAAAGGAGAAAAAAATAGTTCTGACTTCTGAGCAAATATTAAACGAACGCAATATAACTGTCATGTGGAAATTAATTAAAGACAGTAGAAAAAATAAGGGAGGAAACAAAGCACAAAAGAATGACAACTTTGCTCATCATTGGTTTTACGTTTTTCCAAAGAATGGATGAATTGGAAATTTACAATCTTTGCCAACTGCCAAGTATCTGCAGAGATTGGACAAATGTCACCTATGTTCATCTTTCTTCCCTATTGAAAAGTAATCAAATCGCCAACGCGGATCATTTTTTCGTCAAGCTAATGTTTTTGTAACTAAAGAAATTGAAGTTTCGTCTTGTAGTGTTTTTGTATGAGGGGATTAGTCATATTAGTTTTATCTATTTCCTGTGTGAGGTGCTATCTATCCCTCCGTGGGTAACTTGTATATTTAAAATAAATGGCGATGTATCTAAAATGATTGTATTGAAACTAATCGAATGTGGTAGTTTTTTTTACAAAAACATTATACTCACTTAAAAACGGTATTCTAGTATATTTCTTTTAACATTTTGGACAAACCTAGATATGTGGTTTCTTCTTGCCGGATTCAAAAGGTGAAAAAGATAAGAGAAAGAAAGGAGCTGGGAAATTGCAGAAAGCGGATGATACGGATAAAGAGGTAACGACAAAGAACAGATATGCCCTCCTGTCAATGATGGAAGATGGAGCAGATGAGTGACGCGTGGATTTAGGTTTAAGAGTGTCACTCTCATGGCTTGTGTTTAAATAAGACAATGTTGAGATGTAATCGTTTAAGCTTTATGAATAAAATGAAAGTTACATTTAGCTCAAAGACTCTGTTTTTATAAATCTCTTCAATACATTGAGATAATCATGCAAACCATGAATGAATATTATTTTTTCCCCGTAAATCGACCGAATTGTGGTCACGTGATTCAACAATGAGCAAATGGTTACTGTGTGTTGTTTTTGTTTATTTGGTTTTGGATCACAGGATCACCTCTGATTTTGAAGTGACTCGAACTATATTCCCTCAAACTCAAATTTGTTACAATGTTTTTGAAACTTTAAAGAATCCCATATCAAGTTTCAAACAAATCTTTTAACTATGCACTATTTATAGGCGTCATTTGGAATCAAGCTGTAATAAAAAAGTAATTTATAAGTTAAACTCATTCAGTTGTTGTCACTTGTCAGTTCAATTAAACTCGATCCTATTTTGTAGTATTAGATATTTTTACACGTCGCAGTGTCCATTTTCTTTTTGTTTGGAGGATCAGATTCTCTTAAACCTTACCCGACAAAGGAAATGCATCAGTCCTTTTAATTGAATAAACATTTTAGTAACATTTCATGCAAGAGAGTCAATTGCAAAAATGTATAATAAATTTATATGGCTAAGAAAAATCAAAATGAAAAACGTGAAATAGGATTTGTGGCAATCCTCACACTCGCACCAAACATCGTGTCCCTATCTCTGGCAAATACCCGACGCTCGAGCTTGACAAGTAAGACGACTCATATACATGGAAGCCACGTGTCGAATACACATCCGTCCAGATTGCACTTAACATCCGACGGTCGTAGACACATTTCAACTAACCCGTCTCGTTCTCACCAACTCTTCCCCTCTATTTAAAACCTCCTATGTCGCTCAACTTTCTCTCAGGGAAATTTATTTGCAATCAAATAAAATTTTCCTTTTTGTCCCTTTTAATTTTATATAATCAAGAAAAAATAAAATATCAATATAGTCTTGTAAAACCGCAAACGTGTAAGTAGATGCATGCACACATTTGCAGTGCTTTGTTTTGTATAATAACATCACCTGAGAGTCAGACAAATTTGAGAGAGATCAAGATCACATTGTTTTAACCGGTTTCGGTTAACTTCTCAACAAAAAAATCCAATCTTATCCAACTTGGTTCGGCGGTTAAGTATGGAGTTGTGCAAACAAAACAACAACCACGTCGCTGCCGTCTCCGGAGATCCGTTGAACTGGAACGCGGCGGCGGAAGCTTTGAAAGGGAGCCACTTGGAGGAGGTGAAACGAATGGTGGAAGATTACAGGAAAGGTGCGGTGCGGTTAGGAGGAGAGACTCTGACGATTGGTCAAGTGGCCGCCGTGGCTGGCGGAGGGGTGACGGTGGAGCTGGCGGAGGAGGCTCGTGCCGGAGTTAATGCGAGTAGCGAATGGGTGATGGAGAGCATGAATCGAGGGACGGACAGTTATGGAGTCACCACAGGGTTTGGCGCAACTTCCCATAGAAGAACCAAACAAGGTGGTGCTCTTCAAAAGGAACTTATTAGGTAATTATTGTTTTGTCAATACCTAATCAGGAAATGATAAAAAATTCTATAAAAGTCTATAATATTAATTTTTTCCCATTATTGTTATTAATGTTATAAAAGTGGGGACATGTATTGAATAAAGACTAGCGAACGGGAAATGATAATAATCAATTTTTATATTGTGTATTTATTGTAAATTGAAATAAAATGCAGGTTTGTTAAACTAGTGATGAATTTTTGGACCAGTATAGTTATTAAGTAGGAGAAAGTAAAATATTGGGTATAAAAATTGTGAAACAAGTAAAAGTATTAAGTATGTTATAGTTATTAAGTAGGAGAAAGTAAAATATTGAGTCGCGCAAGCATGTAATACTTTTTTGAAGTAATAAAATTTGGGAGCTTTGCTCCCGGGGATTCACCCAAAAAAAATGTTATTGGTGATCTCTCTCTTTCAAGTTTCGCCTAACAATTTTTCTTTTTGGTAATTGTTTTACCTAACAGTGAATACTTAGGTAATAGCATATTTTTGGCAATATTGATTAGCTGAATAATTTGGTGTTTGTAAATAATAATTTGGTGAAATTAAGTTACAATTACACATATAGTGGTAGACTTGATTAAATAACATGCTTTTCACTTAATACACCAAACTTTATGTTTTTCCCGATCCAGCAGTACACCAAAACCAAATTTTAACTTATTCAGTTTTCTTAACAAAAATATACAAAAAACGGTCTATCTATCAATACTCGTGTATATGTAATGATGGACGAAAATATTATGTTTTTTTTTTTTTTTTGTTAAAGGGACGAAAATATTATGTTTCTTAATATTTGTCGTCTTTAATTTAGTCATGGATGAGATCAAGAGCGGTAAACATGCAATTTCCCGTGCAGGTTCCTGAACGCCGGAATATTTAGCGCCGGCGCCAGAGACACATCACACACGCTACCTAAGCCGGCGACGAGAGCGGCAATGCTCGTCCGTGTCAACACTCTTCTCCAAGGCTACTCCGGGATACGCTTCGAGATTCTTGAAGCCATTACAAAGCTTCTCAACCACGAAATCACTCCGTGCCTCCCTCTCCGTGGCACCATCACAGCCTCCGGCGACCTTGTCCCGCTCTCTTACATCGCCGGACTTCTCACAGGCCGTCCCAACTCTAAAGCCGTAGGTCCCTCCGGTGAGACTCTCACTGCCTCTGATGCCTTTAAACTTGCCGGAGTTTCATCCTTCTTCGAGCTACAGCCCAAGGAAGGATTAGCGCTTGTAAACGGAACAGCGGTTGGATCTGGACTGGCCTCAACGGTTCTGTTCGAAGCCAACATTTTGGCGGTTTTGTCCGAAGTTATGTCAGCGATGTTCGCAGAGGTTATGCAGGGGAAACCGGAGTTCACTGATCATCTTACGCATAAACTGAAGCATCATCCTGGTCAGATCGAAGCCGCCGCTATTATGGAACATATATTAGACGGAAGCTCTTACGTTAAAGAAGCTCAACATCTCCACGAAATGGATCCTCTTCAAAAACCTAAACAAGATCGGTAACGTTTCTTGCTCCTCAAGTAAACCAATCTTGTGTGTTGAAGCCTTGAAGCTATTGCTGAGAGACGTTTTCTTTGAAGCTGCAGGTACGCGTTACGAACGTCACCGCAATGGCTCGGACCACAGATCGAAGTGATCAGAGCCGCGACTAAAATGATAGAGCGTGAGATCAACTCGGTTAACGACAACCCTCTAATCGATGTCTCTAGGAACAAGGCATTGCACGGCGGGAATTTCCAAGGGACACCGATCGGTGTAGCCATGGATAATTCTCGTCTAGCCATTGCTTCTATAGGGAAGCTCATGTTTGCGCAGTTCTCGGAGCTAGTGAACGATTTCTACAACAATGGCTTGCCTTCCAATCTATCCGGTGGAAGAAACCCTAGTCTTGATTACGGGTTTAAAGGCGCGGAAATAGCCATGGCTTCTTATTGCTCTGAGCTTCAGTACTTGGCTAATCCCGTGACCAACCACGTCCAAAGCGCAGAACAACATAACCAAGACGTTAACTCTTTAGGGTTGATCTCGAGCCGGAAAACCGCAGAAGCAGTTGATATCCTCAAGCTAATGTCTACGACCTACTTGGTTGCGTTGTGCCAAGCCGTCGATCTAAGACATCTTGAAGAGAATCTAAAGAAAGCGGTTAAGTCCGCGGTGAGCCAGGTGACGAAACGTGTGTTGACCGTTGGTGTTAACGGTGAGCTACATCCGTCGAGGTTCACCGAACGAGATGTCCTCCAAGTGGTTGACAGAGAGTATGTGTTCTCATACGCAGACGATCCATGCAGCCTCACTTACCCGCTGATGCAGAAACTTAGACACATTCTTGTGGACCACGCTTTGGCTGATCCGGAACGTGAGGCTAACTTCGCGACATCGGTTTTCCAGAAAATCGGAGCGTTTGAGTCGGAGCTGAAATTGCTTCTACCTAAAGAAGTGGAACGTGTTAGGGTTGAGTATGAGGAAGGGTCCTCTGTTGTTGCTAACCGGATTAAGGAATGTCGTTCTTATCCGTTGTACCGGTTTGTCCGGGATGAGCTGGAGACTGAACTGCTTACCGGAGAGAATGTTGTGTCGCCGGGAGAGGAGTTTGATAAAGTGTTCTCGGGGATTTGTGATGGGAAACTTATAGATCCTTTGTTGGAATGTCTCAAGGAGTGGAACGGAGCTCCGATTCCGATCTGTTAAGTTCCTCAACAGATCTCTCTAAGATTATTACGAACTTTTTTTCTGGTTTTAAATGGATTGGTGTTTTTATTTTTCCTGATTTCCACGACACTGAATATATTCTCAAGACTTAAGACTAATGTATATGCTCTTTGTATGATAAATGCTCTGTTTATGTGCATGTATCACACACACTTGCACTGTTTTGGCCTGGTGAACCGGGTTAAACCGAACCGGTAAACGGCTGGACCAAATATCTTGGGTGGTGTTTTTTTTTTAATCTAAAACCAAATTTGCCATTGGTATATGTATGTATGCTGGTGTTAACAATGAAATGTGTGATTGCCAATTCAAGTAATTTGGATACACAATCACAATCCTAACATAAAAGAAAGCCTTTGTGATTCGGTTCAAAGGAAAAGAGAAGAGCTTTGATGATTCTTATGTTGTTGCCTTGGGGTTTAATTCTTGTCTAGACACAGTTTCTGTTTTGGCTACAGAGTTTGTTCTTCTTACAGTTAAAAAGACAATTTTTATCTTATGTTTGAATTGTGAATACCAAAAAAAATAGTCCCTGATTATGAAAGCAAAGAAAAGACGAATTTGGGGACTTCATTATCATGTGTTCCCAGCAAAGACACGGTAAATAGTTTCTCGACACCACTTCTGGGTCTTAGCGTTTTCCTCAAAAATAGTGAAGAAAGAAATAAGAAGAAGAAGAAGCAGAGCAAAAAGCAGACGCAAAAATGGCGACTCTTTCTTCGTCTCTACTACCTTATTCTCCTCTATCCAAATCCCGATTTTCGCCAACAACTCTCGTTTCGGGAATTGATTTCGTCTCTTTCTCTCCTCGAACGACTCTCTCCTCATCCACAATCTCCGTTATCTCGCCGGCGATTCTTTCCCTTTCCGTCAAGCAGAACCGCCATCGAAACTCGCTCCAAGGTTCAAATTCTGAAAGTTTCCCCTTTTCCTGATTAGAACATGGAATTGATTATCCGACCATCGAATAGCTTCTCTTGCTTTTGAAATTGATTTTGGTTTCGAATTCTGGGTTCAGTGAAATCAGTAGCTAGCCCAGCGGAGACAGTGTCAGAGTTCGATGAGATGGTCTCCGGCACGAAACGAAAGTATTACATGCTCGGCGGTAAAGGAGGAGTGGGCAAAACTAGCTGCGCTGCTTCTTTAGCTGTGAGATTCGCCAACAATGGACACCCAACTCTCGTTGTATCCACAGACCCAGCTCATTCCTTGAGCGATTCTTTTGCTCAGGTAAGCAAGAAAATTCTCTGAAAAAAGTGACTTTTGGTCTTTTGCTATGAAAAATGAGAGTATATATGATTTGGTGTCTCTATTGTTTATTTGTTGATTTGTAGGACTTGACTGGAGGAATGCTTGTGCCTGTTGAAGGACCTGAATCTCCTTTATTTGCACTCGAAGTATGTGGAAAACTTGTTTGGGCTAATTTGGTTTCTGTATGGTGATGATCCTACACTCAGATTGAGTTTTAATGTATAGCTCTGCAACAGATAAACCCTGAGAATGCTAGGGAAGAGTTTCGTAGTGCGTCGCAGATGAATGGAGGAACTGGGGTCAAAGATTTTATGGATGGCATGGGACTTGGGATGTTTGTTGAACAGGTATATAAATGTTGTGAAGCTCGATGTATTCAACCAAATGGTGTGTTAGGTGTCACTGATGCCTCTCACTGTTGTGGTTATGATTCTGACTATTGTTTTTTGGTTGGTGTGAAGTTGGGGGAGCTTAAACTTGGAGAATTGCTAGATACACCGCCTCCTGGATTGGATGAAGCCATTGCTATCTCTAAGGTAATTTCTGATACTCTGTGCTGATTTTGTTGTGTGTTTTGCATTCTTGTCTCTTGCTCATTGTTAAGGGTGTACACAGGTCATTCAGTTTTTGGAATCACCCGAGTATAGTATGTTCACTAGAATCGTGTTTGATACTGCACCGACGGTGAGCAAGCTTTACAGAAAAATTTCCCTCTTTTGTCTTAGTGCTATATTATTGTTAAGAGAGTGTTTGTTGTTTATTTACAGGGTCATACGCTAAGGCTACTCTCTTTACCTGACTTCTTGGACGCATCCATTGGTAAAATCTTGAAGGTGGGAATTGTTGTAAACCATTTCTACTAAGTTTATCTCTTTTTGAGGTTTTGTCTTATTAAACATCTGTTCTGCATCTTCAGCTGAGGAAGAAAATAACGTCGGCTACTTCAGCAATCAAGTCAGTCTTTGGGAAAGAAGAAAACAGTCCTGATGCTGTAAGTCCTTGTGTACTTTGGCGGATATAGCAGTCTTTATATTGTGAGGATACTGTTTCATTTTTGCAAAAATTTCTGTGTATGTTCAAAGGCTGACAAATTGGAACGACTAAGAGAGAGGATGGTTAAAGTTCGCGAGCTTTTTCGTGACACAGAGTCGACAGAATTCGTCATTGTCACTATCCCAACGGTAATATAGACACATACATCTCGTTAAAGGTCCTCCTAGCTTAAAGAATGCATTGTCTAAGAATATCCGTTCAATGCTAGTCTATAAAGTTCGCATCTCAATGCTCGTACTGTTTGTTTGTCTCCTAAAGGTAATGGCTGTGAGCGAGTCTTCTAGGTTAAGTGCTTCCTTGAAGAAGGAGAGTGTCCCCGTCAAAAGACTCGTTGTTAATCAGATTCTCCCGCCATCCTCCTCGGACTGCAAATTTTGTTCCATTAAGAGAAAGGTATATGTATATACACACAAACACACATTTCTCGTTACCATGGTCTCTTTAAACTAAAGAGAAATGCATCTAAACGTGATAAATGAATGCGCAGGACCAAATGCGTGCTCTTGATATGATCCGGGAGGATTCAGAACTCTCTGGTCTGACATTAATGGAGGCTCCTCTGGTTGATATGGAGATCAGAGGTGTCCCTGCTCTGCGCTTCTTGGGCGATATCATTTGGAAATAAGTTCATCACACATTATTAGTAATGATGAAGGAGATGCAGGATCACTTGTATGAGATAGTATTGGTTAATTTACTTGCACAGTTTTGGTACATATGTTTGAATTGAAACTGTTCTTTGAACCAAACCCTCTTCTGCAGTTTCTTTTCGGGATACAAGTCTTATAGAGGAGGAACATGAAAGACATTTTAAGTATCTTTTGATACTTTCAAACTGTTGAGCTAATTCAGCATTTACTCGACATAAGTGCTTGAAACAATAAATATTGCAATTCTTGGGGAGCAAAGCCTCAAGATATTTACATAGTTTGTTATGTGTAGAAACCTAAAACAAGCCATTGCTTTACATAATAAAACAGCAAGGCTTCACCCTTTTACACAACCCAAAAGGAGATTATAACTTAAGCCAGTGTAAAATCCAAAATACATATTTATTCACTGACTTAAATCTAAAACCCTCTATTTTATTTACAACTTATTTGCAAAATATATATAACAATGAGCCACCTTGAAGTGCTTTGCTTTGCTTAGTTAGGCTGTACATATAGAGTAGCTCTCTCTGCTCATCAAATTGTCCCTCTTTCTCTGGCTGTCGTGTAAAACTTAAGAAGCTCGAGGTTTTTACTTACTCAGATGGTTAAGAAGTAGCATTTGCAGTTAGAGACGACGAGAGCCCGATTCTTCTCTCTGCAGAAAAAGAAAAAAGAGTGATTCATGAACATGATCATGACCGTGATTTTGTCTTATACAGAGGAAACAAATGTTTACCTCCGGTGGTGACAAGTTTCTCAACCCGGGCAACGATGTGTTTCCCATAAGTGTATCTCTTCAATGCGTTCAAGTGGACTTTGATGCGAGAGAGGATGAGAGCAAGACTTTGATCATCGCATGTCTCAAGAACCTTTTGCACTACGTAGTTCCCGAATGGATCTTTCATCATCGCCTGCAAAATTGTTTTTCTTTGTAAGGTTTTTGCCTTTTGTGAGACTTTTAGAGACATTTTTCAGAAAGAGACATGACGGTACCTGAAGAGGCTCGTTTTCATCAGTATAACCAAGCATCTCATTCACTAGAACCTGACGTTCCTCTGGACCGCCAAATGTTAAGCACTTTTCGACAACATTAGAAGCAAACTTTTGTTGACTCATCTTCACAATCTGTCCAGCAAGCTTATTGATGATTTCTGACCGTTCATGAGGTTTACCATGTTGTATGATATGCTACAGCCCGGAAGCAAAGATTAATAATCATCATCAAGGAGTCCATTTCATGAAGCAAAAAAACGTAAAATCAAGCTTCAACGACTTACCTGAATTACATAATTTCCGTACTGATCTTGAGCTAGAGCGCACACAGAATGCATAATTTCCTCCATAATGATCCGTTGGGTCTCTGTGTCCTCAATATGCTCCAGTACCCTCTGCGAGTTTCCAAATAAGTTTTTAACAAGCATAGAACTGGAAATTTGATTTTACCACCAAGAAACCATAAGGTGTGATGTTATATATCGAACCTGGATTACACGGCATCCATAAGGGTGTGTTGAAAGAGCTAAGACTTTCCCGTAAAATGAGGAAATAATGAACTGTATCCAATCCTGAGGAAGACGCTCTATACACTTCTGGATCACGTGATTACCGTTCTGATCATGAACACATTTCATGACAGACCCATCAAGCTCTTTCACCATTCGAGCTTGCTGCTCCAAATCAACCACCTCTAACGCCTGTATCCATATCAAAGAAACAAGATAGGGACCCGCTCAGAAAAGTCAAAAAGGCTATCTCCATAAGACCCTTGGCATTACATAAAGTAGAGTCAGTGAACTAAATACCTTTTGGATAACCCTGCAGCCATACATTTGTAGAGAGAGAGCCAAAACGTGGCCCGTAACCTGTTCAGCGAGTTCTTTTCTCTGTTTGTTTGTACCATGCTCAAAAAACTAAAACAAAACCAGAATAAGATACAGTATGAGTAAACTCACACATCTAGCCATGCCCGTTTTCATTTGGATAATACAGCTCGTACCTTTTGAATGACATAATTTCCAAAGACATCTGTCATTAGAGTGCGACCAAAAGGAAGTATCTCGGGGAATATTGCATTCTTCTCCTCATCCGTTGCAGTCTCAAGTTTTTGCTGAATGAAACGACTTCCGTACTGATCCATGCTGCACGTTGTGGGGGAGAATAAAAGTGAGCTAGTAACATTAACTGAGTGTAGTATATTAGATAAGGCAAGTTAAAATACCTGAACTCAATCACATGGCCAACTATTTCTGAAAGCTCCCAAGACCTTGTCTTGTTGTTCTTGAACCCCTCCAGTAAGGATGTTTCTGTCGTGCTGCCAATATCTACATGAGATGATCCCTGTAATCCTCCAAAAGGAACTTTCATCATCGAAGGAGATTGTGACATTCGCATGTTCTGGAGATTTCTTGAATTCTTGGAAGGAGAAGGCAAATGGTTTCCTAGATACATGCTGCCAAGATCATATGAAGGATTCTCAAACAATCTGGCATTAGCAGCACTGAGGTTACCCAGCTGTTGCCTGTTCTGAGCAAGTAACATCGCGAGGTAGTCATTAGCTGTATCTCCGTTCGAAGCCCCGAAATTGTTTCTACGAAGAGAATGGTCACTTGGCGCACCAGTAGCCGATGCCGTTTGCAGATACTGGCTGTAATGTGGGTCCATAACTGGAGAGTGAAGCTCAGAGGCAACTTGATTTATCAATCTACTCAAGTTTTTTCTATCCCCTTCTCCATTCAAATGCGAGCCTGAAACAAAAGGATAAAACCAAATAGATCAATCTAAGTCAATACGATTTTTTGTTTGTGTGTATGAGAGTAAGAGAGCGAGAGAGAGGAAGCGTGAGATACCTTCAGCGGAATAGTGCTCAGCTAATGAATTCAACTTGTTATTCACCAAATAACCACCAGCTGTGGAGGAGAAGTCCGTTCCACTGATATTTGCATTCTGTATATTGACATCAGATAAACCGAGGCCTCCCAATCTAGAGCGGTCTGAAGGAGAGTAAAGACTCGCTGAAGAGGAGGTTCGTTTAGGGATGTTGACCTGTCCATGAGAACCAACCGTAGAAGCACCAAGGCTTGTTCCATACCCACTCATACTCCCACCATAATTTGCAGAAAACAAGTGATCATTTGACTCTGCCGTACCAATATTCTGTTGCCGCAAAACCTTCTTATGGCCGTTGGGAATGTAACGCATCACATCAGACTGATTCTCCAACTCCACCTGAAGCTGCGACTGCATATGGTTATCTTTCACATGACTCATCTCCGCCATGTTCAACCTCGCCAGCGTGTCAGCAACATCAGCAGCAGTGTAAGATTCACCAAAATTATTCTTCTTCTCGACAGGAGCGACTCTGGTACCAATAGGAGGCAGACCAGAGGCCGGAGATCTCCCTACCAGATGAGAGTCAGGAGTTCTATTCCTCGGCACTGGAGAACTCATGGTGGATCCAAGCATAGTATTTGAACCGTTTTGTCCAGCAGAATGTAACGATTCATGGAACGCTAACGGAGTGTCGAATCCACCCGCACTGAAATTCGATAAACCAGCAGGATCGTTCATGTCACGGAACGTGTTGCAGCTTGCAGGACGAGAGAGCTGGCTGCATAAAGCTGCGTCCCGGTCAAGTCCTTCCTGAAGAATATCGGCGAAACTCTTCCTTCTCGGTCCAAGCCCGGAATATCCACTAAGCTCATCTCTGCCGTGATTAGTCTTCTGAGAGCGTCCCTGAGCTACAGCGTTCCTTAGTTCCGTCAAATCATTCTCCGCCTGCTCAACGGGAACACCTGGCTGAACGGAGAAGAGCGACGAGGAGTTATCGACTTCAGCGACTTTCTTCCTCCAATCCCCAACGGGATCAAACACAGAGTCACTGTTGTGAAACCTCTGAGCGATCCTCCAATCCTCTCTAGACAACAATGGAGGAGGCAGCCTCGGATTCGAGTGCTCGTTCGAATAGTAATACGAGAGATACGCAGGGTGCCAGCGCAGCTCGTCGTCGGATAAAAGCTCGACGCCGTTGCTAGTGCTGCTACTGCTGATATTGCCGATATCTCTGTAATCGGAGTTGTTCAAGTACTGATTATCCATGGCTCTCAACAAACCTTCCACCGTCGGCGGCGCGCTGCCGCTTCTGTGCACATCGACGACGTCTCTTTCGCGTTCTCGTTCTCGGCCGAATGTTTGCCGGTTACGGTGCTGTTGCAGCAGAGATTCGAGCTCCCTCTGGAATCGATCCTCGAGATCCACATTGGATCCTCGATTCACACTCGTCATGTTTGATCTCGTATCCATGTAACTACCAGTGACCATCTCTCCGATTCATCTGAATACCTAATCTACCACCTGCAAAACCAGAAAAAAAGAAACAATTTCGTGTCGGTGTGTTTATGATTTTTCCAAAATTCACGGAATCGGAGAATCCATCGGTTTTCTAAGAAGGATTGATCGGAATCCGATCGCGATCAAAGTAATCAACTCACGATTTTCAATGCGTACGGTATTCGTTCTCTCGTTCACGTAAACACGAAACGGAGAGGAGGATGAAATGAAACAGGAGACCGATTTAGAGAAGAGAGAATCAAATGACGACCATTGTAGGGAGAAACTTAGAGCGAGTGAGATTTTAAAAGGGGAAAGAAATCTAGTGAGGATGAGGAATTTGGAGGAGATCGAAGAATGGGAGAAGGTAAAGACAAAAGAGGCCAAGCATGGAAGTCTGAGATCGCCTTCATCCTCTGGTAATTCTTCCAAAGTGTCACTTGTATTAAATTCGATATATCTCTTATGTCCTTTTCTTAATTTTTAATTATAAAGTATAAACTGATTTCTTAAGAAGCCATTATTATTACGAATTTACGATACCATATGGTCTCTGATATTTTTTGTGGACAAAAACATAAGGATAGTGTAAGGATCATTTATCAATGATTGAATTACTAATCGAAATTAGGAATATCTTATACAGAAAAGCAAAAGAAATACTGAAATATACATAACTCATTTCTTTTTAACAGTTGCATTATATAAATTTAAATTGGGAAAATGACATAATTATATTACTATTATTAGTCTATTACATACACTAACCAATATCGTTTCAATTTTAATATTTAAAAAAATAGATCCGCATCTTATCCTAGAGTTACTTGTCACATGAGAAAGCCCAGTGGACTTCATTGTTGACAATTAGCCATTGGGCAGTAACCTTTTAGTACCATATATTTTATTCCCTCCCAAAACAGTTAATTTTTTTTCTTAACAGCCTATAAAAAAAAAGTCAATAAACTCTTGCAGCCCACTCAAACATTCCTTGGAAGTCGGGACTCTAGCGAAGTGCAATGACCAAAACACCCCGCCTACAGTGACCTTCTATGCATAGTAAGTTGAGAGGGTGAAATCGTAATTTACAGATTCATTTTTCCATTACAGTGGATTCCATTTCCATATTTGGCTATCTCGAATATCTCCTCCTCCTTCTTCTTCCCATGATCGCTTCGCTTCCCAACGCAATCCTCTTCAGCCAAGTCTGAATCTCCCTCTTTCTCTCTCCCCGATCTTCCATGTCAGCCGCTTCCATTCGCCGTCTAGCCGCCGGAGCCGCTGTAATTGCCGCTGCATCCGGTGGCGCTGTCTACCTTGCACCGTCGGTTGCCTCCAGCGACAGAGGCGGTGGTCCGATTCTAGATTCATTGAGGCGTAGGATTGGTGATCCCTCCGCTTCCGTGCCGTCTCGATCTGCTCAAGAGTCTGTTCTGATTGGAGCCAGCTCCTCTAATCCGCTCGATGTCCTCGTCATTGGCGGTGGAGCCACCGGCTCTGGAGTCGCTCTCGACGCTGCTACTCGTGGCCTCCGTGTTGGTCTGGTCGAACGAGAGGATTTCTCCTCCGGGACGTCTTCGCGATCAACAAAGCTAATTCATGGAGGTAATCGTACATTTTCAAATTTTCTATGTCGCGTTGGGTATCCGAAATTCAAATTAGAAGCTCTCTGAATCATGTGCTATAAATGGTATTATAAAACTAATTTTTTTCCAGTTGAATTTGAATAATATGATTTGGTTATTCAATTGGCGGAATTAGAAAATTTGGTGAATTCTCCCATTATCAATCTATCAACGACAATGTTTGGATTTTGGGAGAAAAAGTTGAAGAATTTATAGCTCTAACTGTTGTATTATTGTTTTTAACTTCAATAATTGAAGGATTATAACGTTATTAGTGCTCGTTTACACTGATATTGATTAGGTGTTCGTTACTTGGAGAAAGCTGTTTTCAATCTTGATTATGGACAGCTGAAGCTTGTATTTCATGCGCTCGAGGAGCGCAAACAGCTCATTGAGAACGCGCCGCATCTCTGCCATGCTCTGCCCTGTATGACACCATGTTTCGACTGGTTCGAAGTAGTCTACTTCTGGATGGGATTGAAAATGTATGACTTGGTCGCAGGACCACGCTTGTTGCATCTCTCCAGATACTACTCTGCAAAAGAGTCCGCTGAGCTCTTCCCCACTCTTGCAATGAAAGGGAAAGAGAAGAACTTGAGGGGCACTGTGGTGTATTACGACGGGCAAATGAATGATTCGCGTGTGAATGTGGGTTTGGCATGTACTGCCGCGTTAGCTGGTGCTGCAGTTCTCAACCATGCCGAGGTTGTATCGCTTATCACAGACGATGCTACTAAGAGAATAGTTGGTGCTAGGGTTCGTAACACTCTCACAGGTAAAAAAATGAGTAGCAACTTGTTGAATTTAGTATGCCTCTGCTCTGTGATGATTTTGTGCAGTTATAAATGAAATGCTTTGTTTTCGACAGGCAAAGAATTTGACAGCTATGCAAAAGTAGTTGTGAATGCGGCTGGACCGTTCTGTGATTCCATTAGGAAGATGGTTGATGAAGATACAAAGCCAATGATATGTCCAAGCAGCGGTGTGCACATTGTGCTGCCTGATTACTATTCTCCAGAAGGGATGGGATTGATAGTCCCTAAAACTAAGGATGGTCGCGTTGTGTTTATGTTGCCGTGGTTGGGACGAACAGTAGCTGGGACTACAGACTCTAACACGTCAATCACTGCGCTTCCAGAACCTCATGAAGATGAGATTCAATTCATACTGGACGCAATCAGCGACTATCTTAACATTAAGGTATGTCTAGATTCAGCTTAAAGATTGATAATCTAATCAATTCAGTTGATGATAATAACCTTGGCAAAATTTCACTAGGTTCGACGTACTGATGTTCTTTCGGCTTGGAGTGGTATCCGTCCATTGGCGATGGATCCAACAGCGAAGAGCACAGAGAGTATCTCGAGAGACCACGTTGTCATCGAGGAATGTCCTGGTTTGGTTACAATCACAGGTGGAAAATGGACGACTTATCGAAGGTTAGGAATTTGTGGAATATAAGCAGAATGTTTTCAAAGCTGTGTTGTTATTATTATTGCTCATCTGTAAACTTCGTTTCAGCATGGCGGAAGATGCGGTTGATGCAGCAATCAAATCGGGAAAGCTGACTCCAACAAATGAATGTGTGACACAGAAGCTACAGCTTCTTGGTTCTTACGGATGGGAACCATCTTCATTCACAGTTCTTGCACAGCAGTACGTGCGCATGAAGAAAACCTACGGTGGTAAAGTGGTTCCTGGAGCTATGGACACAGCTGCTGCAAAGCATTTGTCTCATGCCTATGGTTCAATGGCTAACCGAGTCGCCACCATTGCTCAGGTTCGGTTCTTCACCAGACTCTTCCTTCGTCATGTCCTTGGTTTTCAGTTGATAACATTTTAAATTGGGTTTTGCGAATGCAGGAGGAGGGTTTAGGGAAACGGTTGGCGCACGGGCATCCGTTTTTGGAAGCAGAGGTTGCGTACTGTGCAAGGCACGAGTACTGCGAATCAGCGGTTGATTTCATAGCGAGGAGGTGTAGAATCGCGTTCTTGGACACAGACGCAGCGGCGAGGGCGTTGCAGCGTGTGGTGGAGATTTTGGCGAGTGAACACAAGTGGGACAAGTCGAGGGAGAAGCAGGAGCTGCAAAAGGGGAAAGAGTTTCTTCAAACTTTCAAGTCCTCCAAAAACGCACAGTTTCACGATGGCAAACACAAATAGAAGCTGCCTCCGAGAAATTTAAAACCTATACTTTTATTAAATTTAATTATTATTGTTTTCTTTTTTCCCAAACTGTTGGATTTTGGTAGCGCCTAGCGAATACGAATAATAGTCCTGCAAGGACTGAATATTAATACTGCTATTATTTCACGTTTACCGGATCAAAAGAATTGTTTTTCGACTTCTCAATGGAAGAAGACCCAAAAGTTTAAGAGATTTGTTGGAATGCATTTTACTGGAATATTTATAATACTGTGAGAGCGAAGTGCGATGCTAAGCCGTCATCATATTCGTACCGAAGTTTAAGGGCCAATATTCACCAGGATTCTGCTTATTGGATAGTAACTTATTATAAGCTGTGTTTGTTTAGATTTTAGAATTAACTTGGCAAACCAAATTCTGAAAAGAGAATTCCAGATTGCTCCCTGTTGTTTTGTTAATCCAAGAAAGAAATAAACGTCTTGCAAACATTTCAATTCAAACTGAGTGAATGTTACTTTCTATTTTTGTTTTTCATAAGGCAAGAGAATGAACTCACCTTGGAAAGCTTTATACAAACAAAATCTCTACCAAAGAATTTAAACAAAAACAAAGCTCTCAAGGAAAAGTGTGGGTTCCATATTAGACACCGCAAAAACAAAAGGCTCACGAAACTAAGACAAAAGTTGGAACAAACAAATAAAGAAACGAAAACGAAGACTTTTCGTCGCAGCAGAAATTTGAAGATGATATACATTTTTTATGTCTTTTGCTTGCTTCTCCTCTGTGATTTCACCATTATGATTTTTTTTGCTGCAGCTTATGAGAATAGTGAAACAGATTGGCTGCTGGAGAAGCTTTGTTTATTCACGATAATCCGCGAATGGCTCTGAGGAGTTGATATTCAGTGAGAAAGAATTTCCAAAAGGCGGGATTGAGCATCTGCAGGAGTATCCCTTCCAGGAACATTCACCTTTAGAAGATTTGAATACCTGCAACGCAAATAATTCGATTTTATTAACAAGTTGCCTCTTTTTCCTTCGTTAAGTACATTGATAAAAAAGGATTTAAAGTTGAGAATCAGACTCTGTGGGTGTGAACATTTGATCGTGTTCTGCTATGAATGCGAGTAACGCCTGCATAAAATCAGGTAAATCATTTGAGTCTTAAGAATGTTGAGAGAAGAAGGAAAAACCAAGAGAAACAATCTTCTTTTGTCCTGCTAACCTCGAATGGCATGTTTAGTAGTTCAAAGTAAGTACGGACACGATCTAGGTTCTGTTGTACGGTTTCACCATCGATATATGGAATAGCTGCCATGGCCTGCGCATGTACATAACAAACAAATGTAGACAGTGAATGCTATTGGAATTGCTTAAAAAGATAATGAAACTCTCGACACCAAAAAGTAACTGATCTTTACCTGTTCCAATGCAATAGTGTTTCGACATATTTGTTGAACTCCAAAAAGGTTGATTGATCTCATGTCAGCCAAAGCCTACAAAAATTACGTAATAAGAGAACGTTACGGCTTAGAAAGATGATCGTCAATTGTTAGCCACAGATCTTATCAAAAGGAGAGGTGTTTACCTTAATGGACGCATTTGCCGCAATGCCACAAATGCCACCAAAAACATAACTGCGCTTCTCACCAGAGATGAAAGGCGCCATTCCCTCGTCCCTACGTGTTATCTATTAAAAAGAGGAAGCGTAATTAACTTCATGCAGAAATATTGGGGTTGAAATGATTATCATCTTGCAAAACTAGTTCAAAATTATATCCTTCTTCATTAGAGTGATATAACTAACCTGTGAAGTAAGAGAAATCACAAAGTCATCTGGCTCTTCAGCATCCTCATCCTCTAAATATTCCCGAGTCGTCATTTCCTTTTCAACACCATAGTATTTCGTAAGTTTTACAGCACAGATTCAACTTCTCATAGCAAAGGCACATCCATCACATACCTGAAGATGAAAGACTGTTTCCAGTTGCATCTCAACACGGAGAACCTTTAGGCAATCAGTTGCAAGTTTTCTGTACTCATCAGCAAATGATGCCAGATTCCTAGAAGATGTTCCTTGATTCCTGCTATTGCCTTCAGCTTGACTTGATGCTCGAGGAACTGCTTGTCCAAGCCTAACGATTTTTGGAAATTCAAATTTCAGATAAATTTTTCATTTGCTCGCTACTTGGGGAAGGAAGAGAGGACTAAAAGGAAAACCCATCAACCCATGCCAGTTTCTCTTTTACATTGAACGCAAAGGTTTCTGAGTTTCTTTAAAATTAGAGCTGGAAGTCTATAGTTTACTCTCTAAGCGATCCATTTTTTAACTATGCGTGTCCTTTTGTCCTCCTATTTTATAAAATCATACAATTTCCCGTTTTTTCTTGTGTTCTGATAACATCTTAGATGTACTGAGAGACGAGGAACAAGACATGACAGGAAGACGCATGCATAAAGAATCTGATCCAAGGAACTCACCTTTCAATAGAGTCTGCGACGTATTCGAGTGAGTCACTAAGAGAGGCTAGCAAAATCAGTTTATTGTCATCACGAATTAGATTATCCTGTAAGAAAAACACTTAATTAATCTTCACCAAACCAAAAAATCTTACTAGAATAAGTCTCAGACAACAAATGAAATTTACCTGCTTGATAGGCCGCAAACTCAAGAATAGTTCACTGAGTTCGGTGCCAACAGCCTCAGAGTGAGAAACAGCATGGCCAAGCGGAGATGGCAAACAAGCACTCGCAGCATCTAGTCGCATCAATTTCTCAATGTCATGCCTCCCAATGAGCATGTAACTCTGCTTCTCTAGAACAGCCTGATATAATTAATAATGAAACTTATGGTCAGAAAAGTGTGTACAATGGAAGAAATACATCCCTTTATAGTTAGGGACACTTCAGGGACATTGAATTGATAAGAAAATGGTGTATGGAAATGCAGAATTTTATCATAGACGGGACCAAGGTGCATGAAAGATTGGTAAGAAGTGAGAAAACACGTGCCTCCATGTATGATGTTCGACATCTCTCAAATGTTCTCTCAAGAAATGTCTGAACATACTTTACAAGGTCCGTAGCAAATTTAGGCATGGCTTGAGCCCAACCAAGAACCTAGAAAAAGTGAAGAGCAAGGAATTTCATCAAAACAGAGATTTTTATTGATACTTCAGAGCACAAATAAATGGATTGAATTGTGAACTGGAAGCAACCGATACGCTAATCCATTGTCTTTAAGGACAATAAAAAATGTGAAAAGGAACAAAGTTTTGCTAGCAGTTTAAAAGCACAGACGACTTGCCTCTTTTGCAAGGAGATCTGTAGCCAAAAGACCTTGTAAGATTGGTCGGCCTTTTTCCACGGTTGGGGTGTAAGTAGTAGTTGTATGTGCACGAGGCCGAAATGCGGCAGCACCTGCAAAATGATTTTGAGAACCATGAGTTTCTAACCTTGAATCCAAGGACAAATACAAACCTACACTACTGCTACTTCACTTTTATAAATTAGTGAGACTGCAAATATTCCTATAATATCTTTCTTCCCAAGGAGTCTTTGAATATGTATTACACGCTTTAACTTTTCATAAAACTGCCATACCCTATATTGGCAGAATAATCCAGTTAGTTTTGCAAGCAAATGCTTCCGTTTCTACCTTCCGAGGCTAAAACTCCAAGCCTTTGGAGCCAAACTAATAGCTCACCTTTCAAGATGCAATTCTATGCATATTTTCAAAAAATAGCAACAAAAAAACTCTATGATCATATCTCTATAGTTACGAACTTACTTGATATAGCTTGCTGTACGCCTTTCCTATAGTCTACAAACATTGTTGGTAACAGGTGGTCCTTCACAAAGTTCTCGGTGAATGTAAGCAATCCATCATTCCTGCATCAAATAATGAAAACTCGATAGTGAAAATACTGGCAACATCTCAGGACTTCAGAAAACAACAATTTCAACTTTCACTTTGGACACTGAGAACCATGAGCAGAGGCAAACAAAAAGTTTGAACTTACACAAGCTGGGAATGCTTTTTGGGCAACATTGAAGTGATTTTATCTGTAAACTGCAAGACACGTAATAACATAAGTCTACTGAAAAAGCTGTTGACATTAAATGAAAAAGGTTAGATGAACCAGAACCAAACCTGAAGAACAGGCCGGTAAATAGATGCAGCTAGATATATTCCTTGTTCAGGCAAAACTGCTGCAGTTCCATAACCTTCCTGCGATGCATTTGGAGCCCTCTTTCCCCAGCCTTGACGAATGAGATCAGCTCCTGTCAATAGCAGATAACGTCATTAACTCCACCAAAGGAATTATAACTAAAGAAAAGGCCGAATGATTGATTAATACCCTGATTAGAGACTGATACAGTTACATCTGTAAACCGAAAGGTGAATGTTAAACCATCTTCAGTTGCACCCCTGCAGTCAACAATCATCAATCAAGCATTAATAGTTTAATACTATTAACTAAACTGCAGAGTTTCACATGCATATCTAACATATAGCCTTGCAGGACACTGCGATGCTGAAAGAAAGTGCAACATGTTTCTATGTTAACCAACGTTTGAACTAGTTCCTATATTGACATTTAAAAGGATAACTCAAATTCAACGACCTCAGACAACATATATGTGTTATACTCTTCAGTGTTCCACTTTACTAGCGTGCTGAATAGCACCTAAGGTAAACAATTTCTAAATTTAGGTTTCATAAAATCTTCTTACAAGATCACCAGAAGAAATCTATGCTATAACATCCTCTCTATATGATTGAATGACCACATCAGGTGATCCACAGCCCGATGAAAACATGCTTGTACCTTCAAACCAGGCTTATCATATCAAAACCTTAAGTGACTAATTCTGGGGAATCATTCAATGTCTATTCATCAACATGATAATGAGAAAACCATCTCAGTAAAGCAAACAAACATAAGGTGACCTTCAATTCATTAAAATGTATGAACTACCAATGCTTGAGGGTCACTTGCCTTTTGTCTTTCTTGGGAGCCTTCTTTGCAAGTTTAGCAGTTTGTGCAGCAGCATCAGCTGAAGCAGCTTCTGGAGTTGCTCGTAGAATCTCACATATGAGTTGTTGACATTCACTCTTCATCATTAATACATAGAATTTCAATAAGCAAAGGTATGAGAACCCAGTAGTTCAATGTAGATTAATCAACATATAGTTTCATGACAAATTGGATATTTTGAAATCAATAAGCGCACCTGTAAGACTGTCAAGGGAAAACCGATAGTATAGCCTCCAGTAGCTTGGGATGCTTCAGAATCAGTGTTCCAATTCACATCAGTAGGCAATGACTTCGGTGTGTTAATATCATGTTGCGAAGCCTTCAATTCCAAAAGCTCTCCAATAACAACATGATTTTCTATAGAAGCAACAGTAAGATAATCTTGATTTTTCACTATAAAAAAATGTAATAATGAGATGAGTTAAACCGTTGAATTGCTCACCAAATATCTTGACAATAGTATCTAAAATTGAGTCAAGAAGCTCTTTTGCAGCCGTCTGCGCTTTGCCTCCAGGAGCCATAAGAGGCGAAACAGGGCTCACAGCCAGGTGAATTCCTGAATTTGATATCCCATTTTGAGGTTTCTCTTTTGATAATCTGTAAGCCTCTGACTGCCCTTTAATCAACTGCAATCCTGCAGCATTTCGATCACCCTGACTACAGGCGGACTTTGACAAATTTGTAGTCTCCATATGGACTTTAATCTTGGATATTATGATCTCATGAATTGTGGGTCGAAGTTTCTGGCTGGAAGAGAACAAAAAATCATCACTAAGAAAAGTGCAACAATTTCTATAACGGAATGTACTTGTTTCCATGAAGTTGAATTTTTTAATGTAAAACTAGCAATATTTGAGCTGCATCAGTTTATCAATTCACCTCTAACTTCAAGGATGATAAACATTCACTGGTCCTAAAAATTACACATTTACATATGATAACGATAGTATCTAGTGATGACGCCGGTGACAAGTCAACTAACAAAATGAGGCCATCGGCTAGCTATCTAAAAAAACTAAATGATATTAGAGTGATTTTCCGATGACTAATCCAGTCTGTAGAACAGAAATCGTAGCATTTTTAAAACCATCTACAAAAATGAAAAAATAGAAAGCCAACCATATGATAGCACCAGCAGCTGCAACTTTGCCAAGCATGCAGAGACACTGTACAAGGGTCTGTAGATACTTCACATGTAGTGGATCATCACTCTTTCTTACTGCTTCCTGAAACAGGAGAAGAAAGCAATGTCATATCACTGAAAAACTTGGGCAGAAGATATGTTGTATAACCGTGCCACAAGCACATACAATAAACTCGTCAGGAGTGGAATCAGAAAGCCAAGGTGGAAGTAGATAAGAAAGCCTTTTACTATCAGTGCCATTCCTTCCATCTGCGGTGGCTTCATCATGTTCTACAGAGTCCTCTTCCTCATGTCCATCAAATGATGAACTAAGAAACACAATGTGGTTAACGAAACACACATTAGCGAAGTCAAGGAATGGCAAAACAAGAAAATGATCATTCATAAAGCAGCAGAAAGGTAGCAACCTAAGATTGACAAAGCAACTTTTGCCATACTCGATTTACAGTGTACTTTCTTTTATTAACAAGAATTTTCATGAAGGAGATAATAAGGAGAGCCTCCACATAATGATTACAGAAATGATGCAAGTATGGTACTCTCAATACTAATAATAAAGCCGTGAGAGCCTCTACGGAATCACTCAAAGTAAAATTTATTTTCACACAAGAAAAAAGTGTTCCTCAAATCCCATGGAGAGAATAAACAGAAGGGAAGGTTGCAAAATCATACCCTTCATCTATAGAACCTGTTCTATGTGAACCATTTGTGAGCCCTCTAGCACCAAACTGACTATCACCTTTCAGTGTTCGTGTTCTACGAGATAGTGGTTGTGAGCTCATTCGACTAGCTGCAATAGCTGTTGTTGTTGGTACTTCGTCATCTCTTTCATTTATGCTTGACGCAACTGAACTGCAGCATAAACAAGGTCAATAACAGAAGATAGTGCAGTGATGGTAGTGATGAGGCACACTATCGAGCAACTAGGCCACTGGAACCAAGGATACAGGGTAAAAAAAAATTATAGAGGCGGAAAGACAGCTACCTGTATTCGCCTCTGTTGTATAGGTGTGCATGCAAATCGTCTAGAATTTTGAAGAAAAGGGCTCCCCGCAGCTTAGTTAGCTCAGATCTAACATCTTGAAGAGCACCAACCTAGGTGAACGTACCAGAATATCTATGAGTACAACATCCAAGTGAACAGTACATCCATCGAACAGAGATAATTAGAAGATCCAAATTGAAATGATATGATACCAGCTCCCCCTCAATGGAATTATAACAAAACGGTCATAGAGATCAAATTGACAAATGAATGTGAAGACTGAAAATATTTCCATACGATTGCTTTTCCAGGAATAAGGCAGTAAGCAAATTACCGTCTGAAGCCCCTCACGCTCAAGCATCATAGACGAATGGAGATACACCTGAATAGCAGCGTAAAACTGCTTATCAGCAATGAGCTTCTCGATGCGAGCTGGAACCTGTTCAATGTTTCAAGAGGCAGAGCCACCATTTTTACATCAGAAAAGCAGATTTTTTTTTTTTTAATTTAACATAAAGTGAAAGAAAGTAAGTACAAATATTGGAAACATATCAACAAAACCATCAGAAATACAGAGTGCTATCATGAAGAAGTATAAAACTTGCAAATACACATCAAGCACCGTCCACACAAAATCAACTAAGAAATGTTACGGCTAATCCAACCGACCTTAGCAATACCCTCGATTTGATCCAAAAGTGCGATGATGTGCCGCAATGTAACAGAGCGGTACCACAACTGGTGTAATTGTTTATTGCGTGTACCCAAACTCTGCTTCGCTTCTGCCAAATCATTCTTCAAGTCGCCTATTTTATCAGTGGACTCACTGAACAATCGCAAGATCTGATGAGGAATACATTGAAAGTTGGTCAAAAGAAGAGAGAGAATCAAAATCATGGGTACTACACCAACGAAATTACTAGATCAAATATTTCTTGAGTACAAAAGTATAATTTAGAAATCACTGAAGCATCCATGATTTAGTATGGATAGTAGATTTGTATCCTTGGTAAATGAAACAGGCAATCTGGAAATCAATGAACGGTAACAAAAGTTTCTGGGATGTATTTCTGCTTGCTGCTCTAGAAGAAGAAAAAAAAGGGGCTACTAGCTAGCAAATATTAGGAACCTGGGAGTAGTTTTGAATGGCCTTGTTGAAACCACCATGATAAGCATGCACAACTTCATCCACAACCTCCTCGACAACATCACTTTGTTCCTTTAATATACGAATGTCAGCTTCACGGTCTTTAGATGTAAGGATGTGGACCACATGTGGCAAAGAGTCAAAGCGTGCAGCAGCCCAGCTCTCATCTATTCGTGCCAGCTCATCCCTCAGGTACTGCAATCACCCTCATCACTCAGGCACACACATACACACACATATATACTCCAAAAACGAAATTAAAAAGCGATAATTCTAGTCGATTTCCTATCTTCCAGTAAACCCCAACTCCATGCTGAAGAGAATTAAGAAAACTTCCGGCATACTGGACTTACAAACTTCCGGCATAAAACTTTCATGTTTCTACAAAATTCCTAAGGCCAAACTTATGATTCTTTTCCTTAACTAGGAGTGAGTACACTGGACTTACAGTTTTATCCGATGGAACAGGCAAGCCATTGAAAATTCCCATACTGGAAAACTTGGCTTGTTCGAGCCCAAATAAGGATTCCTCAGCACATTCCAATCAAGCACTCTGTAGCTGAAAGCAAAAAAAATCAAAACTCAGCACGGATTGAACACATACATGAGTTCGATTCTACGTTGAATCACGGTTATAAACAGTTCGATACACACACAAAATACAAGGAAGCTAGTAGACCGAACGGATGACACAGAATTCAAGTCAGGAGAGCACATTGTAAACATTCAATCATCACTCCTTCAGCGAAAGATCTAGCGATAAGCAGAGAAAGACAATCCAATTACATGAAAATTGCAATTGAAGGAGAGAGACTATTGGCGTATACAGAAATCGAAGTTACGAATCAAACACTGCGTCTTGAAGTAGATCTAGAGAGGAAAATCGAGGAACGAGTTTGAGCTATGAATCTACCTGGGATGCGAATCCTCGTTCGAATCTGATCAGTGCGTCCCCGATCACGAAGAGAAAAATCTAAATCTCGAAGAAATGGAGAAGTAGAAAGGAAAAAATCCAAACGAATTCTTCTAGTTTTCCAGACTTTTCTTCTCTCTAATTGTTTTTCTGTTCTTACTTTTTCCTTGTTTTCTGTTTTCCCCCAATTTGTTTATAATATTGATTTAATTGTGAGAAAATAATCACACACGCAAAAAAATGGACCAACTTTTTTTTTTTGTTCGACGACAGACATTTTCGTAGTGTACATAATTATTAAGAAGAACAGCTACATGTAAGCCACAATGAGAATGCGTTTTGCTTTGGGATTCGATACACAATGAAAAATGATGTTTTGTTATTATACATATATAATCAAAAATTTGGGTGTGGCTTCTTGATACATTTACTTGACTATAGTGCGGGAAAATTTGTAAGCAAACAAATGTAACATAGGTGGTAGTCTGGTAGATTAAGATTATAATAAGAACCACAATTAATAGAAGTAACACCTGCAAATCCAATAATAGAAGAATGTAGTTAAAACTTAAAACAGTAATCAGAAAACAAGAGTTTCGAGTGGATAGAGTTTATTAATTAATCGGACTGGGGGTATTACTAGTCGATCGTTTCGATCACAAATTAACGATGAATTAATCGGACCGAGGGTATTAGTAGTCGATCGTTTCGATCACAGATTAACGATGTATAGGCCATTATAATATAATTGCAGTGTATAGCTTAGCTCAGATGCTTGGAGTTGGAGATTAGGCAATTAATTTACGGCCCTCTTAAGTATCAAATAAGCTGTGTTGTTGTAAGAAGTTGCGGGTGAAAATCTATGTTCCCATATCGCGAGTAGAAGAGCTGACTATAGTCTACCATGAAGACTTGAGTGAATAATCACCTGGTTGTGTGATTCAGCTCTTATCAAACATATCGTCACAATTTAATCCCAATCCTATCCCAATCCTACCACAAACGTCTAAACGGTTTCGATGATGTGATGTGGACAAACGACATCATCAAAACCATTTGGACGAGAAACTGTGCTAACAATTGTAACAAGAGCCGAGCCACATAACCAGGTGATCGTCCACCCGGAACTGGTTCGTGTACACGCAAGGTTTCACCGATCAAATGACGATCCACGCGCGTGAGAAGCACATTGTGGTGCAGAAAGATGAAGAAAAATCTCAATCGCAAACAAGTTGATGATAAAAACTAGACAGAATAGCGATGGACAAACTAACTTCTTCTCTCTTTATATATCCACCCATTAGTCCATTACCCACTGACCTTTTCAAAACTAAAAACCCTAATTTGACTTCCTTTTATCTTTTCTTTTCGAAATTTCTTTTTCCTTAACATGTGTGTCTATATTCTGCATTCTGTGATTGTTCTATATACTTCAATGCATGAAAACAGAAATATGGTAACATTTGATGTATATACAATCTTTTAAGAAACTCTCTTTGAAGATGAAAAATAAAAATATTTGTATTTCCCTAATTTATTCAAATGAGATTATACGGTATATATTCATATAGGAGTTATGTACAACTCACAATCTTCCTATGATACTGCGCGAATATCTAAACAAGATAAACCGAGTATATTTCGCATTATTAATGGGCCGATTCAAAATATATGTATCCGCTGGGCTTTGTTGAAAAATAACTGGGCCTTTCAAAGAATCTAGTAACCAAACAATCCGTTTCTTCCTCCTCCGTCTGTTTTTTTCTTCCTCTCTCTCATCGACCACTTTCCTGCAATTCGACGGCGACGGAACGATGGATCCACCGGTTAAGAACGAAGATAGTGTCCCGTCTGTATCTCACTCTCACTTCTCTATCCCTCTTCCACAATCTAGCTCGAATCCTAATCCAGACCCAAGTTTGAATCCATTTCCGAGTTCGATCTCCAACCCAAGTTTTGAGCAGATGGTCTCCTTCTCCGCGCCAAAGAAACGACGGAGAGGCAGGTCTCAGCGCTCAGCTTCTTCGTTTCACATCCTTCCCGTCCCCAACGCCGGTGTCCTTCCCGGTAACAGTAATTTCGTGCCATCTTCTTCAGCCTCTTATTCCGGTAGACTGAACCTACAGGCCAATGGATCAAACCAGAATGTAAAAAAATATCCTGGGATTGGTGATGAGATCATAACGATCAACAAGGAAGCTACCACTGAAGCTCTGCTAGCTCTCACAGCTGGGTTTCCTGCTGATTTACTCACCGACGAGGAGATTGATTTTGGCGTGGTGCCTGTCATCGGAGGAATCGAACAAGTCAATTACATCTTGATTAGAAACCACATCATATCGAAATGGCGAGAGAACGTATCGAGCTGGGTCACAAAGGAGATGTTTCTCGATTCGATTCCTAAACATTGCGCTAGTCTCTTGGATTCGGCTTATCATTACTTGGTTACACACGGATACATCAATTTCGGTATATCACAGGCGATCAAAGACAAGTTTCCAGCTCAGTCAAGCAAGCCTAGCGTGGTTATAGTTGGTGCTGGATTATCCGGTTTGGCTGCAGCAAGGCAGCTGATGAGGTTTGGGTTTAAAGTCACGGTTTTGGAAGGTAGGAAACGACCCGGTGGACGTGTTTACACGAAGAAGATGGAAGGCAATAGAGTAGGCGCTGCAGCGGATTTAGGAGGAAGTGTTTTGACTGGAACGTTAGGGAATCCTCTAGGGATTATAGCTAGGCAGCTAGGTTCTTCTCTTTATAAGGTAAGAGATAAGTGTCCTCTTTATAAAGTGGATGGTAAACCGGTTGATCAAGACCTGGATATGAAGGTGGAGGCAGCTTTTAACCGGCTTCTTGACAAGGCAAGTAAGCTTCGGCAGTTGATGGGTGATGTTTCCATGGATGTATCCCTTGGTGCAGCACTGGAGACATTCAGGCAGGCTTTTGGGGACGCGGACGGTGTGGCCACTGAGGAGATGGGTTTGTTTAACTGGCATCTTGCTAACTTGGAATATGCAAATGCGGGTTTGGTATCAAAGCTCTCTCTTGCGTTCTGGGATCAAGATGATCCGTACGATATGGGTGGAGATCATTGCTTTCTGCCTGGAGGTAATGGGAGGCTGGTTCATGCTTTGGCTGAAAATGTACCGATCTTGTATGAGAAGACCGTTCAAACAATCAGATATGGTGCAGATGGTGTGAAGGTTACTGCTGGAAACCAAGTGTATGAGGGTGATATGGTGCTTTGTACAGTTCCTCTTGGTGTGCTGAAGAACGGATCCATCAAATTTGTGCCTGAATTGCCACAGAGAAAGCTTGATTGTATAAAGAGATTAGGTTTTGGGCTGTTAAATAAAGTTGCAATGCTGTTTCCGTATGTGTTTTGGAGCACTGATCTTGATACCTTTGGACATCTTACTGAGGATCCGAACTATCGAGGCGAATTCTTTCTCTTCTATAGCTACGCACCAGTCGCAGGTGGTCCTCTCTTGATCGCGTTGGTTGCAGGAGAAGCTGCTCATAAGTTTGAGACAATGCCACCCACTGACGCTGTGACTCGTGTTCTTCAGATTCTAAGGGGTAATAGACACAAGCTCCATTAAATTCAGTTAAAAGTCCTGCATTATTAGTTCAAGATTTGCATTCCAGATTCCATAATGTTGATGCTAATGTATGCTACACATTGCATTTCAGGTATGTATGAGCCACAAGGAATAACAGTCCCTGATCCAATTCAAACAGTCTGCACAAGATGGGGTGGAGATCCATTCAGTTTAGGGTCTTACTCAAATGTTGCAGTGGGAGCTTCAGGTGATGATTACGATATATTAGCAGAAAGTGTCGGAGATGGAAGGCTTTTCTTTGCCGGAGAAGCCACGACAAGGCGGTACCCTGCAACCATGCATGGAGCTTTTGTCACTGGTCTACGAGAAGCAGCAAACATGGCTCAATCTGCAAGGGCCAGAGTCATAAGGAAGAGAATCGATAGGAACCCATCAAAGAATCCTCATTCTTGTGCTACACTTCTTGCAGATTTGTTCAGGGACCCTGATATGGACTTTGGGAGTTTTTCCATAATCTTTAGCCGGAGGAATCCGGATCCAAAGTCTCCTGCAATATTAAGGGTAACGCTAAGCGAGCCACGTAAGAGGAACGAAGATCCAAATCAGCACTCAAACAAGATACTGTTTCAGCAGCTTCAGTCTCATTTCAATCAGCAGCAACAAATTCAAGTGTATACGTTATTGACTAGACAACAGGCACTTGAACTGAGAGAAGTCAGAGGTGGTGATGATAAGAGACTTTACCATCTATGCGAGACACTTGGAGTGAAACTGGTTGGAAGAAAAGGTCTTGGTACTGGAGCTGATTCCGTCATCGCCTCCATTAAAGCCGAACGAACCGGTCGCAAGCCACCATCGTCCTCATCTTCAGGCTCAAAATCTGGTTAGGCTTCCATAATTTTCTGATCTGATTACTTCATGCTTGTCTTATAGAATCAGTAGTAACGTCTTTCAACTTTTTTTCTGTATTGAAAAGGTATGTTAAAAGTGAAATCCGGTGCATTGAAGCGGAAGCTGATCAGGTATAATGTGCAATAAATCTCTCGCATTTATCAGAAAATCATTTCTTACAACTTGTTGCTTTTTGTTGTTGCACAGGAGGATTAAAGGACCTGTGGCGCCGAGTCAAAGTAATAATCATAACAATGGCATCTCAGAGACTATAAAATCAGAGTCTTTAGGTAATGGCAAAGCCTCTGAGCAACCTACAATAGTAGAGTCCATAGGAAGCAGCATGCAAGAGGAAAGCAAATGGTTGGGCACTGGAGTTGCATCGAGTTCCGGTATTCATTCTTCTTAATTTATGTCACTCGTCGGACTATTTTCCCTTTTTATCAAATTCTGATCAACTTACATCGATTCGATGATGACATGTAGCAGTAGGTGGTTCCTTACAAGGAGAGATGGAGACGAGAACATAAGTAGTTCTGCTCTCATCTCTGACATAGCCGAGACACTGGAAGAGATATAGCCGTCCGGTGCTAAGTTTACGAGACGATGACCTGTGACATGACTCTCCTTCAAAAGTTCACTCCACTTCTGTCAATTCCTGACAGATTGTGGAGTCTCATCTTTCTTTACATTGTAATTTTATGTTTTTAGGCATATTTATATGTATGTAATGTTTTGTAGAATGCACTTAAAAATTAATTGAATGACGCAATTCTCTCTGTTAATCAAAGTAATAAATGTTCAAAGTTAATTTAATAATTTGTTAAGTCATCATAAAGATGGATTAGCAAGTGTCAAAAAAAGAAAAACAATTATGGATTATATCACAAATTCAATTTTTTACATTAAAAATGGTATATAAATACTTTACTTTAAAAGCTGGTCATAGCGGAACACTACACAAGTGAAATAATTTGTGGAAAAAATTGAAAATGGCGCAGACGAAGAAGAAGAGGACTCACCAATGCGACGACGAACCGGACGACATTTTCTTCTACCGCTATTCTTCCATCGCAGCACCACCTTTACCTCCTTCGAACCCTAAACAAGCTTCTTCCTCCGCCACCAAATCATCAGCTCCCGGCGGATCCGGCGGCTTGGCACCTTCCAGATCGACGCTCTACATCTCCAATCTCGATTTCTCGCTCACCAATTCCGACATCCACACGCTCTTCTCCACCTTCGGCAAGGTCGCGCGAGTCACCGTCCTCAAGGATCGCCAGACTCGCCGATCCCGCGGCGTCGCCTTCGTGCTCTACGTGTCTCGCGATGACGCGGCTAAAGCGGCGAGTTCAATGGAAGGGAAGATCCTTAACGGACGGAAACTGACGGTTTCGATCGCCGCCGATAACGGACGAGCGTCGGAGTTTATTAAGAAGAGAGTGTACAAGGATAAATCCAGGTGCTACGAGTGTGGAGACGAAGGGCATCTTTCGTATGAGTGCCCTAAAAATCAATTGGGTCCTAGGGAGAGACCGCCGCCTCCGAAGAGAAGGGGACGGCGGAAGGAGGATGAAGGAGAAGCTGAGGAAGGGAGATATTTGTCGGCGCCGCCGTCGGCTGTGACGGAAGGGTTTGAGGAGGAGAATTGGGCTTCGGTGGTGGATAATGAAGCTGGAGAGAGGTTGATGATGAGAGAAGCTGAGGAAGAAGAAGAGATGAGAAAGAAGAGAAAAGAGGCTGCAGGGAAGAAAGTTAGCTACTTTAGTGATGAGAGTGATGATGAAGACTAAGTTAGATCCATTTTATAGCTATGTGAATATAAATATCAAATCAGAGAGAGGAAGAGAGATTTGAACAAACTTCAAGAACAAATTCAATCTCATGTAGGTTTCAAGAATACTCAACTCTTTTTAAGTTCTTGATTCGAAGAAATTACAATGATTTTTCATCAATGCATTTGAGCTGTTGATTTTAAGATTACACTCTTTTGCAACAATCCATTGTGAGTTGTACACTGCAATTTGTAGAGTCATGTTGCAGAATCTGAGGAATCTCGAAGCTTTTCCTATTGTCTCTCTCAGTTGAAACTTTCAGATGGAATTGCTCCTGGTCTGCATATACAAGAAGTGTTGATTATGTGTATCAAGATTCAAGACCACAGCTAGCTGAAACTAGTGGTTTTGGTGCGAAAATTTTGAGATTTATACTAACCAACAACTCATGATCTCCCATGACTTCTTCAATCAATTCCGAGATTGGTTTATCAGCGCTGTTTGGAACCATGGCTGCAAAGACAGCTGGTTCAAGCCCTGCATTTGATCAACCAGTTTTAGAAAACATGCCTTAAAACTCTTTTTTTGTGTTTTGTTCTTTATTCATTTTGGATTTGGAGGTGTACCAGTTTCTGGGAATGCATCAATGAACATCATCATCTCTTCTCCTGTCAGACCAGATAAGAAGCATATCCGAGGCAGAGACTCTGCGATCTGCAAAGGAGAATTAATGCAAGAAACGGACGCAAGAGAGAACCTTGAATGGAAACTGGAAGTACAACATACTTTGACTCTCTTCAGGTCAGGCTGTCTTGTGTTAACTGCTTCCCATAACGAACGCGGGATCATATCTTGTGTACAGAGCATAATCTGGAGTTTTCCTCCAAACAACCAACATTAGTCCAACAGTTTTAGGATCTTGCAAGAGTAAAGATGTCAGAGAGAGTTATTCCGATTTACCTTCATGAATTCGCCTTCGAGCTCCTTGAGAAGCTCTTGTATCTGCATTACAAGATGATAGTTTAGTCAAAAAGATTTGTAACGTGTGTGTGTAGTTCTATTTCCGTTTTTATATTACCTTTTGTGCTTCATGAAACTGAAAGCCGAGCAACAGCAAAACCTGCAAAAGAATATACATTAAGAAGTGTTGTTTATGATCACTGACTTCTAACAGTAGGCAAAATTGAAAGAAACTGACTGGAGGGCCGAATAGAGGATCTTGAGGATCCAAAGGTACAAACTTTGAATCTTCCTCTAGTTCCTGTGGAATTTCTTGAGCTGAATCTTGAACGCGGAGCTTTTGCTTGAGCTTTGTGTTTGTGTGGTGGGGATTGTTCTTTGGCCATAACAAAGAAGACTTAGCAAGCCCAAAGATGCGAGAGCTAACTAGGTAGGTATATGAAGACGAAGAAGAAAAAGAAGTCGGCCTTGAGATTGCAGACCTCAACGAAAAAATCGACATTGCTTCTTCTCCCTATCTCATCTGTATCTTGTTTCTAAGATAAAATTGTTCCAGTTACCAGTCATATCATGCCATGTGTCATATAGAAACAGCATCAAAAGAACTTCTCGCTTATATTGACGAGATTTTTAATAAGGAACTGAATGATGTGATTTAGATTATGTTTTCTGCTATTGCAAAAGTTCAAACATTACCAGTAGAAAAACCATAGTCAAATTTTGTTATCTTTCTAAGAGTATATGTTTTTTTTTTCGGTTGATCAGAGTATGAAATTGTACAACCCACCTACATAATACTTTTTTTTAGATCAAATTACAGACGTCGAATGTTTACAACACACATTGTGCTTTTTGTTTGCTGTTTTTGATTTTTTAAGGTTTTCCTGCAACCCAAAAGAAGATGGAATCACATCTGAGCAACCAGCTCCTCTCCCTCTGCAGGTACATCCATAGGAACTTCACGAAGCGAATTCTTCATCCAACTCTTAAGCATGTTTAACGCAGCTTTTGGCTGGTCCATTGGAACCATGTGTCCTGCGTCTTTCACCTGTTACCATCAAACCATTTGTTGTTACTATTAAGACAATCAGTAAAACCAAAGAAACAGACTGTGTGGTTTACGTAGGAAAAGCCAACCTTGAGGAAGCTTAGTTGTCCAAAACTCTTTAGAGAGCCTGCTTCTTTGCCATCAACCAAAAACGGAACTGCTTTAGTTGCCTTGAAGCTCTCTTTCCCTGACCACTCCATTGCATTCACCCACCTTGAGTTACCTGCTCCAGTTCAAGATATGAGAGATTAAACAATTGTATTTACAGTCTTATCATTTGACTGTCATCTTTTTGGAATATACCAAGCCAGTTGCAGATGAGATCATATTCTCCAGCATACACAAGAACGTTTATTCCATCTTCCAAGAGCGCTGGGATTCCAAGCTCGAGATCTCTCATCCAATCTTGTAGCATTGCTGAATAGACACTAGTACTACACGAGACGAACTCTATGTCCCCAACACCAAGCGACTTTCTCACTGATTTAAGGTTCAAGAATTTCTCCATGTTTGAAAAGTCGTAGCACATACTCCCCTCGCACTTCTTCCTGATGTCATAATACTACACAAGAAAAATGTGATATCACTTACTTTACATGTAGAAAGGTTGAACAAAAATTGCTTCTCTAATGGTTTTTCAAGTAAAGAGAAATTTCACATGATGTTGCCAGAAGCAGTATTATCTGGAAATCCTATTAGATAGTTCTTTTGGGCTTACGTTTACTCCACGAGCATGGTTTATCACACCAGTGAACAAGGTGTTGCAAACAAGATATGACGCCAAACAAGAAACTGTTCCATCAGTTCCTGAAAAACCCCAAAACAAACAAAAGAACAAAAATACGGATTCAGGATCCATCAAAACACATGGAGAAATTTAAAAACATAACTTGATGATGAAAAAGGGAGGAAGTACCACAAAGCTTAATTGATAGTTCACACAGTGGGACAATTTTTTCTAAACGATTATGCTCTTCTTTCGTGATTAAACCCATTGTCAAAGCATAGTCAGGATAGGCTGGGTATTGGATTGCAGGATCTGTAAGACCGTTTCCAATGGCGAATCCCTGCAAAATTATACTAGTGAGTACAAAACCCTCCTATAACAACACCTTTACGAGACAGAAAAAAAGAAACAGTCACATGCCTTAAGGTTAACATGAACTCCCTCGTTAGCCTTGTTTCCTCTGTGGACTCGGGAAGCAAATGCTGGAATGTAGTGGCCAGCATATGACTCTCCAGTTATGTAAAAGTCCTTTTTAGCCAAGTTAGGGTGCTCCGCAAAGAAAGCCTAAGGTAACATCAGGAAACATAGTCAGAGAAAGAACCTAATTTTTTCCAAGACTCAAGAAAACCAAAAAGTCTAAAAGAGGTTTATCCGATTCAAAACTTGAAAGCAAGTTTCTGTATTCACAAAATTTCAGAAGAAAAAAGTCCTCAATCTAAAGTCCAGTGACCAAACCTGCAGAAAATCGTATAGATCATCGCTAACACCGGTTTCATCATGACGAATATCACTTTTATCTGTTGTGTAGCTGAAACCAGTACCAACAGGCTGATCAACATACAGAAGATTGGAAGCCTGCAAGATAAATTCTCAATTAACAACTCTCATGTACAAAAATTAAGAGCAGTAAAGCGGGCTTAGCAACCACACATTCACTAGTAAGAATTGAGAAAATCGTTTACAAGAATCATCATATAAGGTAATACCTGATCCCATCCATACTCATTCCAAGCAAGAGACATGTTCTGAGTGATCGTGAAAGGTCCATTCTCATAGAACATAGCCAACTCACCGCTACATCCAGGCCCTCCAGTCAGCCAAATCACAATAGGATCATCCTCCTTCTTCTTGCGTGACTCAAAGAAGAAGTAGAACAGCCTAAACACACCAAGCCAACAAACATTTCAACTATCCTCACTAGCTACTTTGAGATTCATATTAGAAAGACGTCACGAAGAGTTCCAATGTTCAAATCGAAATAATAAACACAACTTAGTCCAGAGCTAGCTGCAAATAATTCTGTGTGAGCCAATAACGAATCAGATACTAAATCTTCACGAACACAAATGAATAGTCAATACATGAACCACCATTGGCATACAAAAAAAATCCAGAGTTAGATATAAACCTTGCGCCTTGGGATTTGGGGAGTTTGTAATAACCAGCATGATGACCTAAATCCTGGACTGTATCGCCGGAATCGCCGGAATCAGCAAGTATATTCGGGAACCTGAAGTTCCGTTCAACAATCGAAGGTCCTTCCGCGGCAGTGAGAGTCGAATCAGCACCATCGATCACGTTCGCGTCTAGCTTGGGGAAAAGGTTTAGCTCCCGGATCAGATCCCCCGCCCGCGATGACGGCAAGCTCGATATCTCGAAGCTGCGTTCGTTCAAGAGAAACGATGTAGACGGAAACGTACAAGAGATGAAGACGACGAAATGCAAGAGAAGAGAGAGGAGAGTCTGTTTCGCCATTCTCGTTTCCTTTCTTCTTTTTGCAACTGTGCTTTTTCTTTTTCAGATTTCTCGTTATTGAGATTGTATATACAATTGAAGAAGAGAAGGTACACGTCGGCAAAAATTTATCAAAGAAGGATCTTCAGGACGTGTCCTGAAAATTTGGGACAGTTGTGTGAATTTGGAGAAAATAGAGGGTGATCTGTTACGCGAAGATAACGTCTTGGGTAATCAACGGTTAGGCACGCGAGTTCCATGGGAAGCAAAAGATGGTGGGATGTGGGTCCCACATATTCACTTTTAAAAAGAAAAAAAAATATCCGAACTGCCGGAATCGAACCAGCGACCTAAAGATTACTTTGGGGTTTACCCACTACAGTCTTCCGCTCTACCAACTGAGCTAAGTTCGGTTTGTTCGATTACTCATATTTAATCATATATATTGTACTAAATACTTTGACCCCAAGAACGCACTATTAATTGAACACCAAATGGCCCAAATCCTACCCAACAATCACAAACTACATTGATTTACATGTAACTGTACGCATTTATGTTTTCGTATGCAAAAATAATTATGTGTGAGCCATAACAAATCAGATACTAAATTTTCACGCACTTGAATGTCAACAGAAAACAAAATACTTGTACTTGTACGTTTTTGTTTGCATTTTTACGATTTAAGTGTCTAATATATTACAAACAAATGGAGATTAACGATCAAAAGACCCAAGCACAGACCACTACCAGTCTACCACCGTTGAAAGTAAGTAAAACCCATTCGGCTCAAAACAGAAACTGGAAGACGAAGATGAATGATAGATTAGAGGAACCATCTTACAAATAAACTTTTGGTTCGACTTTGATCTCACTAAATTTACTTTCGCTTTCGTTCGGTTTTCTACAGAAGTCTGCAATTTTGGTTCAAGTCTTAATCTGCGGAGTACAACAGTTGACGAATTTTCCATCTGCCGTGCGAAACACCAACTCCTCCTTTGGGTTAAGTTCGTCAAATATGAGAGAGTTCCAAAAGAACTGACAAACATCGGCAGCTCCTTAGAAAGACACGTGTCAACAAGATTGTCCAACTCTCCACGTGGCATCACTTCAACCACTTGCCTAAACGGTTATGTTATCTTTCCCTCCAAAATGGACCCTACCTTTCTCTACAAAGATGCAGTTTCCATGGAGATGCTTTGATCCTGTCGAATCTTCCACTAGTCTCAGTCTTCACGCATCATATTATTGAAAAGAATAAAAAAAAACTAAATAGTAAACGTCGTCGTTTCATTCTGCTTCACAAGTTCTCCTCTTCCTTTTTAGCTTCGTTTTTGCTTACAGAAACACATACACCAGTCGCGAAAAACGAAAAACGGAATCTATTTTTTAATTTGTTAATTTAATTAAAATTGTATATTTTTTAAAATAACAAAAATTTAGAAATTGTGATGAGGGCGTTGAATTCGCGGCTAGTTCTGATCGACATCAACAGCTCATGGCAAGCATCCCGCCGGCTGATCTCCGCCACCGCAACCGCTTTCTCATCAGACTCATCCTCCTCATTTCGCCGAACACGTGGTGCGCGTCAGAGGATCTCTTCGTCGAAGTCTCCGGCGTCGCCGTCTCCTGTCCGGAGGCCGTCTGATGGGTTCAGTTTCGATGTTGAGCTACCATCAGCTGATTCGGATAGCTCCGCTTCGATCTCATCGCGGAAGGCAGCGACGGCTCCGCCTACGGTTGAGCTTGACGCTTTCCTCGAGATTCTCCCTCCGGCGACGAGGAAGGAGCTCGTTAAGCACGAAGCGATCGGGGAATTGATCGAGGTAGTGATGGATTTAGGGAGAAAGCCACTGGCTAGATTCCCTTCCGGCGATTGGGTAATCTCAGAGCAGCCTGTGACACAGCAGGATCTGAAGCTTGCGGTATCAAAGGTGTCACTCTCTCTCTGATCTAATACATGCAACTATTTTCTCAAATGTTTTAACTTTGTTAGCTAATCTCGCATGATCTTGCTGCTTTTGGAGAGTGATAAGAATTGCTCATACTGTTTTATGGTCTCTCTGCTTAAATCAAATGATTTTGATGAGTTTTAGCTGATGAGAAGATGAAATGTTTTCAATTTAGGTTGGTGATTTCTCGGATGATAACCGATCGGGGATTAACAGATCGTTGCATCGTATAAGCGCTATACGTAACCGCAAACTGCAAATAATCGGTCTAACATGTCGAGTGGGTCGAGTTGTATCTGGAAGTGCAGAGATCATAAGAGACTTGATAGAAGGAGGAGGATCCATCTTGGTCATCGGATCTCCTGGAGTTGGCAAAACAACTTTAATCAGGTACATTGCTTTAGATCCCGGTTTGTGCATACTTAGCATGTGATGATCTGAAACTGGTACATGTTATATGACAAGATTGGTTGGTTTTGTACAGAGAAATCGCACGGATGTTAGCTGATGAACATAGGAAACGTGTAGTCATTGTTGACACGTCGAATGAGATTGGAGGTGATGGTGATGTTCCTCATTCTGGAATCGGCCGTGCCAGGCGGATGCAAGTTCCAAATGTGAATTTACAGCACGATGTACGTCTCTGAGCTCTTGACCTTGTAGTAAAGTATATTGAACAAGTTATTCATGTAAAAACCACACGCAGGTTATGATTGAGGCGGTTGAGAATCATATGCCTGAGACAATCATTATCGACGAGATAGGAACAGAGCTTGAAGCATTAGCAGCTAGCACTATTGCTCAACGAGGCGTCCAGCTGGTTGCAACTGCTCATGGGATGACTATAGACAACATAATCAAGAATCCCTCTTTGCAGATCCTTATTGGTGGCATTGAGGTGTGACCTTAGACTACAACTATGATTCTTCTTTTTTCCTATTGTTATCAGAATCGACCTTAACTTCAACTTGTTGTACTTAGAGTGTGACTCTTGGTGATGAAGAAGCAAGGAAAAGAAAAGTGCAGAAGACAATTCTTGAAAGAAAAGGACCTCCAACATTTACTTGTGCGGTAGAGATGATATCGAGAACAGAGTGCCGTGTTCATCAAAGGCTAGATGTCACCGTTGATGCTATACTAGCTGGTAAGTTAAAAACACTTTCTCCTTTCATAGTGAAATAACAGAGCAAATGGGGGAACTAAACCGAACAAACGTTTTTGGTTATTATAGGGAAAAACGCTCCATGTCAGATCCGTCAAATTCGTGGCGAAGACGATGGTCCTCATAAGTTAGTAACTCCGATTCCTTTGGATATCCTTGAAGAAGTGCTTGAAGAGGAGCCTACACCATTGCTCAGCAGAGATTTTGCAAGTGAAGTGCTGTCTGACGACGAAGATGAAGACTTTCTTCCCACTCCGTACAAGAAGGCCAGCAGTAACATATCCATGAGCCGAAGAAGTTCGCCTGTTCATGTTTATACCTACAATGTAATGAACCTGACCTTATCTTCCCCGAGCTTCTGATCCTTGGAAACTAAACAATGAAAGATACTAACTATAGACATGTTTCTTCTACTATTGTGATTTAGGTCCTTGAAGCTGATGTCCTTCAAGTAGCCGAAGTTATGGGACTTGAAGACGACATAGAAGTGACAGATGACGTTGGAGAAGCAGATGTCATTCTAGCCTCAAGTTCTGAATTGAAACAGAATTCATCGATCCGTCGTGTAGCCAAGTTACACAAGCTACCGATATTTGTCATTAAGGTATCATTCTTCTTCCATGACTGATGATGATTCACCTCATTCCTATGTTTCATTTAATTTTATTGTTTTATTTCTCCCTTTTTATACCTTGCAGTCAACTACAATGGCTCAGATGGTCAAGGCAGTCCGAATGATCCTTGGGAGAGAATCATTTGGCTCAGCGCCTATACCCACAGAGTTATCTTCTGTTGATGGTATCGAGATTAAAGATGATGCTCCAGAGATCAAACCCAGTTTAGAAGAACTTGATGCCCTCGAGGTAACATGAGACTATACATGAACCATATTGAACTAAGAGATGGATGAGAGTGACTAAAGATTTAGGGACACTTGCGAGTATACTACTACTGATATAATATCACTGTTTCTGAAACGCAGGAGGTGCGTCTAGCAATCGAGTACATTGTAATCCCGGGAGGTGAACCAGTGGAGCTTCTTCCTAGACGGTCAGACATAATAGTGAGGCAGCTAGAGCTGGTAGAGAGTTACCAACTCGCGGTGGAGAATCTCGGCACTCACCTTAACCCGCGCCTTCAGATTCTTCCTCGTCGATCCACCAAGAAAGTGTTGCCATCTCCATCCGCAAAGAAAGCAGCAGATGCTAGCGTGGGGACTGCCGTTACTCGTCTTCCTTTCCTCAAGGACTGACATCTCTCTGACTCATCATATGGATCATATACACATTGGAGACAGTCTTGAACATTGTAAATTTACTGTAAGTCTTGGTAAATAAAACAGGTAATGTTGTTGGTCATTGTTTGTTACTCATTTGTAATGTTAAGTTACAACTGCAATGCTCTTGTCAGAAAACCATGTCTGTAGATATTTATTTACTCCTTATTTATAAATAAAATTTTATTCAGTGACCAACTTTCACAATGATTGTTTTTTTATTTTGTTTTTTGAATCTAAGAATCACTGATTCATATGCCTAAAGAAGAAAGACGGCGATAGCAATCAATCTGTTTTCCTTCGTTGATGACAAGCTCAAACAACTCAAGAAATCTTGTCGTAGAGTTTATCACTTCAGGTGATGTTTCAAAGAGAGACTTCCACAAGTGAACAATGTGGGACTCTATCGCTTCCCTCGCAAACCCATTCGCCTCTGAAACATCCTTGACAGATCTCAACTTCGCTTCACTCTTCTTCAGCTCTTGCTTATAGTTTACCAAACTAGCTGATCCCACAACGCCACCTTTTTTAAGAATCGAAACAATGCGATCCAAACCTCTCATTCCAAAAGAAACATGGGGGTACTGTTCCCATGGCGGCACTTTGGTGCCATCCTGATAGACTCCATTCTTGGGTTTGATGTATGTTTCAATCACATATTCCACAACTCGAAACACCCTTCCGATCACAGGACCGTTGAATGACTTATTCCCTGCATCCTTGAATACGCAACAACAGAACAGTAACATAGATCGTAGGTCATCAGATAATACAAACATTGTTTCAGCCACAAAGATCGAGAGCTCAACTCCTAGTTTCACAGCCTCCTCTTTCTGCTTCTCCTTTCTTAATTCAGTTCCTGTAGTGTTGTTGTAAGGAGAATATCTAGCTGGAGGAAGTTTCTTGTTACGACGGAGAACACGGTGTGTCGTCATCGAAATTGATTCCATCTGTTTCGAGATGATCGAGATATCTGAGGAACTCATCGTGAAGGGATATGAATATGCTATTTCCAAACCGTAACGGGTCTTTTACCATATATAGCCGAGTTGAGTATTGTGGAGTATTTATAACAAAAGGTTTTCACGTACTCTTTACTCCCCAACCGATGTGGGATAATTTTGATTTTTAACTTTTTCCATTCTTAATTTTATTGAATCATACATTAACATAAACCCAAACAAGGAAAGCAAAACCTGCGGAAAATATATTATGCAAAACCAAAAGGTTCAAAACTATTTTCAATTATTTAGGGATTTCAGTGGGAGCAATAACCTGTATAGCTCTTATCAAGCAAAGAAGCATGAAAATTTCATGTAACTTACATGTCAAGGAACGATCTGAAGGCGGCAATGCAGATCTTTCTTGATCATAGTTAAAAATTAAACAAGTCTACTGAGTAGTTGAAATATTTTGTTATAAGAATATCACTTTATGGACCAAGACAAGATATATAAGAGTGAATAAAAAAAGCAAACAAAGAGAAAAAAAAAACAGAAGTTTTCCTGAAAAGTTTTACTTATTTTCATCTATTTTTCTTTTGCATCCGACACTCGAGTCAAACTTGGAACATAATTAAACAAAAACGGCCAAGATGAGTAGACTGGTCCAAAATCCACTTGTGTGACTTTATTGTCTTCTCCAACAATGTGGACCAAGTTTGTGCAGGAGAATTCATCATTTCCGAAGTAATTATCACAGCACACGATGGCTTTCTTCTCCTCATCGACCAAGAAACTTATCCCATGCGAAATATTAATTAGATCAGGCTGAAAATTCACAGCTAAGAACATGCTCCACGACACCACTTTGGCCTCACCAATCTTATTTGTCACCCATATCTCTGTCCTTGATGTGTTTTCGCGCTTTAATAACACCGAAAGCTTCTGTTCTCTAACAACGGATAGAGACACAGCATCGTAACGAGGACAATGACACGGAAAACCTAGACGTCCAAATCTTTCTCTTGTATAGTCAAAACAAACTAAGAATATGCCGAGTTGTTTCTCCTCTTTTTCATCAGAAGCAAACCAGTAAGTATTTCCCTTGAGAGACACGCCGTAATCGGTATATACTAAGTGGAAGTCACGAGTTACGTCAAGAATCCTCCATGCATTGGAGTTAATCTCATAGACTGCGGATTCTTTCTCGTAGCCATAACCCCGTCCATAGCCCAGAATCTTGTAGCTGTGTTCGTCCTGGGATTTGTTATTGTATCTGTAGGATCCAAGAGCATAGCTGTCGCTTGTCTTGTACGGCTGTATCCACCTGGTTTGACCGGTACACGGGTTCCAAACCACAATCGTAGTGCAATCTACGTTATTGCATAACAATAAGCCGTCGCAGTGAGAGACTTTAGAAACCTCGAATTGATCATATGAACTAGAACTAGAACTAGAACGAGGGTCGATTAGGTTAAGTTGACCTGTGGCCTCTACAGATGGAACTCCATGGAGGCTGATACTCATCGAAAAAACCCTATACTCCTTCAACATGAGAATCAGAAACTGCTTTGCGGCTCTATCCAAGTGTTTTCTTGTGAATCTCCCACTGTTGTATAAACTGTTCCATCGTTTGCAACTAGATCGTAATTGCTTCAGAGATGCGGCCGGAACCAGACAAAGTATCTCCTCTAACAAATCCCCTGGCAGATCTGACATCATCATTGTGTTCCTTACAACAAAAAAAAACGTAACTTCAGGTAGCTTTGATTGGTATTTAGGGTTTTGCGTTTGCTCTGATCTGTTCCGCACTTTAATAATATACTAGTCCAACTTTTTTTTTTCAGTGTACTCATTTATAAATCCTTCCTTTTCCTATTTTTTCCTCTAAATCCAAGTCTATCATGTGGTTTATTTTCACTATCAATTTTATAAGTCAACAGAGTTTTATTTATTTCCCTGTTTTAACTTTTAAGCGATATTGAGAGAACAATAATATGTCGATTAATCAACAAACACGTGAAAATAGATAAAAGAAGGTAGATATGGCGTAGGGCGAAGGAACTCAAGGAAGGGTCTTGTTTCTTGTCAGGGAAGGGTAAATAAAACAGGTAATGTTGTTGGTCATTGTTTGTTACTCATTTGTAATGTTAAGTTACAACTGCAATGATCTGTATCCCATGGGTAAAAATCTGTAACGTTGAGGAAAAAACAGGGTGCAGTGTGTAGATATTTCTTTACTCCTTATTATAAGTAAAAAAATTTATTCAGTGACCAACTTACACAATGATTGTTTTTTTATTTTGTTTTTTTCAATCTAAGAATCACTAATTCATATGCCTAAAGAAGAAAGACGGCGACAGCAATCAATCTGTTTTCCTTCGTTGAAGACAAGCCCAAACAAGTCAAGAAATCTTGTCGTACTTATCACTTCAGGTGCTGTTTCAAAGAGAGACTTCCACAAATGTACAATGTGGGACTCTATCGCTTCCCTCGCAAACCCATTCGCCTCTGAAACATCCTTGACAGACCTCAACTTCGCTTCACTCTTCTTCAGCTGTTGCTTATAGTTTACCAAAATAGATGATTCCACAACGCCACCTTTTTTAAGAATCGAAACAATGCGATCCAAACCTCTCGTTCCAAAAGAAACATGGGGGTACTGTTCCCATGGCGGCAGTTTGGTACCATCCTGATGATAGACTCCAAGTCCATTCTTGGGTTTGATATATGTTTCAATCACATATTCCATAACTCGAAACACCCTTCCGATCACCGGACCGTTGAAAGATCTGTTCCCTGCATACTTGAATACGAAACAACAGAACGCTAACATATATCGTATGTCATCAGATAATACGAACAGTGTTTCAGCTACAAAGATCGAGAGCTCAACTCCTAGTCGCACAACCTCCTCTTTCTGCTTCTCCTTGGTTGAAGCAGTGCATGTGGTGTTGGTGTCGTTGTAAGGAGAATATCTAGCTGGAGGAAGTTTCTTTTTACGACGGAGAACACGGTGTGTCGTCATCGAAATTGATTCCATCTGTTTCGAGATTACCGAGATGTCTGAGGAACTCATCGTGAAGGGATCAAGTATTCAAGTTGCAATCCTTAGGGCTTATTAAAATAATAGCTATGTGATATATGCAAACCGTAATAGGCATTTACAAAAAGAGTATTGTGGAATGTTTATAACAAAAGGTTTTTAAATACTCTTTACTCCCCAACCGATGTGGGATATTTTTGAGTTTTGATTTTTTTTCTATCACGTACCTATTTTGTTTTTGTTTTTGTTTTTGTTTTAAATATCACGTACCTACGTTTTAGGTGTGTTTCTTGCTTTTGAAGACTGATTAATTAGCTTGTTGCTTAGTTTCTTGATGCTGGAGGTTTTAGCTACTGGCCTACTTCATATGGGTTATTCAAAATTAAAATACAAAACCAATACTATAGTTGATTTTCAATACTAAATATAGTCTGTTTTTTTCAGCAATTCACAAGATATCTTAGTTTACAATTCACAATAACTCATTGACCGCTTGATTATTTTATTTTCTCCGTCTATAGATTTGGATTTTGTAAATATTGTAATTATTTTCTTATCAGTTACATAATTAATCAGGTCTCACACTCTCATTACTACAAGTAGTCATCTAATTAAACTAAAAAAGAGGCTCTACGTGCAATTAAACTAAAATAAGAGGCTCTGCGTGCAAATTAACTACGATTTGACCGTTTTAGCCTCATAAGTCGTAGACCTCTCTCTCTCTCTCTCTATTTCCCTCCGGAATTCAATTCCGATCCCGATAGAGCGACACCGAGACGAAGAGCCATTAGGGTTTTATCTCCGCCTTCACAATGGTGCGAGCGACGGATCTCAAATTCGCTGATCACGCTGTTGAAGGTTAGAATTTTAGACTTGCTTCACCAATTTCTCTCCTCGCATTCTGTGTTTGTCTTCCGATTTCTATGTTTTTAATTTGAAGTAGAGAGAGCTCACAATCTCGAGAGATCCTTTCAATCGGACTTCATCTCGTTTAGCTCCCATTTAGATTGTCAATTGCGCCTCAGTAATTGTGGAATATTTGTGGATTGTTCGTCTTCCTCTTCGCATTCGGTTGTTTCAGTCCCATTTGCTTGGAATTTCTGGGCGTGGCGTTGTTCTTTGTTGATTATAGGGCTTTCTTCTGTTTTATTGGATTTTTTATACACTATTATGTACCAAATTGAGGTTTACATTTAGTTTTTCTTTGAAATTTTGTTCGAAATCTGTAGGTGTTCCTCCTACTAACAAAGCACAAGGAGTAAAAATGGTTTTAGAGCCTCCGATGAACAGTGCACAAAGAAGAAAACTGGGAGATATCACAAACTTGCAGAATCAGAACATACTAATGAACCAGGAAGCGTATCAGCAGCTACAATCATTCGCTGAAAAACTTCAAAAGGCATTGCTTATTCCTATTTTGAGTTCATGGAAATGTTTGATGGGAAAATGGTTTTTTTCCTGTTCTTGGACTGTGCTTATTCAGACGCTTTATCAACTTGTTTTTTGCAGGAAAACATGAGACTGATGAAAATCCTCAAGGAGAGAAAGTATCAATCTTCGTTTGGAAAATATGAAAACTTGTGAGTGTTTTGCGTACGTTATTGACTTGCTAATACGTGTTGTTGTTCTGTGACTACAGTGAAATCATCGAGCGGAGTGGAATTGAGCTGCAGAAGTATAGGATCAACATGCAGAAGGTTCAAGAACAGAATTTGCAGCTTGCTCAGACCAACACTCGTATCTTGGCGGTACATCTCATCTTTGTATAATTTCATTCGGATATTATGGTTTTGGGAATTCAAATTTATTTTTCATTTCTTTTCTGCCAGGAGAACAATACAACCAAAGACCAAGTATGCTTTTTCTGGAACCCAAGTTGCTCGTACACAGGCTTGCTTAATCATTAACTATAAGTTCCTCAGCTGGAGTTTTCTCTGCGTTTCAGCTGAAGGCACTTCAACACGAACTTGGTTGCAAGAATGGGTTACTCATGGCCAGGAAATTGCTGCTTGAGGTCTGTTTTGCTTTGTACACCATAATTACTATCTAGAATGTTATATAGTTGTGAAGTTGTAAGCTTTTCTTTCCAGGCGCAAGACCCTCCATGCACATGCCGCCACACATCAGAGGACAAGGTACTTACAACAATTGGCTTTTGTGGACCTCTGGAAGAAGACATTTTATCACCATAATAGTAAATTGTTCACACGTTTTCTTCTGCATTGTTGTGACGTTCAGGATTATGGAAACACTTCCGGTGTTGCTTGCGAATCATTTCCTCCAAATGGCAAGGATCTTAAGACTGGTGAGTGAAGCAACATTTTGGTTATCATTTTGGAACCTTTTAACACACTTACTCAGTTACTCTTTTATCCTTCTATTTTCCTAGCTTCAGAGAGTTCCAACGTTAGCTCATTGCAAGTTAATGAAAAAGCCAACAATAAAAGGTCCAGGCTCTCTCTTGGTCAATTTGCTTGATGTTCCATTCATCGTCTAGTAAAATCTCTCGGGCAATCAGATTTTTTGGTTTTCTTGACAGGAGAGTTTCTGGAAGGACGAATCCCCCCGGATCCAAAGTATTAGATATTATTGGCGGAATTGGAGAAATAATAGAGACAGCCAACAAGAGGAGGTCTGCAGTAAGCGTTAGGCCTTGTTTATAAGTACAGTAGTGTACCCATATGAAGGTTGCTAAAGATGCGATTTGTTTCTTTTTCTTTGCAGGGTTTCTTTGAGAAGGCAGTCTGCGAAGTTTAACATCCAAGAGCTGGGCGTGACTGAAAACTTAAATGATGACCAAGAGATTGCTGCAAACGCCAGGTTTGCAGAAGCATTACATGTTCTTACTTTTCCCACTACTCTGGTTTGATAACTTATTCATAAACCAAGTACACTAATGCCACTTCGGCTTTGTTAATGGATGCCATTTCAGATGCTCTGCGAGTGATCAGTCTAAACCTGAAGCAGTAGAACCACAGGGCACGAAAGAGATAACCGGGAAAACCAGGTTTTGTAGTATAGATAAATCTCTTCTTATATTCTGCCGAATTCAAGAGTTAAGACTGTTATCTAAATGGTGTACTTGACAGAGCCTCCTCAAGAAATCGAACTGCAGAGGTTGAAACTCAGGGAGCCATCAAAGAATCGGAAGATCATCCTTTGCACGATGACATTGTGGAGGAGTCTAGTCAGATATCAGCTTCTGTTTCAATGGAGCTTGAAGGAGAACCAAAGAACAAATCAAGAGGCGATGAAGCAGAGGTGGTGAGAAGAACATCTGTTGGAAGACCTTCGAGGAAAGCTGCTGAAAAAATCAAGTCATACAAGGAACCCTCACTTAAGGAGAAGATGAGAGGATGAGGTTTCTGAGTGATTGATCTCGCTAGATCGAAATATCGCTTGAGCCTTCATTTTTTTTCGAACTAGCTTTGCTTGATGCTATAATCACAAATTCACAATGTATATTCGTAGATGTTTTCTGGTTGTTCAGATCAATGAGAGCTAGCGAGTGATCTTGCTATTAAACAACTGTACAAGCGACAATGTATGCAAACTGAAACTTGAGTAGTGTTTATACTAGAAACTAATATTGTTTTTACTTTTTGTTTCTTCTTGTTTTTAAGTATTGTATTGTTGAGAGAAAGTATTCGACCGGTTTGATGCAGAACCCCGTGAAAGATTCTTACTCGACTAGGTAACATCATGTATTTGAGAAAAAAGGACATCTTTAGGAATCTCATTAGTTTGAGAAAAAAGGAAAATAATTTAGGTTTTCATGTGTCCTTGTTGTGTGGGTTTCATTTGAGGCCGTCACAAACCTTAATTTCCGACAAAAGGTCCGTCAAATCTTTCCAAAGAGCCTAACTATTTTCACTTGAATCTCTAATTACATGATTTCAAAAACGTGTATTAATTTACATACTCACACACACATACAAATACAAGATATTTGATTCAACCATATATAAATTAAACGACCATTATTATTTGAAAACATATTTGCTGTATTAATTGTTATTTTCTTCTTTATTTCTCTATATATAAGTTCTAGGTCTTTGGACAATTATCTACGATAAACGACAACCTCGACGTATACCGATGAGATTTGGCCCTAGCCTAGGATCCGGTAAGTTATCGAATGCTTGGATACATGAGCTCGCGTTTTGAAATTTCTTACAACATGCCCCTCCGTATTGAGGCTGTCCGGCAAGTCCGTACAAATGCACTTTGACGCAATTTATAACCTCTGGTCCGCATGTTTGTGGGATTGACATCTTTACACAGAGGGGTTTAGTTAAACGACAACCTTGAAGTACACCATTAGCACCCTTATTAGCCTTCAAAACATGGGACATAAGCATTATGCACACACACGGTCTTGCATTTTTAAATTTCTCACAACATGGCCCTCCGTATTTAGGCGGCCCAGTGCCAACGAGAAAATGCTCTACGGCGCAAGCACTAACCTCCCTTTTGCAATCTAATGGCAATCGATCCTCAAGGTTTGCAGTGTTAGCTGCCTTTCTACGGAAATGATGTCGAGGTTAGGATGATGGCAATGAGCATCAATGCATTGATCTTCATGTCTGATGAATTAGTATCTGAGTCAAGATTAATCTGTAGATGATCTCTACTTTTATTTATTTTGTTTTAGGTCTTTAAATAGAAAGTTGTCATTAATGGTTCATATACAACTTGGACGTATGGCAAATGAGAATCGATACCTATACAAAAAACGGAGGATGATAATCCTCTCTATTTTATTTATTTTTAGGTATACTAACAACTGAACCGGTGCGTGCGAAATCGCCTGGGGAAGTCATTTATCTTAAATCTTTCTTAACATTTGTTTTCAATACCTAACATATAAATGAACATAATGATTTGTACGTAGAGCTCGAATCAATTTAGATATAATCTTTAAAAGTACTATTTGCTGTCATACGGTATGTTCTTGGAGAACACATCTTTGTTTTCACTGATAATAACCACTAAACCAAGGATTTAGACTCAAACACTTTTGTCCTATATGGAGAAATATATTAACTCGTTGGAAATATATTTATACATGTAATATATATTATTTTTCAAATGAATGAAGTAACAAATTAAAGAGCGTGTGGCCTAACATTTAGGTTGAGAAAATCTGTATATTCCTTGCTTGCGGCACCAAGAATTTTAACTATATAGTAGATCCAAATTCTTAAAGCTTGTTATGCATCCACACTTCAAAAACATAGATAGAAATCTTGGATTAATATACCTATTGTTCATATATAACTAAATAATTATAATATTCTATTTCTGCACCCATAGACAGAAACTACCACATTAAACTTTGAGTAGTGTCATGTTCTACTGGAAGCTAATCTTGTTTTTACTTTTTGTTTCTTTTTGTTTTGAAGTATTGTATGGTTGAGAAAGTATTCGCTCGGTTTGATGTAGAACCCCGTGAAAGATTCTTACTCGACTACGTAATATAATGTAGTTGAGGAAAAAGCACGTCTTTAGGAATCTCATTAGTTTCAGGGGGCCCTTACCTAGTTGGTTGAGAAAAAAATGTAGTTAACAATACACCATGTAGTTGAGAAAAAAAAAGGAAACAAATTTAGGTTTTCATGTGTCCTTGTTGTGTGTGTTTCATTTGAGGCCGTGCAGCCTATTGTCGGAAAACCACAAACCTTAATTTCCGACAAAAGGCCGTCAAATCTTTCCAAAGAGCCTCAAATCTTTAACAAAATGAATTATTTTTATTTTAGAGGACCCGCCAGAATTTTACTGCATGCAACTTTTATTTATTTATTTAAATTACGGTAAAAAAGGCAGTAGTACATCAAATTTGTATCACAAGTTCCTTACCAGTAAGCTTTGCAGAGATATGGTAAAAGTTTTTAGTTTTAAGCCTTGAAAGTTACAACCGAGGAAAGCATTAAACCAACAAATAATATCATTTGATTAAAAAGCAATTTTTAGCTATACTGCGTTTACCTCACTATTTTCACTTGAATCTCTAATTACAAGATTTCAAAAACGTGTACTAATTTACATACTCACACATACATACAAATACAAGATATTTCTTTCAACCATATATAAACAATCATTAGCACATTATAATTTGAAAACAGGTTTGCGGTATTAATTGTTATTTTTCTTCTTTATTTCTCTAAAATAAAATCTAGGTCTTTGGACAATTATCTACGACGATATACGACAACCTCGACGTATACCGTTGATATTTGTCCTTAGCCTAGGATCCGGGGAGTTAACGAATGGTTGGAGACATGCGGTCGCGTTCTGAAATTTCTTACAACATGCCCCTCCGTATTGAGGCTGCCCGGCAATTCCGTACAAATGCATTTAGGCGGTTTGTAACCTCTGGACGCAGTTTATAACCTCTGGTCTACATGTTTGTGGGATTGGCATCTTTACACAGCGGGGTTGACTTAAACGACAACCTTGAAGTATAGCATTAGCAGCATTTTTTTCCTTGAAATTACTGGACATAAGGTATTTGCACACACAGAATCTTGCATTTCTAAATTTCTGACAACATGGCCCTCCGAATTTAGGCGGCCCAGGTTTAACGATAATATGCTCTAGGACGCAAACACCAACCTCCCCTTTGCATTCTTTTGGCATTTCCTCCCCAGGGATCGAATTCCCAGTGGCATCACCAGTGTCAGCTGCCGTTTTTTCACCTTCCTTAACTTCCTCAGCGCTACCCAACCCTCCCCTAGGGGGCGCAGACGCGGCAGACATCTTCTTTTTACCGCTGGAAGACGGAAATGATGTCAAGGTTATGATCATGGCAATGAGCATCAATGCAATGATCTTCATGTCTAATGAATTAGTATCTAGCTACTCAGGATTAATTTACTTTAATTTGTAGAAATGATCTCTACTTTTATTTATTTTGTTTTAGGTCTATAAATAGAAAGTTGCCATTAATTAACGGTTCATATAGAACTTGGACGTATGGCAAATGGGAATCGATTCCTATAAAAAATGAAGGATGATAATCCTCTATATTTTATTTATTTTTAGGAATACTATGAACTGAACCGGTGCGAAATCGTCGGGGAAGTCATTTATCTTAAACCTTTTTGAACATTTGTTTGCAATACTTAACATATAAATGAAAGTTCCTTTTCGTGGCAAAATACAACGTCCCATATTTGGCAAAACAATGTAGTCTCTTCTTCACCTGTCCTGAGGATTCTCACGATTATTACTTATGATGTTTATCATTTACCGAAATATTCCCAGCTAAACTCTAAAGTAATGGTACACATATTCATTTCATATTCTATAGTTACACAAGTAAAGTACTGTTCATATAAAATTAAATGAAAATTATAAAGAAATATATTAACTCGTTGGAAATATATTTATACATGTAATATTACTTTTCAAATGAATGAAGCAACAAAGAGCGTGTGGCCTAACATTTAGTTTGAGAAATTCTGTATATTCCTTGCTTGCTGAACCAAGCACTTTAACAATAGTAGATCCAAATTCTAGAAGCTTGTATGCATCCACACTTCAAAAACATAGATAGAAATCTTGGATTAATATACCTACTGTTCATATATACAGAAGACTGTCTTAAGAATACGTACATGTGTATGCTGTATCGTGAATGTACATTAGGGAGAACTTTGGCGGCTCACCATGGTATGGTAGTAAAGACCCTATTAAAGAAAAAAATATATATATAGTTGACGAGCTTTGCATTTGCAGATGTATCGGTTCTTGTTAAGTACCTACTGGACCAATGATGAGAGCGTGCGCAGAGATCTCCAAATCAATAAGGTAAAAACATATATACGGAAAAAAGCTTAATTACTTTACGGTTTTTGGTAACGAGGATCTATGACTTCAGGAGAGTATAGGGGAATGGGTACGTTGTTATCGGGAAATACCTTACGCTCGTGACATTAAAAGCAGCGTACCTTACCATAAGAATAACAGCATCAATGGCTATTCTTCTCTCATCTTCAGACTTCAGGTCAGAGTTTAAACTCTGCCTTTTGAACAAGTTGTACAAGATTCAAGAATTATTTTGTAAACTTTGTGAGGTTTTTTTTTGGGATGAGCAGTGGTGATCACGACTTGGAAGTGCCTTTCCTTGGAACTCAAGCTTGGATTAGATCTCTTAACTATTCTCTTATTGCTGACTGGAGACCTTGGATGATAGGCGATCAAATCGCTGGGTACTACTATATATTACCTATATACTTTGATGGGTTCTCTTCTTAATCTCATTCTATTTTTTTATGAGCTCATTAGAGTTGCTTTGTTTTTGGCAGATACACGAGGACTTATGCCTATAAGATGACTTTTGCTACTATAAGAGTAAGTTTTTTCTTTGTTTCTAATTCTACTCAAAACATTTTGATACAAGTTTTAGCTTATCTTTCTTTATTGAATTGTGGATTTGATTACAGGGAGGAGCACACACTCCAGAGTATAAACCAGATGAGAGTTATATCATGTTCCAGAGGTGGATCAGTGGCCAACCTCTTTAACAAGAAATATTCAAGTCAATGAACAAAATGTTTAAGTGAAACTTTTTATTTGAATTTTTCCCCTTTGCAAAATTTACTCTAGATTGGTTTCCCTTTCACATCTTTTAAGGTACTTTTATTTTGCGGTGGGATGTAACAAAATGAATAAATAAAGAGTAGATTATTGAGATTTGAGACGATGGCGAATTTTTTGCTATTAATTTAGTTCTTTTTTGTTTAATTGTAAAATAAAATTCCAAATGTTATAAATTACTCCTTTGTTTGGTTGGAAATTTTTTTGCTATTAATTTTTGTTTTCTTAGAATATACACTTCCTTGTTTTAGTTTGTAAATCAAATCGTTTTGGTTTTATCTTATTGGTCAGCCTAATCTGTTGGCACTGAATCCTCTGCGGCAAGAGCTTTTTGCTGGTTCACGTTTGTATTCTAATTTTTGCATGGCCTTAAAACTATCTAAAAAATATAAACAACAACTTTTTGCATCTCCAAAAAAACTAGGGTTAATTTGGCAGATAAATAATGGGGAAAAAACTACACTCAATAGCCATGCTATACACAAAATTAAGTGACTAGCAAAGAGAAAACTTTTTACCCCATTTTCTCCCTAAAAGAAGCGGGAAACTTCTTTTCCCATTTCCCTCTCATTTTCTTCACCCTAATTATCGCAAGCTGGCGATTAGATTCTAGCGCTGAAGATTTCCTAAAAATTAGTCTTCAATCATGATTTATGTTTATCAATAATTCTGAACGTAATTGATAAAACTATATTGCGATCGGATTAATTTGAGTTACAAAAGTATGTTAGTCAATTTAAGTCATTTAGTATTGTTACATATCTTTACAACTCTGAATCTTTCTGTATTAAAATGGAACAAAATTTATAATACAGTAGAATGATTGATAAACTGAATCCAAATCTAAAATAACAAATTACAAAATCGAAGATCTTAAGCTTTTTTAACTATTCTCAATTAAAATAGTATAGTACATGATTTCAAATAGTATAAAACATGATGTTATCGCCATCGCCGGAGACCCGTTCTCGAGGACTCCAAGATGCACACCACATAGATCTAGTCGGAACAATACCCTGTAGATCTAGTCGAACCACACCCCATGGAAGACCTCCGTCCAAAGCCGCCAAAACCGTCGAGCAAACGAAAGCAGAGGTAGAGAGACAACCGGAAACCTCAACAGAGGAGAGCGCCAAGACACCACTCCCCTCTCCAAATCAAGCCACACCGGAGAACGACACCACCGAGTCCAAAAAGAGATTCAAAAGTCGAAGAAGCGCCGCCGCCGCTGCGGGAAACAGAGCCACCGCAAAGAGCGGAAAGAGGATAAGATGAAGGAGAAGAAAGAGCCTCCCCCGGCGGCGGATGATAGATTTCCCTGCCGTCCAAACCAATCGCAGATCTGAGTACATATATGATGAGAAATCTTTGATTTCGCCTCGAGCCGAAGGAAAGACGAAGACTTTTTCTGTAATTGAACATTTTTGCAGCAGGCTCACTCCCCAACAAAAAATTAACCTAATTTTCAAAATAAAATAAAATTTAACCTACGAGGACTAAGTTGGGAATAAGGTAGAATATACACCATATATTCTAGCCATGGGTTTCCTATTGCTATTCAATTAATTATGCTCCGTAATATGGTCACTCACCGCAATTTCCCAAAAAACTACAACATTAGAAAGAAAAAAAACTACACTAACGTTTTAAGATTCATATTACTCCCTAGTATATTTTAGAAAAAAAAAATGAAACATCTTGTTGTTTTTCTGTTAGTTACTGTTGCTTTGCAGTTTGGATTAAATGACGCTTGCACCGACAACGATGTCGTATTTCGAAACCGCCTTGGTAAGGATATTATTCTCAAAGTGAGTTGCGAATCCAACAAGAAACATCGATCCATCGGTTCGGTAAACTTCATGGGCATTCCACATCGTATCACCTTCGGTGAAGAAGTCGGTGGCAAGACTACATGGCATTGCTTATTGCGGTATGGACAATTTACTTCACATTTTAGAGCATACAAAGGAGGATCCTTGATACCTCGATGTGGGGAGTTACGAGTTTATATTGCCAAACCTGATGGAATCTACTTAGAGAAAAATGCGGATCGGGAGAAACTTGACCAGCGTTGGATGAAAATGTAATGTTTTTTGTTTCCTTTTGCTAGAACTACTACACGTATCTTTTGGTTTTGGTGTTACAATATATAAATAAATAAAAATGTAATTTGAAATACGAATTCAGTGATCTATGTATGCACCATGTATAATTTTTGTAAATAATATATATCACATTGTTATCTTATTTATATACCAAAACTTCCTAAGTCTACCGGTACTTGAATCATATGTATATGTATATATTAGGGCTAACATATTTGTACAGAGAACAAATATCTCATAATTTTAGTTAATAATAGTTCATATATATATATATGACCAACCAAAAAAAATACAACTTAAGCAGAAACAAAACATAATTACTTTAATGCTTTTGGTGTTCATTTTAACAATAAAAAAGCAACTTAGTTCATAAAGAAACTGATATAAGAATTTGAAAATTTATGAGGATTTATCTACAATCCAATTGTACTTGAACTCCAACGGCTCATTATTTTTTGAGAAATAAATTCCTTCATCTCTAGCATCCCATGTATATAACGCTCCACATTGAATAATAAGATAAATACTTGCGTCGTATCCTCGAAAGGATTGATGATACTCCATTTTAGTTCCCTTCCATAGGTTACAGCGAAAGATTGTTGGTCTGACGTAGCTCATATCATCATGGAAACTAAAATTATATGCAGTACTATCGAATTTCACAAAGTGATCGCCCAAATCATCGTCTCTGGATCGACAATGAACTTTGAGAATACTACGACTTGAGAATAGATTGTTTCGAAAAGCTACAGTGTTTTTACGACATAAAGCTGCTTCTCTCAAACAACCAAAATACAAAGTAGTAATAACAAATATAAAAGCAAAAGTATGATTCATCATTCTGAACCAAATGATTTATCTTAAAACTGATTCTACTTGAAAGGGTTGAGGTACCTATATTTACTTGTGTGCAATAAAAGTTTCAAATTTATAGACTTCATCATTGGCTTGTCAACAGTAACTGCTTGAAGCAAATGTTAGCCAGGCTGTCAAGTGTAATGTTAGCCATGGTGTCAAGTGTAATGTCAGCCATTTTACAGCCATGCAGCTAAGTGTCATGTAACTGCTCTAAGCAAATATTAGCCATGCTGTCAAGTGTAATGTTAGCCAATCAATCTTCTTTGTATCCTCTTGAAGCAAATGTTAGCTAGGCATCAGACGTAACAGCTCAAACTGGCTTTAATGCAAATGGTATTATCTCCTCTTATTTTTTCTTATTTTTGTTTCTAGCAGTTAATGCATTTATTAATATTTTTGTTTATTTTAATTAAAACAACTCACAGTTTTTGTTTCCATTAAAATACAAAAACTATTTATTTGAATTGTTTTTCTCTAATAAAAATACTAAAACAAAAACTAAAATAATGTTGCAAAATTCAACTGGGCACTTTGTGTGAATTGCCTAACTTCATTGTGAAATTGGTAAAGAATCTTTAACTTTTACAAATTTTGGAAAAGCACATCAATAAAGAAAATCTGTTTTTGTGGAAAAAGCCGGTAAATCTTTAAATATCCTCTTGAAATTTTCAGGAATCATCATCTTTTTTTTTTTGACAACCAGGAATCATTATCTTATTTAGGATGGTAAAATGCTAATCGATCGATATAGGCTTTTTTCTTCTTATTTTCTCCTCAGGGCAAACTGATGGTGAATGAGTCAAAACAAAAATAAAATAGACAACAACTAAAAAAAGGGACAGATTTTTGCGCGAAGCATATATTTACTCTAAAGCGTATATAAAACACAAAATATTCATTACAAAAAGAAAGAAAGAAAAAACATGTTTCGTCTTGCAATAATTCTGATCGTTTTTGGCTTATACACCGAACATGCAATAGGCGGCTCGTTCGTAATCTATAACAATCTGAAGCGTGGAAACCTTATGAAAATACATTGCAAATCCGGAGACAACAGTATGGGTTACCACGTGAGACGCCCCGGGAGGTTTTACTTGGTCAAATTCTCGGATCATATACTTGACAAAACACTTTATTGGTGTACTTTGTGGCAAGGCCCTGATTTCAAGCATAAGCAGGTTATCGTCGCCTACGACGGTCAGATGTTGCCTCACAAAGACAATTGGGTGAGATGGGCAGCCAAGGAAAGCGGCATTTATCAATCTGTCGATGGTGCCGAACCTTTTCGTTTCAAGTATAATTGGGATGATAAACTTTAAAATTAGGATTCTCTGAGTTGCAGTTTTGTTCATATATATGTATTTTGTGAGTAATACTTTATGATTCTCATCTAACTGTGTATTATTGTAATATATACATATATATGTTGAAGTTAATATACATGTATATATATATGTTCCTTGCGATTCATTTGATGCAATATATAAGAATCCAAACCTAGCTTTGTATGTACTCTCGATAATTATCCATATTATATAAGATTTTTAAGTTAAAATGACAAGTTTCAGAAATACATTTTTTTGGGTACAACATTGAAGAAAAACATTTTTCTTTTGCTAATTAAGATACTACAGAAAACAAACAAACGAAAAACTAAAACATTTTAGACTAATGGAACGGAAATATGTATATACATTAGGGTTTCCCTATAAAGGCCATCGTTGAGGGAAATTGAGGTTTAGTTAAAGTTCGTTGGGGCCCCAAGTTGGTTTATTGATTGTGCGCGCGTTTGATTGTTTCTCTGGCATTGCTGGCACGAGCGTGAAAACATATTGCTCGTCTGAGTTAAAAATAAATGTTTAAGTTAATGCTCCATTTTCTAGAATGTCGGACCCAACCAAAACAAAAGCTAACCTGAAAACATTTGAGCAGTGTATATTTCGACGTCTTGCTATACATTTTTTAGGATTGTCTACACTAAAGGATAAATTATCCTCTCTTTTCCATTTTTTTTCAACTAAAGTTGACGATTAAACTCAAGCAAGTAAGCAATAGACACAAGGAAAGACTTACCCTTAATGGAACCAGCCTGCTTTCTTTTACTAATTGGTAATTGAAAAGTGTTGGCAAACTCGGTCCAGGAGCATAGAGAAGTGAAGCGACTGATTAGAATGTGTTTAAACGTTTAACTTTTGCGGGAAAACAAATGTTGTTAACAAAAAACCATATTTAAAAGACGCAGTTTTCTTTAGTTTAGTACTGGACATTCAAAAACATTTGACCAATCCTGAGTGGGCGATGCTCAATTTGAATTACTTATGGAAACGTGCGACGATGAAAGTGAACTCGAGATCAAAAAGAAGGCACCCACTGGCTCAATAATTAAAAAGCTTACTATTATTATTCTACAAGGTACTCATATATTGATATATACAACCGACATGCTCTCCTTAACTCTCCCATTATCCTCTTTCTTATGACACCGCTTTTGTGGTAGTACTTTGATTTATGTAAAGATTTTTTTGGCAATGGAGTTTATTTTGTTTGATATCAATAACTGAATACCAAATTAGTAAGGAATGGTGGATTTTTCAAACTGATCGTAAATCCGCACAACAATTTAAAAAATTTAGTCACTGTAGATATACCAATTTATTGTGATTTTCTCAGTGTATGATAGATAATAAAAAACGGGAATGACTTTACTTCACTTCTTTTTGTTTCAATACTTACTTGAGTATATAATACGGAAACTATGTACGAATGTCTATTTGTATATAGATTATGGTTACATGTAGTCCATGTTATCCAGTCGACTCCTCCCTAATCATTGGGAACAAGCAATAATTATTAATCACTATCATTTTTAGTTATGCTCATTATTAGCTACATCTAATTAACAATGGAGAGTAGACTTTATATAAAATTAATTCAGCTACAAATAATCCCCGATATCCACAGTTTTATTTCAATTTCATCTAAGAGAAACTATTATGAATTTATAAGGGTCTTATTTATGCATATGTCTCTGTGTGTGAACATGTCAGAATTGCCACTTATCGACCAAATATACGAATTGACTAAAAGTGTAAGCTCGTATTCTGGCCAGTGGCCATAAGTATACATAAATATGCTTCGCATTTGCATTTTATAAAATATTAATTAACTATATAGTGATGATAATCCGAAAATTTTTGGAGATACGATGAGCTGCACTTTGTTGATTTCTTGTTAGTTGTTACTTACTAATAATATTCTTTACGTGAAGTGGGTGATCTTAACATCATGCAAGTATATGCAACCATGAATAAATCGGCATATACTTCATAATACAATTATACACTGTCACGCTGATACAGTACGCCAACATGTGTGTTAGTGTGTAATATTATTATATCTTGAAATTGTGGTTTAAAATTTCAGTTCACACTTTTTTGGGGCAAATTATCAGTAGTTGATATTTCATAAGAATATGCATGATGATTCTAGAAAATGCAAAACTCATTAATCTAAAAACACATCACCTTACTTGCGGTTTTAACATAAATTCATAAGAACCTGAATTTAGCCCATTTATATGTATACACCCGCACACAAATGCACGTCGTTGATGTTGGCATGCTGATTAATGTTAATAGATCAATTTCTACTTGATTAATATATTTGATCATTACAAAACTCTCATGAAGTTACATATTTTGGAATTAGTTTGAATCTAAGAGACTTGGTCGTTGTTAATTTATATTTCCCCAGTTACCATAATTATTGTCCTATGTCTCTGGTTTGATAAGTCGTCGAATACTCTTACGACAAATTAGTTGGACTTAAGTTTTTTTTTCGTTTGGTGTTTGTCATATATATAAATTAATTGAAATGGTGAATTTATTCATTTACCCAACATGTACGTACGATATGCGTACGTATATGTATCAGAAATATGCCAAATAAAATAAACAAGAAAGAAGATGGAGTGAGTAATTGTAGAGAGAGGCGAAGGTAGAGCCGTAGATTCCGTGAGAGCCAGGCTTGCACTGCACTATCATTAATTTACACATTCGTTCACCCAAAGTAATCTCTTATTTATATATTCTCATTTCTCAACGATGGTAGAAGAGCACATAACAAAGATTCAAACTAATTTCCATAATTTATAGCTGTTAGATGAATTTCTAAAATGATAAAAATAGTGCGTCTAGTTAGAATTCGATATTTGTTTTGTTTTTATCTTTCACAATAATACGAAAAATAACCTTATCAAACAAAAGTAACAATAATATATACGCTATATATGTAATGTCGATCAGAAAAAAAAAAAAAAATGAGTTCATGGCTGAAAATAATGAAATGTATAATGATCAATTTTGGTCACCGGATGTTTTTAGTCAATTCCTAAACTAATTTCAGAGTTTGTTTTGTTATTTATAATAACTTAATTAAAATGAAATGGAAATCAAAACTTCGAAAACCACATGTAATTCTTTCAACAAAACAAATCCAAGAATAAGTTGTTATACAGAGTAAAAGAAGGGGATAATGAAGAGACAAAACATACATTAGTCAAGTAATTGTCTAAATTTACACATTTTGTTGTCTCTCTCTCCTCTCTCTAGCTCTTGTGTCTTGTGATGAGTTTGCCAAGTTGGGAAAATTGTAATAAGAGACAATAACAGAAGTACTAAAATTTAAGAGGCTGCAAAAAGACAAGTCCAACATATTCCACACACTTGAGAATGTGGTGTCTCTCTTTGACTCCTCTCCCTAAATCACTCTCTATTTATGCATGCACCTCTCCAATCCACACACATCTCTCTTAACACACACATACATGTTTATATATGTGTAATCAATCCTTAAAGCTGATCATTCCATCTTCTAATCCATCTTCTTTCCGGTTTACCAATTCCATATTCTTCCTTCTTTCTTAGTTGAATCTCTCTATAGCCAATGGAAACAGCCGAGGAGGCAATATCGGCCGCTAAGGAGCAATCCTTAATTCTTAAAGGGAAGCGGACTAAGCGGCAACGTCCGCAGTCCCCAATCCCTTTCTCTATCGAGCCTCCTATGTCTTCTCAAGAAAGAGATGTCCAAGAAGAGTCCACTAGTCTTGTTTCCAAGGAGAAGAGTCTCAATGATGAGACCAACAACAACAGCAACAAGAAAGATAACAATATTTTGATCAATGGTGTGACATCTTCATCTTCTGCCTCTTCTTCTTCCAACAACAATGCCACATTAAAGGCCGCGGCTGACGAGGAGGATCAAGATATGGCCAATTGTTTGATCCTCCTCGCCCAAGGTCACTCTCTTCCCAACCATAACCGAAACTACCAGCAACCGCACCCGCAACAACAAACAAGACAACTTATGATAAGTTACCAAGAACCTGGTCACAACAACAGCAATTCGTATAGACCTAGCAGCAGGAGGTTTCTAGAGACATCTTCACCTAACGGGACATCAACTAACGGCGGTGGAGGCAGAAGCGGTTACTATGTTTACCAATGCAAAACATGTGACCGGACTTTTCCTTCTTTCCAAGCTCTTGGTGGCCACAGAGCCAGCCACAAGAAGCCTAAAGCCGCCGCGGGCCTTCACGCTGATCATGACCTCAAGAAATCTATCTACGACGACGCAGCTTCTCTTCATCTCAACAACGTACTAACCACAACTCCTAACAACAATAGTAACCATAGATCGCTTGTGGTATACGGCAAAGCGAGTAATAGTAAGGTCCATGAATGTGGGATATGTGGAGCTGAATTTGCATCCGGACAAGCCTTAGGAGGTCACATGAGACGCCATAGAGGCGCCGTGGTGGCCGCTGCAGCAGCATCAACCGCGACAGTAGCGGTTGCGGCCATTGCGGCTACTGCAAACACGGCTTTGTCATTGTCGCCTATGTCGTTTGATCAAATGTCGGATGGTCCGGTTCATCCGATTCAGGCTCCGGTTAAGAAACCGAGGAGTGCGGTTGTGTCGTTAGATTTAGATCTGAATCTACCAGCCCCAGAAGATGAGAATCGGGTCAACGGATTAAGCTTTGCTTCGAAACAAGAACAAGAACAAACACAACAGAAGCAACAGAGAGAAGAACAAAAGTCCCTTGTTTTGTCTTCTGCTCCTACATTGGTGGATTGCCATTACTGAAATCAAAATCTAATAACGCAATTCGTTTATTAATTTTTTAAATTTTACGAAAAAATTGATGAACCATTTTTTTAAGAAAGTTACTGATTCCTTGCTTGAACAAGACTTGCAAGATTCTTTTTTGTTTTGTTTTTTTTTTTTAACTTCTTCCTTTCAAAAGAAAGTTATATATTATGCAAATATGTATACCCCCATTAGCCACACGACTTTTCTTTTTGTCTTCCATGTCTATATATGCAGATGTTGTGTAATTACATCCAAATTAATGTAAGATCTTTCAATTGCAAAATAATTATAAAAATACTCTTAGCACTACACTTTCTTACAGCCTTATTTTTCCAGATTATATTTACAAATTAAGAAAAATTCGTTGATTATTGGGGGCATTCTAAAAGTATCACTAGTTTTAATTTCATAGTTCTAAATATTCTAAAAATACACCAAAACTGCATGCTGTTTCTTCTCTTCACGTCGAAATGGGCTACAAATAAAACATTTTGGGCTTTATATTATTTTCTAAGCCCATATCCTAAACACGAGGGTCAAACAGTTTTTCTCTCTTCTTTGAAGGATGAGGCTAAAAAAGTTGTCTTGATATTTTTAGCATTTTGTCCCTTTCTGAGGACATTGGTGTCAGTTAGCTGACAACCTACAATAAATAATAATTTATTTTATTTTTACTTTACCAATTCCAAAATAAATGTACAACTTATGAGAAGAGTTGGATATTTTCATTTCAAGCTCTTCTTTCGAGTAGTTACCGAACGGAACGGAACGGATCATCAAAAATGTATAATGCAGTACTGTTTTTGTTATTGGTAATCTTCATTCCGCCACTCGATGAAAACAAAAAAAACTATTCAAATTAATTTGAATCTTGTTTCGAATTCAAAAATATTTAAACGAAATCTAAACTTTGAACCGAAAATTTAAAAAGAAAACCGGATTGGACTTACGCTAATAATAAATAGAGGAGAGAAGGAAAATAAATGAAGATGATGATTCGTGTGGACCAAGTCTTCTTCCCCTTTAGCTTGCCTTATTGGTAAAGTATCCTTCCACAAGCAAACGTACCTGTCACTCCTTTTTGTTTGTTTTCACCTTCCATTCTCGCTTGCTTTTTATTTTGGGGTCAACTTCTTATACATCGCTATTTATTTAAATAACCATACTTTCATACAGTTATTCTTATCAATAATAACATCCACTATCTCTTATATGAAAAAAGGCAAATGTCAAAATGTATAACTTTTTATTTTATTTTAAAACAAAAGCATTGTGTTATCTATCTTGAATATATATTTTCAAAAAATATAGTATTCCTTAGATTTATTCTGTTCCCTAAAATTAATAAATTTTGAAATTGCAGTATTTATGAAAGTAGAGATATATACAATGCACTTTTCATAAAAAGAGAAATTTATTTACCTTCCTATATTGACAAAAGAAACTTCTTTTTAAAAAGATTTGATATAACATATTTTTTTTTTAAAGTATATAACCCTGATTTTATAGAAAATTCATTTTTCTTATCTATATTCACAGATATTTGCTATGCTTATTATGGTTAGACAGTTTTGGGAGAGTTGGTTCGTGACCTTTCGAAATTTAAAAGAAAGTAAATAAATAAAACTGTTTTTTTTTGGTTTAATACTTGCTTTTCAGACCACTACGACAGTGTTTCCTCTATTTTACTGCATAAAACGACAAAAACCTACGGAGTAACGTTTTCTAGGGTTTATTACTGCAACACTCAAAAACGTGAAAAATAAATATAAATAAACAAATCGAGAAATTGAAAAAAAGAAGAAAATGGAAATGAAAATCGGAATCGCAATCCGAAATACTAGTTTCTAGGAACTCGAAAAGAAACAAATTTCTTGCAATTGAAGGTACCTTTAATCTTGGGCTTGCCTCTTTGGTTTCTTCTCCGTTAAATCAGAATCCCATTTGCCAACTTGTCTTTGGTGTTCGTCTGGTGAGGTTTGGGGAAAGAGAGATTTACAAGGAACCCTAGAAACCAAAGTACGGCCTCTCGCTTTAAAATGGGTCGCGAATCTACTGCTGCTGCCTCCTCGCCGCCGACGGCGACTGCTCCGGCTACTGCTTCTCCGGCGACATCGCTCGCTCCTGGCTTCCGATTTCACCCGACTGACGAGGAACTCGTGAGCTATTACTTGAAGCGGAAGGTTCAGAACAAACCCGTACGCTTCGATGCGATTGGGGAGGTCGATATCTACAAGCACGAGCCCTGGGATTTAGCAGGTTCGTTTGGGGTTTCTCTCTTCCCTTTTTTCCCACATCTGTATGATTTGGGTTATTCTGAATTTGATACTTGTGATTTGGAATTTTGCTTCTTCGAATCGCTGTTTCGTCTCTTGTGACTCAATTCTACGAGACGAGTCTACCTTTACGAGCTTACGATTTCATTTGCTGGGATAATTGTGTTGCAGATTTACTTTTTGCTATGTTTAGGCTCTCACAGTGTGGATAAAATTTCCATCCAATCGACTGATTAATTGGATAAACTCTAGTTTTTTCCGACAACTTACGAATTTCTTGCTGTGTTGTGCTTCCATTTTTGTTTGCTTGTGCTTCAGGAAATGAAGTTTGTTGTCGTGTGTTTGGTTATTTGAAAAATTTAAGTTTCGAGTTTTAGTCTTGCTTAATTTTCTCTTCTGCTGTGTTGTGTAATTTCAGTGTTTTCGAGGTTGAAGACAAGAGACCAAGAATGGTACTTCTTCAGCGCGTTAGACAAGAAGTACGGGAACGGTGCTAGAATGAACCGAGCAACTAACAAAGGTTACTGGAAAGCAACCGGCAAAGACAGAGAGATCCGCCGTGACATTCAGTTGCTCGGTATGAAAAAGACGCTTGTGTTCCACAGCGGGCGTGCTCCAGATGGGCTCCGGACTAACTGGGTCATGCACGAGTATCGCCTTGTGGAGTATGAAACCGAGAAAAACGGAAACCTGGTGGTATAGTTTTGTCCAGTAGAGTTGCTTTTGAATTGGGTTTATCTGATATTGTCTAAAGAATCTTACTCTAATCTTTGTTTGGATGCAGCAAGATGCGTATGTGTTGTGCAGAGTGTTCCACAAGAATAACATTGGGCCACCAAGTGGGAACAGATATGCTCCGTTCATGGAAGAGGAATGGGCTGATGATGGAGGTGCAGCTCTCATTCCTGGAGTCGACGTTCGGGTCATGGTCGAACCGCTACCAACTGCCAATGGAAACAACCAGATCGACCAGGTTTGTGCTTCCTTCTTACTCAGGCTTCATTAACCAAGAAACCAATCAGTTTTATTTCAATATGCAAAAACTCTGTGTTTTGAGTCTGAATTCATGTCTCTTGATTCACAAGATATCATGTTTCTTATATGCAAAAGCTCTATGTTGAAGTGAAGCTTTCTCTAAGTGCTGTTACAGAGGGCTAGTTTGCTATGAGTCGTGTCTCTTGATTCACAAGATATCTTGCTTTGCTTTGGTCTTTTTTCTTTTGGATTTATCCTCAACAATATGCTGATGTTATTAACTCACACAGTTGATCAATGCCTTGTTTATTAGAAGGAGAATTAACATTTATTGTGTTATGGTGAAAGTTTTCAGTTTTGATATTCATGCAAAGTTGGTCAACATATTTTGGTTTCAGATATCTTATGTGTGTTCACATAACTTGTCATTTGTTGTAGGAAATTCAGTCAGCGGGAAAGGACCTCATTAACATCAACGAGCCACCCAGAGAGACTACTCCAATGGATGTCGACCATCAGAATCATCATGAGAATGCTGTCAAGGTGCAGGTTAGTAACCATTATGATGAAGAGGAGGAAACACTCAAACGTGAGCATGAAGAAGAAGATGAGCGTCCCTCTTCTGTATGCGTTCTCAACAAAGAAGCTCCATTGCCTCTCCTCCAGTACAAGCGGAGACGCCAAAACGAGTCCAACAACTCAAGCAGGACGACGCAGGAGCATTCTTCGTCCACAACAACAACCGTCGACACTACACCAGCCTTAGTCTCATCATCTGCTGCTGCAGCCACCAACACAGCCATCTCTGCGCTGCTTGAGTTCTCGCTCATGGGCATCACTGACAAGAAAGAAAACCTGCAGACTCCTCACAAGGAAGCTTCTCCTCTTCCTCCAGTCGCAACTCCTGAAGAGAAGGTCAATGATCTCCAGAAGGAGATTCACCACATGTCTGTTGAGAGAGAGACTTTCAAGCTTGAGATGATGAGTGCGGAGGCTATGATCAGTATTCTCCAGTCAAGGATCGATGCACTGCGTCAGGAGAATGATGAGCTTAGGAAGAACAACAACGGCAAGGGACAAGCATGCTCTTGATTTCTCCATCTCCTCCAGGTTTCTGTAATCTCCCTAATGGTATGAGCTGTGGTCTATGGATGTAGTTTCTTCAGACGGATTGAGAACCGTGTGAATCTTTGTTGTAATATTAGGATAAAACGGATCGGAGTGACTGAGCCGTGTGTTGTTTTTAACTCCTTTTTTCATTTTATGTTTTCGCATCTCTTGGGAACATTTTCAGGCTTCTCCATTGTCATATATCTATCAACTAGTCTTTTCATTCAAGGTCTCTCTTTATTTGTCTCAGTGAAGGTTCAGTCTCAAAGCTTATTTTGCATAAAAAATGGTTACTTAATAGTCAGGTCTGAGGCATAAGCGTCATTTCAAGTTGCAATCATCTGGTCTTCCTGACACACAGTATCTGTCTTGGAAGAGTTCTTAGGTAAACAAGTGATTACTGGTAAGGAGTGAGGGTATAACCGTCATTGACAATTCGGCTAGCGTTACAAAATGTGGTTCCGTCGTCACTCGTCAACGACGTTTGAAGACTTTCGTTACACGTAATTTGCTATTATTTTTCAAAAAAGGCAAAAAGAGTTTTTTGTTTTGTTTGGGGTGCAAAAAGCAAAAAGAGTTTGGTACGATTTAAGCCTTGATTCCATTTCAAATAGTTAAATCTATTTTAATTATTTTAATTTTTCAGCCAAGTGCTCAAAATATTTGTATCCCGAATAACACAAGTAATAAAAAAAATTATATCCAAAACTTTAATTTTTGCTAACCAACTATCTACTTATATTTTTTACTATTAAAAGTAAAATCTATAAAACATAAATTTTTTAACTATATATTTTTCACGATCGGTTAATTTTATGGTTTATCGTCATGTATCATCATCTACGATATGTATTTTTTTTCCATTTTCATGATTCCTAAACACTAAAATCATCATTTTTATTTTTTAGTTTAAAAAAAAAAATCAATTCAACAATTTTTAACTGGAAAAAAATCTTCTTTATAGATGCATGATATCGTTTTCCTTGCTATTTACTATCACTTCAAACATTTTTTGTATTCGTTAAAAATATTGTCTGTCGTTGTGAAGAAATTTTCTCTTAGCCAAATTAATAATATTTTGATGAGATATTTCAAGCAAAATTATTTCACCAAAATTTCACAGTTCTTAATAAATTTAACAAGTATATTCGCTTTCTCATCCGTGTTTACCTCTCCCTAATTATTATAGATTTGGATTCAAAACTCAATTTCACAAATTGATAATCAAAAAGATGAATACAAGTTCATATAGACCGTTATTTTGTATTAGTATCCATATTTGGTGGTTTGGCTAGTTTTGACGGAGCTAAATTAGGTGGATACTCATTTAATTTGCAGTATTACGAAAATTACCATATTGTTGTATGCTATGCGGTATTCGTCTAACTTAACTTGTGTGTCCTTTGCAGAAATGATTGTAGGAGAATTACTTTTCACACCACCAAGAATACATGACAACATTTCCATTAATTTAGTACATAAAACTTGTGTTGCATAGAAATGAAAACGGAAATGCGGAAACAAAACATTTATGAAATGGAAAACGTGTATATATATAAATAAATAATATATATATATTAAATATTAAATATTTTAACTAAATAGAAATATCATAATTGTTGAATGTATATTGTTATTATTATTATGCGCTTCATCAATCGAAACTATCTTCAATTATCTTTATCAAGGAAAATCTTAAATAATCAAACTCTTATATGTTGCTAAGACAATTCTCATCTAATGAATCAAATTAATTATTCATTTATCTTAAATAATTAAACTAACCCGTTAATACTATTGTTTGTTTTTCTTTTTGACATCTACTATTATTTGTTATGTAGTTATTTAGTTATTATATTTTTTTTAAACAGTAAATTTAATTTTAGAAACGCAAGTTTCGAACAAGTGTCAAAAAAAGAAAAACAAAAAATCCAACAAGTTTCCAAATAGCAAATTATAAAAAACGTGGGGAAAACGAGTTCCGACAAGTTTCTGAGAGTTTCTGTTAATGCGGTTCAGGCGAAATTTCTATACAACATAGCATAAAACGACAAAGCCTACGCAGTAAGATTTCCTAGGGTTTTATTACTGCAACACTCCAAAAATGAAAAAAAAAAAATGAAACGGAAAAAAAGCAAAATTGGAATCGCAATCCGAAATACTTGTTTCTAGCCTTCTGGTTGGGAAACGGGAAAAAATAAATAAATTTCTTGCAATTGAAGGTACCTTTAATCTTGGGCTTCTCTTTGGTTTCTTCTCCGTCAAATCAAAAACCCATTTGCCAACTTTTTTTTTGTATGTTCCTCTATTAAGGTTTGGGGAAAGTGAGATTTACAAGAAACCCTAAGAACAAAGTACAGGTCTTTGCTTAATGGGTCGCGAATCTATGCCTGCTGCTTCCTCGCCGCCATCAGCGACTGCGCCGGGTACTGCTCCGGCGGCGACATCGCTTGCTCCTGGCTTCCGATTCCATCCGACTGACGAGGAACTCGTGAGCTATTACTTGAAGCGGAAGGTTCAGAACAAACCCGTACGCTTCGATGCGATTGGGGAGGTCGATATCTACAAGCACGAGCCCTGGGATTTAGCAGGTTCGTCGAGTTTCTCTCTCAATTCATTTCTGGGCCTCTGTATGATTTTGGGTTTTTCTGTGAGACTGTGAATTTTTCGTGGATTTGGGATTTTTCGTGGTCTGGGCTTCTTCTCGGTTCCTCCTTCTGACTCAATTCTGGGGAAATGGTTAAGCTTTATGGCCTCGGATTCATTTTCTGGGAAATTTTAGTCGCAGATTCTCTGTTCGTACCATTTGCTTTGCTTAGGCTGTGATATGCGAAAACAATTCCATCCAATCGAGTTATTAATTGGATAAAATCTAGTTTTTTTAGATTCAGTTTTTTTGCATGTGTGTGAAGAAATGAAGTTTGTTTTCGTTATAAAAAGTTTTGAATTTTAGTGTTATGGAGTCCGGTTTCATTTATTTCTTCATGGTGCGTTCAAGTATATCAGATTCCTTAAGGATTTCTTGCTAACTTGTGCTCCACTTTTTAGTTTACTTGTGATTCAGGATATGAATTTTGTTATGGTTTAATTCTCTCTTCTCCTGTTTTGTGTTTTCTACTTTTCTCAGTGTTTTCGAGGTTGAAGACGAGGGACCAAGAATGGTACTTCTTCAGCGCATTAGACAAGAAGTATGGGAACGGTGCTAGAATGAACCGAGCAACTAACAAAGGTTACTGGAAGGCAACTGGCAAAGACAGAGAGATCCGCCGTGACATTCAGCTGCTCGGTATGAAAAAGACGCTTGTGTTCCACAGCGGGCGTGCTCCAGATGGGCTCCGGACCAACTGGGTCATGCATGAGTATCGCCTTGTCGAGTATGAGAGGGAGAAAAATGGAAACTTGGCGGTATAGTTTTGTCTAGAAGACTTACTTTTGTTTAAAGAATCTTACTTTAACTTCCCATCTCACCTTCAGTTTCTTTGTTTGGGATGCAGCAAGATGCGTATGTGTTGTGCAGAGTGTTCCACAAGAATAACATTGGGCCACCAAGTGGGAACAGATATGCGCCTTTCATGGAAGAGGAATGGGCTGATGACGGAGGTGTTGCTCTCATTCCTGGAGTCGACGTGAGGGTTAGGGTCGAACCGCCAGTAGCCAACGGAAACAACCAGATGGACCAGGACCAGGTTTGTGCTTCCTTATCTTTCTTACATCTAGTTTCATTTCAGTATGCAAAAACTTTGTGATAGATCCCTCTTAAGTGAAATCTATCTCTCTTGATTCACAAGATATCACATTTCTTATATCCAAAAGCTCTATATTGAAGTGAAGTTGATTAGTTTGATTTTCAGTATTTCTTGAATGCTAAAACACTGTGTTGAATCATCTCTTAAGTGGTGTTCCAAGTGGGCTGAGTGTGTTTATTTGAACTGGACTACTAACACTAGTTTATTCATGAAGCAATCTACTATTTCAATGTTTTTAAGTGATGAATTATCTCTCTTGATTCACAAGATATCTTATATGCAAAAACTTTTTGCTCAAGGGAAGCTTCTCTAAGTTCTGTCTTTTGAGTATGTAACCAACTCTTGTAGATATCAACCTTTTTCACAAGATATCTAAATTTTCTTTGCCCTTCTTTTGTTTCCTGAGCTTTGCTGTCACTGATGCTGATTACAAACTTAGCATCCTCATTTGAGCAGCGCTTGCCACTTTGCATAATACGAATTCACTTGATTTGTTGTGTTTTAGTGAAAAAATCTTTTAGGATGATCTTTTATCTTTATCTGCAAAGTTGGTCGAAGCATTTGATTTCAAATATTTTATGACTTCGGTGTTCACATAACTTTGACTTTGTTGAAGGAACTCAAGTCAGCAACCAAGGATCTCATCAACATCAACGAGCCACCGAGAGAGACAACTCCAATGGATATCGACCCCAACCAACAGAATCATCGTGACCATACCCTGAAGCCGCATCAGAATCACGACACTAACCATTACGATGAAGAGGAGGAAGCACTCAAACGTGAGCAGACTGAAGAAGACGAGCGTCCTCCTCCTGTATGCGTTCTCAACAAAGAAGCTCCACTACCTCTCCTCCAGTACAAACGCAGACGCCAAAACGACTCCAACAACAACTCAAGCAGGACGACGCAGGAGCATTCTTCGTCCACAACAACAACCGTCGACAATACACCAACCATAGTCTCATCTTCTGCTGCTGCCGCCACCAACACAGCCATCTCTGCGCTGCTTGAGTTCTCGCTCATGGGCATCTCTGACAAGAAAGAAAACCTGCAGACTCCTCACAAGGAAGCTTCTCCTCTTCCTCCAGTCGCGACTCCTGAAGAGAAGGTTAATGATCTCCAGAAGGAGATTCACCACATGTCTGTTGAGAGAGAGACTTTCAAGCTTGAGATGATGAGTGCAGAGGCTATGATCAGTATTCTCCAGTCAAGGATCGATGCACTGCGTCAGGAGAATGATGAGCTTAAGAAGGACAATGCCAAGAAGGGACAAGAAACGCTCTAAAAAACCATATCTTCAGGTTTCGTATTCTTCTTTGCCTTTTAGCAGTAATCTCTCCCTAATATTATGAGCCATGGATGTAGCTTCTTCAGACGGATCGTCAACTGTGTTCTCTGTTGTAAAATTAGGATCAAACTTCTCGGAGCCGCTGAGCCGGTTTTTCTTTTTTTTTTTCTGTGTGTGGAATGTTTATGCATCTTTTGAAAACATTTTTAGGTTGCTCCATTGTCATATATTATCATCTAATCTTTTCAGACAAGAACTTTGTTTGTTTGTCTCGAGAATGTTTTGTTTACTGCGACATTTTCTTTTGTGGGGCAAACCCGTTATTTAGTGGTCAGCTCTGAGGGTAGAGTCGTCTTTCTAGACAAGAATCTTATCCCATAAAGTAAAACCGTGATTGGTTTTCAGAACAAAGGACATAATCGTCATTAAGCAATTCTGGTATACAGTAGAACCTCTATAAAGTAATATTCGGTAAAGTAATACCTCGATAAATGAATAGAATTTACAAGTTCCAAATTTAATTTTTGATGTAATTATCTTTCGATAAATTAATAATCTATTCCAAATGTTATTACTTTATAGAGGTTTGTGACGAGTGTGGTTGCGTCAGAGACGTTACGTGAAAGAAGCGTTAGTCCAGTGGTTCTCCATGTCAAATCTAGAATCTGAGTCATGGGTTCGAACCCCCGACTATTCATTTTATCTTCTCAATTTTCGTTTAACGAAATGTAAAATTACGAAGATATCCCCGTCTTCATCCTTTCTCTGCGACATTAGAAGACCTAACCACCGCCGGCCTGTTTTTTTTTCCACGAATCTGATAGATATATAACACAGAACTCGATTTAAACTTTCAAAACCCACAAAAAGTTAAGAAATTCGATATATCCGATTTTCTGGCCGCATATGCCAAAATCGCCACACTAGCCACCGAGGAGCGCCTCACCGCCGTTTACTCGGCCGCCGCGGCTCTCTAGTCCATGGAGAAGCTGCGTAAGGTGGTGAACGAAATCGCCTACACGCGAGACCACAGTAATTCCCCTGCTCTTCACCGATCTCTCGTTCCCCTCTTGACATTCGCTTCTTCTCTCTACGGAATCGCTCTCCAAATCCGCCGCTCTCTCTACCGCTCTTCCGTCTTCCATCAACACCGGTGAGTTTTCCGATCATATGAATGAGTGTTGTGGGAGATTACACGATTAGTAACATTTCTGTGACAATTTTTGTTTCCGGGAAAGATTGCCGGTTCCGGTGATCAGCGTTGGGAATCTGAGCTGGGGAGGAAACGGGAAGACGCCCATGGTTGAATACATTTCGCGATTACTCGTCGAGTCTGGAATTTCACCGCTTATTCTCACTCGTGTAAACCTCTAATTACTTTTACTTCTTCAAACTCGTTTTACTTGAATTTTAATTTCACTGAACAACAACAAATGTAGCAAATATGGAGCGTTTGCTTATGAAATGAGACTCTGCGTATTATTACCCATTGGCATCTGAATCAAGACGAATATTATATATATACATGATCTTTGACTGCAGGGTTATGGTGGTGGAGATGAAGCCAGAATGCTTGAAAGACATGTTCAAGGTGGACCGACAAAGATCGGTGTTGGAGCAAACCGTGCAGCTTCTGCTGCCTCGTATTTTGAAAAGTATGGCTGTGTAAATCCTTCTTCTTTGAGGACATACTTTGGTCAATCTTTGCTCCATGGAAGAGCAGAAGCAAGGACTAGTTCAGAAAAACTTGGCTCTGTCATTCTAGATGATGGGATGCAGGTATGCTTCTACACCACAAATGTATAAAAAATGGTAGCTTTATAGTGTACAAATGATATTGATGAAAAAGAGATATGAGCATTTTCACCTTTATTTGTCAAGAGTCACTAACCCTCTTGTGTTTGTGAATAGCATTGGAGTTTGTGTCGTGACCTCGAGATTGTGATGGTTAACGGGCTGAATCCGTGGGGAAATGGTAATTTACTTCCCCTTGGTCCCTTACGAGAGTCTCTTGCAGCGCTTGAGCGGGCAGATATAGCTGTTGTACATAACGTCCACTTGGTAGGTCGACAAATATATATATGTCTCCCTTTCTTTGGCTGATGATGACTATTGATGTTATAGTGGCTTTTTGATCATGCAGATGACTGAACAAAGCCTCATAGATGTTGAGAACACGATACATGGATTCAAAAACTCGGTACCGATTTTCTTCTCCAAGATGGTGCCCAAACACTTGTTCCATGTTGAAAATGCCATGTCACATGTATCTTTAGAAGCATTGCGCGATGCCACTGTGCTATGTGTATCCGCAATTGGATCCGCTGACGCGTTTGTCAATAGCATCGGGAGGGTATGTGGTTTCGTGCTATTCACTGAATTTTTGTAACAAAGAAATCAGTTTTTGGTATGCTAACTCATGGTGTTATATATGGTGCGACAGACGGGAGCACGTTATGTTGATAGACTTGATTTCAGTGACCATCATGTATTTGGAGCACAGGTACGATGGTCTACTTTCACAGCTCTTATTCCCAATTTTCCTGAGTGCCAAAAAGTCGCACAGATCCTATTTCTCATATTGTTCTGGCTTTTCTTGATAATATATGTGCAGGATGTCGAAACTATGAGAAAGAGAGCCAAGGAACTAGAGCACATATATAAATCCAAGCCTATAATCGTTGTCGTGACAGAAAAGGTGAAAGCCACTTTCTGTTTCTTCTTGTTATTTATGTTATCATATTTTCAGTTTCATTTTTTCACTTACAAGAATTGCCCAGTTTCTTTCTGATTTGGTCCCTGAGTTGTTTAATGATTGTTGTTAAGTTTCAGGTCTAGACACATGAATCTAACTTGTTTTGTTCCTTTTGGGAATCCAGGATTATGATAGAGACCCGGAGATTCTCAAATGTCTGGACTCGAGCACAGCATTGGTTCTTTGCTCTGAATTGCAAATAACTCCTTGTAAAGGAACTGATGTTGATGGCTTTAAATCTACACTTGGGAGAGTTCTGGCTACTAAGTTTTTTGTTTGCAGTTAAAGTCAAGTTTATCTTACTGTATTCGTTTCTTGCGTCATCTGCATGATCCAAAAGCCACACTAACCTCAATAGTCACCATCATCAAAAGAAAAGAAACTGATTTGTTGACCGTGATGTACAACAACCAGATGGACCAGCAGGTTTGTGCTTCCTTCTTTCTCAGGCTTCATTTCTTAAGTGAATTCATCTCTCTTGATTCACAAGATATCACATGTCTTATATGCAAAAACTCTTTGTTGAAATAAAGCTTATTAGTTTGATTTCTATATTTCTTGAATGTTAAAACTCTGCGTTGATATGGTGTTCCAAGTGGGCTGAGTGTGTTTATTTGAACTGGACTACTGACTAGTTTATTCATGAAGCAATCTACTATTTCAATGTTTTTTAAGTGATGAATTATCTCTCTTGATTCACACGATATCATATTTCTCTTATATGCAAAAAAGTTTTGCTCAATTCTGTCTTTGGAGTATGGAACCAACTCTTGTAGATATCAACCTTTTCACAAGATATCGAAATTTTCTCTGTTGTGTTTTTTTGTTTCGTGAGCTTTCTTGTCACTGATGCTGATTACAAACTTAGCATCCTCATTTGAGCAGCGCTTGCCACTTTGCATAATATGAATTCACTTGACTGATTTTTTGTGATTTAGTGAAAAATCAACTAGGATGATCTTTTATCTTTATCTGCAAAGTTGGTCGAAGCATTTGATTTCAAATATTTTATGACTTCGGTGTTCACATAACTTTTACTTTGTTGAAGGAACTAAAGTCAGCAAGCAAGGATCTCATCAACATCAACGAGCCGCCGAGAGAGACTACTCCAATGGATATCGACCCTAACCAGCAGAATCATCGCGACCTTACCCTGAAGCCGCATCAGAACCACAACGATAACCATTACGATGAAGAGGAGGAATCACTCAAACGTGAGCAGACTGAAGAAGACGAGCGTCCTCCTCCTGTCTGCGTTCTCAACAAAGAAGCTCCACTACCTCTCCTCCAGTACAAACGCAGACGCCAAAACGACTCCAACAACAACTCAACAAGGACGACACAGGAGCATTGCTCGTCCACCACAAGGTCCACAACAACCGTCGACAATACACCTACGTTAGTCTCATCATCCGCTGCTGCTGCCACCAACACAGCCATCTCTGCTTTGCTTGAGTTCTCGCTCATGGGCATCTCTGACAAGAAAGAAAACCTGCAGCCTTCTCTTAACAAGGAAGCTTCTCCTCCTACACCAGTTTCGACTCCTGAAGAGAAGGTCAATGATCTCCAAAAGGAGATTCACCACATGTCTGTTGAGAGAGAGACTTTCAAGCTTGAGATGATGAGTGCAGAAGCTATGATCGATCCACTGCGTCAAGGAGAACGATGAGCTTAAGAAGAACAATGCCAAGAAGGGACAAGAAACGCTCTAAAAAACCATATCTTCAGGTTTCGTATTCTTCTTTGCCTTTTAGCAGTAATCTCTCCCTAATATTATGAGCCATGGATGTAGCTTCTTCAGACGGATCGTCAACTGTGTTCTCTGTTGTAAAATTAGGATCAAACTTCTCGGAGCCGCTGAGCCGGTTTTTCTTTTTTTTTCTTCTGTGTGTGGAATGTTTATGCATCTTTTGAAAACATTTTTAGGTTGCTCCATTGTCATATATTATCATCTAATCTTTTCAGACAAGAACTTTGTTTGTTTGTCTCGAGAATGTTTTGTTTAGTGCGACATTTTCTTTTGTTGGGCAAACCCGTTATTTAGTGGTCAGGTATGAGGGCAGAGTCGTCTTTCCAGACAAGAATCTTATCTCATAAAGTAAAAACCGTGATTGGTTTTCAGAACCAAGGACATAATCGTCATTAAGCAATTCTGGTATAGGTGACGAGTGTGGTTGCGTCAGCGACGTTAGAAGGCTTTTGTTACACGTAATTTACAGTTTTTAATTTAAACCCCGAAAAGGAGTTTGGTACGAATATTCCATTTTTAAATAAATAAAATTTATTCAACAAAAAAAGAAACCTTATATTTTCAAAAACAACGTCTTCGATAATTTGCTATTTTTCTCCGACAAAAAAAATTGATAATTTTTATTTATCCATTAAGTAAAATTTATTTAATAAAAAGTGGGTAAAATATAAATTTGCGACAAACAACTACCTCAACAAATGCTAGAGACTAATCTGGAAGACAAGTCCAACACTTAAACGTGTCGCAGCAGTAGAGACTGTCACCCAAACGATCACAGCGTGTCACTCTAAATCCCCTCTTGGCACACTTTCCTGGAAGATATATTTAAAACCTTAAACGGCGTAAAACTTCGTTTATATCATTTGCTTAGCTCCGATGTGTTCCTCGTCAACTCTCGTCTTCTCCGATTAGATTTTTACTCAATTATCTACAAAAATCCGAATTCCACATTAGATCTGCTTCTTTCTTTCTTTCTTTCTTCTCCGATTCGATTCGAAAACTCTGCTCTTGGATAAGGAGAATAATCTCTTCAACTTCTTTCTCTGCGTTTTAGTCTACCGATTTGAATGGATGGATCAGTGACGTCGCTTGCTCCTGGGTTTCGTTTTCACCCAACGGACGAAGAACTCGTCCGTTACTACCTGAAACGCAAGATCTGCAATAAACCCTTCAAATTCGATGCTATCTCTGTTACCGATGTCTACAAATCCGAGCCGTGGGATCTCCCTGGTCAGTTTTTTTTTCAAATTCTCATTCTGTTACTAATAGATCAATATTGGAAAACTCTGCTTAACTTGGCTGATTTTTTCTTTTTTTTTTGGGATGAGAAATAGACAAGTCGAAGCTGAAAAGCAGAGACTTGGAGTGGTACTTCTTCAGTGTGCTTGACAAGAAGTATTCAAACGGATCGAAGACGAACCGCGCGACCGAGAACGGATACTGGAAGACGACAGGGAAAGATCGAGAGATTCGTAATGGGTCAAGAGTCGTAGGGATGAAGAAGACTCTCGTTTACCACAGAGGTCGAGCTCCACGTGGCGAAAGAACCAACTGGGTTATGCATGAGTATCGTTTGCTCGACCAAGACCTCGAAAAGACCCGTGTTCAACAAGTAAGAAAAGATTTAGTTTCTTTTGTTTGCATGTGTGGATTGTGTTGTTGACTTTGGGGATTGTGTGGGAAGGATGCGTATGTGCTTTGTAGGATATTCCAGAAGAGTGGCTCAGGTCCTAAAAATGGAGAGCAGTACGGTGCTCCGTTTGTGGAGGAGGAGTGGGAAGAGGAGGACGATATTAGCTTCGTACCTGATCAAGATCTTGGATGTGAAGATCATGTTTATTTCGATATTGATGACATTGATGATCAGGTTTGTGTTGTAGTCTAGGTCCTCTGTTTTGTTTATTCACTGGTCTTAATATAGTCCATTTTTGAAATCTGAGTTTTAAATTCTTGCAGAAGCCTGAGAGTCTTGTGGTCTATGATGCCATTCCTATTCCGGTGAACTTTTATCACGGGGAAGCCAGCAATAATATTGAAACAAACTACTCAGACTCTAGGAACTATGAGGAAGATCAGAAGCCTATCATCCGTGATGATGCATTGTTTCAAGATGAAGAAAATGGTTGTGGTGTGAAGGAAGAGAGCAGGACCAATTTACAATTTTCTGACAACATATTTGAGACTGGTTTTCCTGTTGAGAGAAACTACTTTAGCGGTGAGGCGTTTCTGGATCAGAACAGTAATTTTGTGCAGAACGATGGTTTGTATCTCGAAACGAATGATCTCAGCAATGCTCAGCAAGATAGTTTCGACTTTGAAGATTATCTTACCTTCTTTGATGAGGGAGATGAGGATGCTCAAAACTTGACTTTTGATCCTTCTCTCTTTATGGGGACTGAAGATGTTATTACTGATCAAGAAGAGCTATTTCTTAAGGTATAAATCTTTGGACGTTTTTTTTTGTTAGTAGTTAACTTTTAACTCACGTTTCTAAACCAACAGGCTGAGACTGAGGAATTGGAGAAAGGGGAGACTTCAGGAGGCAAACAAGTGGTGGAAGAAAAGGAAACGGATGAAGCATCTTGTTCTACTAAACAAGTTGATGCAGATGCAACAGAGTTTGAGCCAGGTAAAGAAAAAGCCACAGTCAATAACTTTTCCGACATATGTTATTAAGCCTCACGTGTTCTGTTTAGTTGATGGATCGAATCTTAATAATGCAGATAACAAGTACCCGTTCCTCAAGAAGGCGAGCCATATGTTAGGTGCTATTCCGGCTCCGGCTGCGTTTGCTTCTGAGTTCCCCACTAAAGATGCAGCTATACGTTTCCACGCAGCACGACCTTCAGGTTCGGTTCATGTAACAGCTGGTATGATCACAATATCTGACGGCAACATGGGCTGGTCATACGGCAAAAACGAGAGCCTTGACTTAATCCTTTCTTTTGGGTTGGTCCAAGGGAATGAGAAACCAGGAAATAGTTTAACAAGGACAATGTTAATGTTCATGTGTTTATGGGTCCTCTTACTCTCAGTTAGTTTCAAAGTAAGCACTTTGGTCTCTTCCCGATGATAAGTTGCTACTTTTTGTATAAACAATTTTTTTTTTTTTTTTTTTAAGTACCATTTTATTTATCTTTAGCCCTTTAAAGGGGGAGCAATTACAAACCGGCTTAAGAGACCAAAAGCCGAACAAAAGGCATAATAAAAACACATTTAAGCAGCAAACACAGCAGCAGCACTCTCAAAGTGCCCCAGAAAAGAGGAGGATCGATCAAGGTTGAAACAGTCTAAACCAAGTGAGGAGGAAAGAATCTTCTTGTGAAGACGAAGAGGAGGAAGAAACAAGACCGTCAATGAAAAAGAGCGGTCCAAACTAAACAACTTTGCCCTTAAAAGAATTTGGATTTCTTTTACCGAAACATGGACCGGTTTGATTTGGCTGTGTGTAAACACGAGTTCCATAAACAATACATAATGGCTTGCACCAAGAGTTTGCAGAGAAGGCGAGATCGACCAATCAACAACCTCTTCAATTGAGACCGGCAGTGTAAATCCATTTCTATAAAAGAAACTGGTCCAAATCTCCTTGGCGTAATCACAATCAAGAAGAATATATAAAGACAGTTTTTGTGTTTGTACACATTGATATACTTGTAGTAGTGTTTTGCTGCTCAGGTTATTGAATCTCTTCATCTTCTTCAACTTTTGCAATCATACTAATTTTTTAAAAGCATATATATGATAGTTCGGAAATGTGTAACGTTTTTATGAAATAAGAAAAAAGAAGAAGCGTAGATAATGAAACTGAGAGAGTAGCTCCTTTGAATCTCACGTCAATAACTCATAAGAGCATCCACAATGGACATTCCCACATGGGGATCTTTAACAATAAAAAGAAACACTTTTTGAGTTAAAAAAAAAATGAAAAAACGAATTTTAAATAAATAATTTTTTTTTAAAAAAATGAAAGGAAGGAACCAATCACAATATGACACATCGCAAATTGGTGTAAGAGAGACGATTTCTTTGGACTCTGCTTGTAGAGTCGATTCAGCTCATAAGGCTTGACACCTCATTTCTTTTTACTTTTTTTCTTCTTTTCTTTTAATTACCAGAACCCTTATGGGGTTGTCCAATGCAGATGAGCTGAATCGACTCTACAAGTAGAGCCCAAAGAAATCGTCTCTCTTACACCAATTTGTCATGTGTTATATTGTGATTGGTTCCTTCCTTTTATTTTCTTTTTTTTTTAATTATTTATTTAAAATTCGTTTTTTCATTTTCTTTTTAACTTAAAAAGTGTTTTCTTTTTATTGTTAAAGATCCCCATGTGGGGATGTCCATTGTGAATGCTCTAAACTTGCTACGTTTTTCTATTTAGATGATGGTCATATTTACATAGGTTTTGCATATGTTATTCTTATATTATGCTTACGTTATGCTTACTTAGTAACTTTTGTGAAAAACATTCAGTTTTTTTTAATTGTAAAAATGTATTCATATTTTAGCAACAATGACGATACTAGTGTCAAACTGTCAATCAGAATAATAAAGTGCAACAAACGTGGACCATATTTTAAATAAAGATATGATATTTGTGCAAAGGTAATTTACATTCTTTCTGTCTCATAATTGAAATTCATACGATATAAAATTGAAATTCATAATGGTTCAATTTGTTTTAACTTTTAATTTCTCTTTTGCACAAGCCAAATGTGGCACGGAAATTCCAAGAGAAGGGCTTTACAAATACGATCTACGGCGTTGCTTCAGCTGAGGAAGAACGCGCAGAGTTCAAGAAACTTTCCGTTGAGTCTGTTGACACCAGTTGTATGTTGGAGTAGCTAAACTCCGTCGCTGAGAAGCTTATTTAATTAATTACTCCATAAAGCTTTTTAATTAATCATCTTATAATAATGGGTCGTCACATATGGATTTGTTCTTTTTAATTACTCCTCATATTACTCCCTCCCTTCATAATAAGTGTTGTTTTAGGTTTTCTAACACATATTAAGAAAACATGTTAAAAATTCTACAATACCTCTAATTAATACATTATAAAATTTAATTTCTTTGATTATTCAATAAATGAATGTGGTTAAATCTGGAAATTATATTAAAAATTTTGCATTGAAAATGTAAAACGACATTGAAACAAAAATTAAACTCTAAAATGACTCTGAAACGGAAGGAATATTAATTACCCCATGTCGCTTTTTTTTTTTTGGTACGTAAGAGGGGACAATGTCCCCTTTGTATTATTCAAACTTAAACATTTACAAACCTAGCTCGTGAAGAGCCATCAACATTCTCACTCAACAGCACCAAAATCTCAGTGGGTGAGAAGGCAAATAAATGAAAACCAAGAGATAACGAGAAAGCATAGTTCGCAAGCCCGTCGGCGACCCGATTCGCCTCTCTATATGTGTGCCTGATCCGGACTAACCAGTCCCTGGAGAAGAAGCCATAGCACAGCCGTGCTAGGAAAGATAGAGGGTGAAATTCACTTATCCCTGAATGAAGGATCTTCACCACAACCTCTGAGTCCACCTCAATTATCAGTCTTGGGACACACCGCTCCCAAGCTATAAGTAGACCGTAGTAAACGCCCCAAAGTTCTGCTAATGGCGCCGAACAAATGCCAATATTCAGTGCAAAACCACAAACCCAACTCCCTTGTTCATCACGCAATACTCCACCAGCTGTAGCCAAGCCCGGGTTTCCTCGCGACGTCCCGTCAGTGTTAACCTTCCACCAGCCCTGTATTGGTGGCTGCCACGCTATCTGACGTTCCACTCTCTGTGCCATGCCTCCGGTATTAGTGGTCTTGGTATAGGCTGATGCAACTTCCTTAGCAATATCTTTCACAAACTTCACGCGATCACGGCACTTTCTATTAGACCCAAACACATTGTCACATCTCCATTTCCAACCCCACCAAACTGCCATCGCGAAACATGTCGACCACTTATACTCTCCCAAATCAAGTTCAGATCCCAGATTAGTGTAAAGCCAACTCAACAGAGGAGCTTCGAAGAATTCCCGCCTCTTTCTCCGGGGAACAATGCGTCTCCAAATGCCTTCCATTGCAGGGCAGTCACGCAGAATGTGAATAATAGTTTCCTCTCCACTCCTGCAGACTTGACACAGATTAGTGTCACTGAGATGACGTCTGTGTCGTTCCGCGTTCGTCATAAGAGCTTGGTTAATTACCAACCATAAGAAGACCCTGACTCTCTCCGGAACTGCCACACGCCAAGCTCGGGTGAAGAATCCGGCCATACACTGTCGTGGTCAAGAATCCTGGGTGAGGAATGAGTACGCCGATGTGACCGAGAACGTACCATCCTGCGTTTGTCCCCAGGACATTCTGTCCCGGCCTCCGGTTACTTCATCCACAACCACTGATGTGAGTCTCAGTTTTGTCTCAGCCGAGACATATGGTTCAATCTGTGTAAAAGACCAACCATAACTGCTCTGCCATAAATCAGATACCCGTGCCTCAGTAAGAGTCTCCGGGATACCTGTTGTTGCCACCTCCAGTAACGAGCTTCCTAGCAGCCACCTGTCCTTCCAAAAATTTGTCGTGCGCCCATTACCAATCACCCAGCTCATCCCTGGGATCACCACCTCTCTCATTCCTTTTAAAACACTCTGCCACGTAGAAGACCAATTTCCTTTCGTATTGAACCAAGCTGCATCTTTTACATCCTTCACTTTGTATTTACTCCTCAGAACCTTTGCCCACAAAGAAGTATCATCATGTAACAGTCTCCAGCTCAGTTTTGCAAGAAGAGCAATGTTCATCTCCTTTGTTTTACGAATTCCCAACCCTCCTGTCTTCGGGGTACAAATTCTCTCCAAGAGATTAGATGCTGTTTTCTCTAGTCAGTTGTATCACCCCATGTCGCTTTTTAAATAATCATCATAATCATCTTAGAGGAAATTTCAAAACTACACCTCTTGAGATGCCAATTTTCAAAAATACACCTCTATGGTGCCAATTTTCAAAACTACACTTTTTTCATTTAGTAAAAGAACTCTAAACCCTAAAATATAAATCTAAAACCCTAAAATCTAACATTAAACCCTTAAATCTAAATCCTAAACCCCAAAATCTAAACCCTAATATAGGATTAGTGAACCCAAACATATATATTAAAATTGGGGAAAGGTGTATTTTTGAAAATTTTCACACTATAGATGTAGTTTTGAAAATTTGCACCTCAAGAGATGTATTTCATAAAATTTCTCATCATCTTATGGATTGGTTTAGTTTAGCTATTTACGGTTTAATTACTTTTTCATGTCCTGTTTAATTATATGTAAGGCGTTTTGCCATTTGGGGATTTTTTTGTTGGTGGAAGCCATTTGGGAAAAATTAATAAGAAAAAGAATTCATCTTTTTTTGTGTGTGTGCAAATGCTGATTTTCATTAAATCTAAATCCAATAAAAATCATTTATCTTCTTCAACCTATTCTCTCTATCATCACGAAACTCTATTTATCTTCTTCAACCTATTCTCTTTATCTCTTGAGTGTAATTTGTTAATTGGTTAGTAAATGTTTGTTACAAATGGATGAGTAATAAGGGATAGTATAAATAGGGTAGTTAGCTTTTGGTCGATTGATGTGTTCCTTTCTAATTGTAAATATGGATGAATAATAAGTCCTTTCAGGAAAAAAAAAAAAAAAAAACTGATGTGATGAAATTGGCATATATTTGTGCATACAAATTCAGCATTTTAACTTATGAGAAGACCATTTCATGAGTAGTACTGCATTGTGAATTTGTTGGTCGTTGAAAGAAGAGAGAAGAAAACTGTAGACATTAACCAGCACAATGTGATGACGTGTGAATACACATTTCTTGACTTTCGGTTTCATGCTTTTTCGTTAATGATGAGTGATGACTATAAAGATTCTCTCGACCGAGACTTGTAAATTTCCACGTCTCCGGACCAGAAGTATATGGTCTTAAATTCTTAGTGTCTTGGCCTAATGGACTTCAAACACCTCTTCTACATCATAACATCAATGTAAAAGTTTTGCTTTAAATAGAAAAGAGTGACGTTATTATTAAAACTCATTCAAAAAGCACTACTATAACTTTAAAATAGTAAGTATGGATGACACATATGAATGACGCGCATGTGATTAACAGGAGGAAAATACGGTTTTATGAGTCTTCTTGTTTCATTTCGGTCTTAATGGCTAAAGCCAAGTGATCATAAGCTTGAGACCAAGCATTTTCCACTTCTTCATTGTATTTCTCCCCCAACCCTTCTTTCAATGTCCTTACCAAAGCCTCTTTCACCACCTGCATTTATTTCCGGCACTTATTTAATTTCTTCTAAATTGAAAATGAAAACTGAAGTTATTACGGTACTAGTTAAAAAGAGATACCTCAAAGTGCAGATCAAGAACGCCGTTTTTGAGATGAACAGATCCCAAGTATTGGAGGGTTGTGTCAGCCACAACCACCTTTCCTTTCTCTCTCAGCTGTATTGCTGTTTCACATGTCTACACCCAAAATTTAAATAATTAAAACTCTTTAAAAAATCAAAAAAAAATGTATATATTTTATTATTATTGCTTACAAAATTAAAATTAGTCTTTTAGTAGACATCGAACTTCTGGTTTATTTAACATGATTTATTCTATTATATACCAAAGAAAAAGAAAAAGAAAAAACCACAGAAAGCGAACCGAACCACTTGGATTCTTCAGTAACGTTCATTAGTTGGCAGAAAAATGTGTATTTGCTTGAAGTGGATGGATTTTAAGAACGAATCTTAACATGATATTTTTTTTTTCTCGGGGAAGAAGACAAAGCCAACTAGGCAAGTTAAAACAAGATAGACCACGAAATCGTGTGCACTGCACATGACTACAATATAAATACATGAATACAATATTATCTGATGAGTCAATAAAGATTGTTTAGCTGTAACGATGAACCACTATAATTTCAATCTAAAAGAGTGTAAGATGATATTACGCTTTTGATTTAGTGATTCGATTTATCATACGATCTGATATAATATTTCATATATACACAGTAAAAAAAGCCAATAATAGTGTTATTTCCATCGAAACTTTAAAAATCGGTTTTGTATTTTAGACAATAATTGCAGTCCTATATAGTATATACTAGATTTTAATTCTTTCTAAAATAAAAAAAGTGAGAAATACCATCTTGAAGACTTTGACAGCATGAGCTTTGAGTTTAGGATTGTTGTGAGGGACTTCATTTGAGTCTCTTAGGAAAGAGAACATGTTCTTTGCTGCTGGTGCTATCTCCAAAATCCTACATATATCATCAATATATTGTTCATTAGTTCACATATATAAACAAGATGTAGAGTTCAAATATATATATATATATATATATATATGCTCTTATACGTATATGTATAAATATAGTTACTGTGAGAAGAAGTGAAGACTGTATTTGGGGATGTCTTGCTTCAGTATCTCCCAAGACTCCTTCACCAAAGCTTCTTGCTTCTCAGTAAACTCAATCTCACCCATCTCTCTCTCTCTCTCTCTCTCTCAATTTGACACACAATATTTGTAGGTTTCTATATATAAGCGCGTGAGAGTTTTCTGGTTGAAGATTTGTAATATTTGTAATTCGATGGTCTTTTGGTAGTGTGTGGAGCTCTTTTGTAGAAGATCTCTCCGTTATTTTTTATTAAAAATGTTTATTTTAGAGTTAGAGATCGCTGATAAGTGATAACTAGAGGCATTATCTCGTGAAGGTGGACACGCGTAGGCGATAAAATATGGATACGTCATACGTATAGTTACTATTTGAACGAAAACTATCTCTAACGAGGACATGCGGGTACTCTTGCTTACAAACAATAGGAAAAACACGATGCTCATGGGCTATATGGCCCTTAATCAACCCTGATATGTTTGGCCCAATCCACATCTGGAATTTCACCCTTTAGTTCATCACCAATAAACCACACCAAACAAAAATGAAATATGATCGGTAACTTTCCCAATAAAAAACAAAAGTTGAAGCTACTTTACTTTGATTTTTGAAAAAACAGAGTAGGCAAGAAATATAGTTCTTGTTACATGCGAGTATGCGACATGATGATACCATATGCTTTTCTTTGTTTTGCTAAAAGAGACAATATGGTATATACACACTTGATTCCTATTGAATAATAAATAAACTCAGGCAATGATAGAATAAGCAGAACAAGATACTTACAATCATGAAGAAGTTAAAAGAGTAGCTTGTGTTTTAAGACAGTTTCGTACTTGTTGGTTGCGTAGACATGGCTCTTTGCTTCATCGCAGCCTCGCAGGACCATATCATTACTTTATATTTAATTTCCATTCGATTTTATTGGTCTAATGAATAACGCCCATTAATTCCATTTTGGTCGCAGGGCCATATATAATTACTGTCTATTTAATTTTATTGGTATGCTGAGTAATCTTCTTCTTTCTGTCCGCCAGTAAAATATTACAAAAAAAATTGTTGAAAGAGAAACACATACACGCATGTATCAAATTCAATGTAAACGATGCAGTTTCAAAAACTAAAAAAGTACTGTTAGTATTTTTGTATATGTATTTGCCTGATGTGTAATGTTATTATATACTAGTGTTTAGTGAATTTACATATAACTTTTTGTTTGTCATGATTTCACATATACACGCTAATTTGTAATAACAACTTTCGTGATTATAAAAACTCCGTAATTTATTTATTTATTTTTCTCCGATAATACTTACCTTTGGCTTACTATAAATTTAGTTTTACATTTTTCTAGTGTTACATTTGGTACTTCATACTAACTGAAAAAAAAAACACAAACAAAAAAAATCATAGAAAAAGTTGGAACATTGCTGTTACCCAAATGCTAGATAGAGCTGTGAAATGTGAAACATGTCTTGCATTTAACAATTTTCATCATAATTTCTCAATTTTCTAACACTTCCTTAACTACAATTGATGATTTAGAGATAGTACAGAATTAAACGATGAGTATCAACTTCGAACTTTGAAATTTTAGGATATTTTTTTTTATAGAGACTATATAAAATGAATTGCATAATATACGGATCCCAAAGTTGCCTCCGTCGCTCTACCGGCCGGTCAAATAATGTCAGAATCAAGTATGAATTTCAGATCAAGGAATTTGATAATATAAATGAGTTAATTTTTTTTTTGAACATCAAATGAGTTAATTATATACATGTGATTGTGCATACTTTTTTAACAAAACAATTAAAACATTTTTTTTTAAGTATATACTTCCGTCGAGGCTTTCATTATCTCTGCGTTGTTTGCTTTCACAATTACACGTAGGACACGCGACTGATACGTCTTCTACCAAATTAACACCTAAAAACTTTTAAACGCCATTAGCATTTTTGATAACGTAATTGGTTGCTATCATTAATATATTGTGGATTTAAAATGTTATTCCTGATAAAATTGACATCTTGCGGTTAAGAATTTCTTTTTATTTCGTCCAGGAAAATTCAGTTTTCCCATTAACGGTAAATTTTTGACTCGCCAGTTGGTAGAAAGTAGAAACACAATTGTACGACCTTTTGTAAATCAAGTATCTATAACAGCAGAAAAATATTTTGGGTAAAGGTAATGTCGGTCTAGCCAAAATGATTGAAACCACTGAAAATCATTGAAATATACTCTTTCTTTGTTATTTGAACAAAACTTTCAAATTTGGGTGATATCAATTTATTTATGTATTTACCAAGAAATTTGGATATTTTTCACGGTGGATTCAGATATTTTGTCCATAATTTATTACACGCATTGTTCAATTTTAGTCGAAATACATATTATGACTTTGGATGAATTAATGGATGATATATAAGTCGATCTTGTCTTTTATAAATGACATAAATACTATACCCAATTATTATTGGAAAACATGGCAATTGGAATTTAATTTCATTTATTACGGAATTTACAACATCGACCCCTCCATGCGGAATTAATACACGGTTGCAGAAAATTATCCATCTGTTTTTTTCCAATAAAAACTCTAAAATCGAACACCAAAATAACTCAAAATAATTTTTAATTTATATATGGTTTCACGATGTTTCCAGTAAAACTGTAAAAATGTAAATCTTGAACTAACGGCTCATCTTCGCGCACAATAAGGATAACTTCTCCGCCGTTTTGCCGTCGTTGACGCGTCATTATAAACGGAGGAGAAGAAACGGTCAATCTCTTCCCGATTCATGATAATCTCACAAGTCGGCACTAAAAGCTTCCTCTTGCACGATCTGATCATCAGAGCCGCCGTGGCCGACGGTTTCGACGGCGGTGGACGAGGTTTTCGCGGCGGAGGAGGTGGAGAATCAGCGATGGAGGGAATCTTGTGTTCTTGGGATGTGGGTGTGCTGCAGCTGAGGCCATCGTTGTCATCGCCGTTGTTGTTCTTGTTCTTAGAGGTACTTTTGGATCGGATCTTGATGGCTGCTGGGAAATTGAGTTTGGACAGATCTTGTAATAACTCAAGATCCATACCTATAATTGTGTGTGTGTGTATATGTGTTTTTGTTTGTTGTGGATTTTTTTTTTTTTTTGTGGAATGTAGAAAGCTTGTTGGAGAAGTGAGGTTGAGAGAGGGGTTTGTTATATGTGTTTGGGGCTTTGCATACACGTATATACACACGCATGATTCATGAAAGTTAGAATGTCGTATAGTTACTTTTTGACATGGAAACGAAAAAGTCTTTTAGTTGTTTAAATGAAGATAAGCAAGGTAATAATATATGGGAACGAGAATGGACGTAACTTCCGAGTTTAGAAAAATATACTATTACTAGAGAGAATGGATGATAATTTGTACTTGTATAGTTGTATTTGTATGTATGTACAACTAGAGCACATGTGTGTGGTTCACCAATTCTGAAAGAGTTTACCTAATTTTCTGAATAACTACTTTTATATAAACGAGTCTTTTAATGGAGCATATATACTAACAATTACTTCTTTTAGATATAAAACTAACAATACTTAGCATTTTTTTTTTTAATTGGTGGTAGAAAGTTGAGAATAATTCATAGAGTAATTCATATGGTTAATATCTCTACTAAGCTAGAGTCGAATTATTATGATTGGCATAGTAGAAATGATATTCATTACATGTGAAAATAAAGATTACTTTCGTCATTTGGCCCAGTCTTGAGATCCTTTAATTATTTAGCAAGATAGAAAATCTGTTCTACAGAAAAATAACAATTCTTAGCCTAATTTTAGATGGCAATAATTGATGTAAGGTGGTTGAAACGTTACATTTTAAGTTTCATTTTTTTCCAACAAGTATAAGTTACTAATTGGTATGAGATATTGATTAAAAGAAATATTGAAAAGTACGTAATACAAACTATTCATGCAAACTCTCATCACATGATTTTAGGATTTTATTTATTCTTTTCAATAAAGCCTCTAAATTCTTTTGGGAGATCCTTAATTAGTATGCCTATAAGTTTTGTTGTAATGTAAATGTTTTTGAATAAAACCAAAAGAAAAGACTACAAAGTTCTGGGAAGACTAAAGTTTTCGCAAATAAACAAAAGACAAATGACAAATGAAACTCTAAAGTTTGGAAGCGCAGCGAGACTGAATTAGCGAGGGCCACAACAAATGAAACAAACGCAAATGGTGTTCTCGTACAATAGGTCTCTCCCATCTAAATACCATTAATGTCTCATCAATAACATTAAATTGTGTATATACATAAAACTTTTATTTGATAAAAATAAAAATATAACCATCAAAATAAGAGTAACAGTAATAGTAATACAGGGAATTATATTGATGAAATACATATTATATTGTATATAAATTCTAGATCAACTTCTTATCTTAGATCTCAAACATATATAGAGTTTGGTTTAAATCTGTGTCTTGTACCTATTACAACCTAAAGACATGGCATGTGTTTAGATTTAAACACTACTCCATGCATCATTAAATTTTATGTAACAAATTGATTGCAAATTTTCAAAAAGTTTTTTTTTATAAATAAACAATGTCCATTGTGAGAAGCAGTATAATTTTTATGTGACATTATGATCTCAAGATATACGGTGGACCCACGACGTTTTACACGCCAAGTATAATAATGTAAACAAATTATAAACCCTTGCCATGCCATAGAACTATTATTAGGCTGTAACATGAGTTTGTTACTATTTGCGTACTCTTTGCTTTTGTAGATAATAATGATCCAAGTCTTATTAGTGCTTGCGTTTTTAACCTGAATTTTTTTATATTTTCTTTTATCTAGGTTTAGATCTGATCGGTTTCATAAGATCTAATAATCAAATTATAAACAATTATAGTTTGATTAAATTGATTTGGAACGACTTAATTTTAATTAGTTGATATTTTGCTATACGTCGCTTTTGTTTTTGTCATCATTAAACTATGTCGTACTTGAAGTTAGATTTGATCACTCTGATACACTAGCTGCGCTGCGTGATGTAGAAACTGTATTTATATAAAAGATTACAGCTGCTACGTAAATATACTGCAAAATATGAGATGGCTTGGACATGCCACGTATCGAGTTTATGAATGCATGTGGTGATGATGTAGAGTAGATCTGTGGAAGTGAGTCAGGAATATCCAAATAAAAAAAAAAGTACAGAAGTGGAAAGATCTAATACGATCTCTCGCAGGAGATCTCAATCTCTCAACTTTGTTTCTTTTTTTTTTACTTTTCGTTTTGTCAACCATTCTCCTCTTCTTGTTTTTAATATTTTATTTTTCGGTTATTCTAAACTTTTTTTTGTCTATATTGACACCTTTTTTGGTTTGGTTTAGGCTTGGACATAAAGATCAAAGATGTATGAGACTATGAGAGATTAGGATAAGTCGATGTTATTTGTAAGGCCACGAAACCATTCAATCACAATCAACAATCTGTAGCATTTAGAATCCATTATACTCGATGTTGAAGTCTCGGTGGTCCAGTTTCGGTTGTTTAATTTGGCCAAACTGAACCGTCTAAAATCAAATTGTTTTTAAACCGAAAATGAAACCAACTGAACGGAAAGTCTTAACACTTTAACAGTCATTCAAATAAAAAATGCATTGTAATCAGAATCTACATGAAATCATAGTTTAATCAACTAAATGCAGATCTTGTTTAAATTGGTTTCAACATATTTCCGGCAAACGGAACATTCATGAACCAAAAGAGGACAGCAAAATCAGATTTAAAACTCACAGATCTATAGTGTACCTGGTTATCGATTAAAAGTTCTACACCCTCCGACAAATATCATGAGACATTCATAATTGAAATTTCTATAGCTTGAGGAAAGATTCTCACATATACTTTCAAGGCATGAAACATGATGGCCTACATTACAGGTTGATAACAAAGAACGTACGTCGTAGACATAAGATTCACTATTACAGGTGGATCACAAAGAAAACAAACCTAATTGATAAGAATTAATGTGTGTTTTTGTTGGCAAGTCCAAAAAAGTCTTCAAACTTGATGCCTATGCATAGGATTCCATAACATTTTTGTTTTCTTATTTTTCGATTGGTTTTGAAAGTCTTATACATATATAAAACACCCACAAAGAAGAAGACGAATAATCATGTGACGACTTATTATTAAAATCACATGAAATTAGTAAAGTTTTTGTAAATCTTTGATCCAAATTAAAGTAACTCTAACAATTAGAAATCCAAAATCGTAATAAGTCCTGAAAGTTATATAGTTTATGTTGGTTGGATATTAGATTTAAGGACAAAGATCCTAATCAGATCGAGCCGCCATTTATCATGTACTGTATATAGATTTAAGGACAAAGTTCCTAATCAGATCGGCAACGACGACGTAATAAGTTCAACTTGTTTTTCACTAACATGCAGAATACTAATACAATTAAAATTAAATATATGATTATCATTCACCACCGTTTTAGCATGTTATTTGTTGTAATGTACAATGTAGACAAAAAAGCAAGTGAAACGTAACGTGCATGGCCTCCAAATCATGAATATATTCGCAATAATAAAATTTTAAATACCATAAAGTTCCAAAGAATATACCGATCGATCGAAACCAAAAGTAAAGATAAGGAGCATGATGGCTCTCTCTTGGATGGTTTAGGAAACCTTCATATCCAATTGTCTTCCTACTATATGGAGATGAACGGCTGTATCAAATATCAATCATACAAACTACAATTGACATATATATCAACTATATTAACTATCTAACCAAGGAAATCAATATATAGCAGATTAGTGATAGTAATGGTTACATCTGAATATATGATCTCACTGCTAGACGAGGTCGCCGGAGTCGTGTCCCGTCCAGCAAACCAGTAGCCACATGCGGAGGCCAGTTATTTAATTTATTATTACCAAACACAGATTTTGATTCCTTCATAATCGTCTAATTTTAAAAATGAAAACATTTTTATGTTAGATTTGAAGGAAAATTAGAAAGCTAATGTATACGTTTGTATGTCATTTTACTACATTCTGTGAAAATTAAAAAAATGTAAACAAATTCGGGCAAAAAAATAATAGTTTCATAACGGGATCCAATGTTTTATTTTCTTTTGCTACCTAACAAAATAAAAGAAAGAAACAAACAAACAATTGGCTAATGACCCAACAAGTTGGCAACAATAGCTAGTTATTAGGTCGGTCCTGGTGTTATGGAATCACTTATCTTTAACTAGCTAGTTATTAGGTCAAAACATCAAACTTCTTTCTTTTTTTTTAATCGTAGCGACAAAGTCAAACATTAGTTGATCATACCACAATTCGTGTTTTATCAATACTGTTTTGTTAATGATTTTTAAAACTCTCGAAAGCTTAACTAACTCTAAAGATTGTTTAGGCTGTGATCATACTACAATTCGTGCCCAACACTAGTCTAACTAACTTAACAACTTGTATTACGCCAACCAATCTTTGTTGCTATTGTTAAAATCACATGGAAAAAAACTAATCCTTTATAGAAATATAATGTATAAAAATATGGAGGATAGATTTTAAAACACATGCAGAAGTCATATTATCATTGATCTAGTTCTATAATCATTATCAAATGAAATGTACAAACAAGGCTAGACAACAAAAAATAACTTGCATAACTCAGGCCCAATTGAGGGGACTCCAGGCCTACTCAAATATCTCCATCGTTTATTTTATTTTTATTTTATTTTTTCTTTCTTGGTAGTAAAACCCTAACCCGGATCCATGTCGGAGCTTTTAGTTGGCGCGCGTTAGCACATTTTTCTGCTAAACCCTAAAAATCTTCACGCCGGCCTTTTTTCTCAATCAGAGCTTCACCGCCGCGTATAATTCTTCCTCCTTGCCGCATCATCGTATCTCCAGCTCACTTTCTCCCAGGTGAACACTCTTCCATTTTCCTCTTAGTGTGGTTTCGTCTCTCGAATTTAAAATTTCAAGTCATTCCTGAGGTTTATCTCAATCCTCCTAGCTGTTTTCGTCATACTGTCAAAAACCTAGATGAATCAGTGTTTAATTGGAATTAGCTGGAATCGACTTATTAGTGATCCATTGTTTATCGATTTAAGCTTATCGATTTCTGAATTATAAGTGTAGTGAGCTGTTTTGATTCGTTTAGGTGATAAGGAAGACGAGCAAGTGTGAAGATGGAGGTCATAGCAGAGGATAACAATCGCATTGAGAAGGTCATGCCTCCTGATGAGCAGGTACTACCTTGGTTGGGTTTAGAATTTCAAACCACTTTCGTTATTTGTGGGATAGAGCAAAGTTGAGAGCTTTTGGATCAAATTATTGTGCAGGAGATCGATGTTGAGTTGGAGGCTAAAGAACAGAAATATCGTAGAGGAAAAGGTGCTGATCTTGAGGTATGAATTTAATTTTTATATATATCTTTTGATGATTGTGTGTGGCTTTTTGGTTGTGAATTGCAGTGGTTGAGAGTGTTTTCTTTGTGTTGTGTAGAAAGTGAAAGATAAGAAACAGAAGACTCAACTTGCTAAACGAGAACAGTTATTTGAGAAATCTGCAAAATCTGCTGCTAAAATCGAGAAGGTAAATTTACTCCTTTCACTCAGCTCTGCCTCTATCTTGTTTTCCCCTTCTTGAAGATGAAAGGAACTGTTGTGTTTGGCTTGACTTCGTCCTACCGTTTTGGTAGTTAAGCTGGTGTCAAATTCCTAAATTGTTGTTTCGTGATTACGTAGTGGCTCTTGCCGGCTGAGTCAGGATACTTGGAGACTGAAGGTCTAGAGAAGACATGGAGGATCAAGCAGACAGATATTGCCAACGAAGTAGATATCTTAAGCTCAAGAAACCAATATGACATAGTGCTCCCAGGTAAATTGCTTTATAGCTTCTTGTGAGAGGGAAAATCACATCTTACCTTGTGTATGTTAAATTTACTGACACTGGTGAATTTCATGTAGATTTGGGCCCTTACAGACTCGATTTTACTGCAAGTGGTCGGCATATGCTAGCTGGTGGTCGAAAAGGCCACCTTGCTCTCGTAGACATGATGAATATGAGCTTAGTTAGAGAGATCCAGGTCTGATTTTTTTTCTTTTATATTTCATAATAATCTTAAGCAGTGCTTTATGATTTTGGGCCTCAACAGAAGTTGATGATATCTGCAGGTAAGAGAAACAGTACGTGATGTTGCATTCCTGCACAATGACCAATTCTTTGCAGCTGCACAGAAGAAGTATGTATAATTCAGTTCTAATAACATCTCATCTTCTGTACACTATGTCAGAGTGCTTGGTCTAACATGTTCTTAATAACTCGTCAAATCTTTACAGATATGCTTATATTTATTCGAGAGATGGAGCTGAACTGCATTGCTTGAAGGTAAGTTTGATGCGTTTCGGTTGGTAAAAAAAAATGTAAATCTTATGCCTAGTGTTGCTGGTTAATGACTTTTAAAATTTGTCTATCGCAGGAACGCGGTAAAGTGGACAGGCTTCGGTTCCTTAAAAACCATTTCTTGCTTGCATCAGTGAACGAACTTGGGCAGTTGCATTATCAAGATGTAACCCATGGTGGCATGGTTGCTAGCTTCCGAACTGGTAAAGGCCGGTCTAAGGTAATGGAAGTGAATCCTTACAATGGTGTTGTTGCCTTGGGACATTCTTTTGGAACAGTCACAATGTGGAAACCTACGAGCCAAGCACCTCTAGTCCAGATGCAGTGTCACCCTGGACCGCTCTCCTCCGTTGCGTTTCATCCCAACGGCCATCTCATGGCTACGTCGAGCAATGAGCGCAAGATCAAGATTTGGGATTTGCGTAAGTTCGAGGTGGTTCAGACTATTTATAAATTCCATGCGACAACGATGAGTTTCAGCCAGAAAGGTTTGCTAGCAGCTGGGACTGGATCGTATGTTGAGATTTTGGGAGATTCCACTAGTGGCTCTTCACATAACTATAGTAGATACATGAACCACTCGATGGTGAAAGGTTATAAGGTCGAGAAGGTTATGTTCAGACCGTACGAGGATGTTCTCGGGATTGGTCACTCGATGGGTTGGTCTAGCATTCTCATCCCCGGGGCTGGAGAGCCTAACTTCGATTCTTGGGTGGCGAATCCGTTTGAGACGTCGAAGCAGAGGCGTGAGAAGGAGATTCATTCGCTTCTTGATAAACTTCCGCCTGAGACGATCATGCTCGATCCTTCAAAGATTGGTGCGATGAGACCCGCGAGGAGGAAAGAGAAGCCAACGACGGGAGAGATTGAAGCTGAGAAGGAGGTGGCGATAGAAGAAGCAAAGAGCACTGAGCTGAAGAACAAGACGAAAGGAAGGAATAAGCCGAGCAAGCGGACCAAGAAGAAGAAGGAGATGGTGGAGAATGCGAAGCGGACATTCCCGGAGCAAGACAACAATAGCGCTCTTAAGAAGAGAAGAATCGGTGAAGGTGAAGATGCTGCGGCAGAGCTACCATCGAGTTTGAAAAGGTTTGTTCGAAAAAACTAGAAATGTGATTGTGAAACTCAGACAAAAGTGGATACGTTTTGTGGCAATGTCCGAAGATTTTGTGTTGCTTTGCATTTGCTGCAAATGACCAATTTGATAAGACGTTTTCTTGACCGAGTGAAGAATTTGTGTTTTTGAATTCAAAGCAATTTATCTCATTGTGCCAATGTGAAAACCAGACAAAACCTCATATATTGACACCAATCAGATAATTGTAATTGATTGGTCTCACACACTAGCAAATACAGAGAATGATAAATCTTACATGATTACACTTTAACTTGAGTTCCATAGGAAATTTCTCTTATGCCAAAAATGATTAAGAAAATGGTTGTATTACTGCACTCCTATTCAGTCTTCAACATTGGTTTGTATGATTTTGTCTGTTACATACAATTGTCCAAAGATATGTAATTAGTCCTACAAAAATAAGAGCATCACAATAAAGAAGTGAAACAAAGGTTTTTGAACACAAGGAAACAGCAAGGTCCACAAGACAAGATCCGCAGACAAACATAGCAAAGTCGTAGCATAAAACAAATAAAAAAAAAACAGCCGAGAGTCATTTATTAATATTTCTTCAACAGATTGATTGATATATATATATAAGCAAATGAAGCTCTTAAATCGCCAAGGCTTTCATGCTGCTAGCGGCATAGTCAGGTGCTCCTTGTACCTGTGGCCAAGTTTTGCAGTCCACTCCTTGAAGCAAGAAGCCATGTTTGCTTTCCAGGTCCTCAAGGCAAGACCTGATTACAGGATCAACAAAGTCAGCAGCACTATGAACATCTAATCTGTGAGGGACTGTGCAGTCTTCCTCAGCCAGGACACGTTGCTGCATGACCGTCTTGGTCAAAGGAGTAGCAGCAGCAGGAACATCAATCTCACCATCATCATCTTCCAAACCCGCCATGTACTCCCTGATCTCTTCGAGAAGGGCCAGGCTTGGAACACACCTCATTGCAAGAGTGTAGAAGACCCCAAGAGCATCCACTTTGATGCGCTTGCACTTGTCCAGTGAATCACAATCATCCTTCTTCAGCAGCTGCACAAAGTCATCGGCGATTCCGTCAATGACTAGCCGTGAAGAAATGAGTTGGTCTCGAGCAAGCATCAAGTCGTTTACATGGAAGCGCTCATGGAGAAGGTCACCATCGTACTCGGCGGGAAACTCTTGCAAAACATTAGAGAGCTTGCTCCGAACGCTCTTCATTGCGGACCTAACGTTCTGAACATATACGTGACGATAAGATTTTTTGAATTTTGGGACAATAATGGCTCGTCGCTGATGCTCCCTCAGAGAAAGGATATCTTGAAGAAAAAAAAACTTTTTGTTCGGAACCACACTCATCTTCTTGAAACTCTGCTTCTCCATCTCTCTGCACAAGTAGCAGTCAAAAAACAACACGAGTTACTATAGTTCAAATTCTAGGGACGTGAAGGAGAGATAAGGAAAAAACAAAAAAAATAGTAAAACCCCAATCAACCAATTCATGTCTATATGCACCGAAATTTTCAATCTATTCCTATGCAATTCTGATGACACAAATCAAATCTCTGCTCCCACAAAGGTTTTTCAATCAAAGGCTTTACGACAAAATCTAGGTCGAACTTTCTACAGCAGAGCGTTTACGCATCAGGTCCATCAATCTATCTACGCCGAGATCTATACAAATCCTACGGAAAGAAACTACGACTTGAGAAAGATAAACTTACAAATTACAGATACAAGGAGCTCGCTTGAGGGACTTTGCGAGGGACGAGAGAGGCGCAGTAGATGAAGGGAACTCTTTCAGTATCCGTATTTTACCATTATTTAGGGATGACGATTCGACATATATCAATAATAATAATAATTTTAGAGAAACGTTGTCAATCGTCAAAGGAACGGATGATTCTTATCTCGTTTTCCCACTTCATGTTCTCTAGTTCGAACCCCCTCCATTACCATTTTAGAATTTACGTTCCTTTTCTTAATTCTTCTTAAGGAATTATATGTAGAAATCCCGAAATTTTATCATTTAATAACTATACTGTTACGGTTTCACGATCTTTAGGTTTCAAATACTATACAGTATATTAAAAAAAAAAACTTATTTGATAGACGTTTTCTAGCTAATGTGTGATCCCTAAGAATTTCAATCACATTTCAGTTTTCAAAGCAATTGATCTCATGGTTGGTATGTTTTTCGAAGTTGATTTTCAACTAATGACTAGGGCAGACAAACCTCTAATTCCTGAAAGCAGTAGAACAAATATGGTTTTGCCGTTTGACACCAATCAAATAACAATTATTGATTGGTCTAAGTCTCAACCACTAGCGAATACAGAGGAATGATAAATGTGATAGTTATGATCCCTTACAATCTCGTAATACAGATTTTCAACTCCTTCTGCTTACATTCAGAAAATTTCCAAAGCATACTTGATTATACTATGAACTGCAACATCTTGTGGTCTCTGCAAAATTAAGACTTGTGATGATAAGACATCAACAACAAACTAAAACATATATGTAAACATGCATGATCTTTTTGTATCTTACCTGTCCAGCATGGCATGGTAGTTTTGGATCAGCACCAGCATTAATCAAACTGTTCAGTATGAGGGTTTGAGTTTCAGCACTTGTCTCATGGCTTGTAACCGCATGGTACACAGCCTAAAGCATAAAACATACAGAGATTAGGAGAAGTAGAGTTTAAAAAGAGAGAAAACAAAAAACAAGTTAAACTTACTGTTTTCCCCTTGTAATCCACGATTTTTGCATCGGCTCCTGCACCTAAGAGGACATCAAGGACGTCCAAAGACTCTCGCTGGCACAGCATGTGAAGAGGAGTCCGCCCTTTCTTGTCTTTGGCATCAGGATGCGCTCCCCAAAGAAGAAGAGCCTGTTACAATCATTCGTTAGGTAATATTATTGAACAACGAGAAACCAAAATAAAAAGTGAAACATACCTGAACATATTCGATTCCATTTTCCATCATGCATGCCCAGTGTAGGTTTGTACGTCGAGTGATGTCGACGCATAAGTTGGGACGAGCACCTCGACTGAGAAGATACTGTGGTCAACCATAAATGATTACTTAGTTAAGTGTATCAGTATTCCATCAATTTCTATTAAACAAAACAAAAGCAGACTATTTACACTTACCTGAAAACACTCCAAGCTGTTATTTTGAAGTGCAAGTGAGAGAGGAGAATTTCCATCAAAATCAGATTTGGGGACAATTTACAAAAAATGAAATTGAACACAAAAAAAAGGGTACAACATTGACCTTAGCACATTGCTGGAAATTTAGTATGCATGCCAAATGTAAAGCTCTTTCACGGTTGTTGTTCTCGGCCTCTGGTCGGGCACCATTTTCAAGAAGCATCTGTCAATAATACCATTACCATTAGGCAAGTGATGTGACTAACTAACTATATCTTAATTCACACGTACGAAAAAATACTAACCTCCATGAGGTAAACAGAGTTAGCAAGACACGCACAATGGAGAGCCGTGTTCCCATTCCGATCTCGAGATTCAAGTGCTGCTCCACTGTTTATTAGAAGCTGTCATGAAGGTATGTGTTAGTATAAGGTGTAAACTAAGATCTAAGAAGAGGGAGAAACAAAAAAGGAACCTGAGCAGCCGGAATGCAAGGACCGCTGCAGGCAATGTGAAGAGGTGTTTGTTCCTGGTCATTTCTAGCCTCCAAAGAAGCTCCTTGTTCGATTAGAATCTCAAGAAAAGGAACATGGCTATATTCTCTGCTAGCGATGTGGATCAACCGGTTTCCTTGTGTATCTGAGAGATTGAAAGCGGCTCCACTCTGTAGGAGAATCTGAAATAAAGGAAAGGTGTATGGTTATGGTAAATTAGAAGAGAATCAGGAGCTTATGTGAAGCTTCTTACCCTGAAGCAAGCAACGTGACTGCGGTCCATTGTGATGGCAAGAGCTCGTCCCAGATCATGGCTCCTGCTCGGGCCGTTGTGAAGATTTCCTGTTACATCGAAAAATGGGATTAGTTGTTCAGAATAACAAAACGAGAATTAAGCAAAAGGAGCTAAGAACATGGTACGCACCTATTGCTTGTTGCAACGCTTCGAGGTCTCCAGCAGTGGCTGCAGCATTGAGAGATGCAACGGTGGGATCCATGGTCCAGAATCCACACTGAAATTTTAGTCTCATTTAGGCATTTGGTCGAACAGTTTACAGGCTGAAAAATTTGACAGATAAAGTAATCGATGCAATCATTTAATTTTAAACAATCAGTTTCTCTGTAATTTAGTTTCTGCGACCAATACTCTCAATCCCCGAGTTCCGAACAAAATCAACGAGCTCAGAAAACGCTTAAATCAGCACAGTAATTCACGGAATGAGGCATATCTAAGAAAATTCCCGGAGCTAGCAGAAAACACTAGCTCGAATCAAGAGAAATAACAATACGTGCCTTTAGCTAACTAGAGGAATCACAGATAAGAAGAGAGACGAGAAGATGTAGAGAAGGGAGAGAACTCACAGTCACAGGTCACAGGTCACAGAGAAAAGCTGCTTCCTCGTGCGGTGGGATGACGGAAATGTCTAGCTTTCGTTGAGGTCTAGGTTTACGCAATATAGATACTAAAGCCCTAATCGCTGATGAATACACTGGTATGTTTATGGAGGCATTTCGGCGAACAGAGGTTCCAGTGGAAGACGAAGGTGGAATCAGAAGAATAAGGAATATAGCGGCCTTTTTTTAATTACTTTTGGGAATTGTTGGCCCCTCAACGGTTTAACATGACAAAAGGGTCTGATGTTTTAAATTTAAGAGATGTCCCCAATTTTCCAAGTGCCAAAAAATGATTAAGAAAATGGTGTATTATTGCACTCCTATTCAGTCTTCAACATTTGTTTTTATGATTTTGTTTGTTACATTAAAGTTTAACTGAAGGAAAGATTTGTAACCATTGATTGACACAACTTATAAAATCGGCAAAACAAAAATACAAGATGATTATTTAAGGTTAATCAAAGAAAATTCTTATTTAATGGTTCGTTAGCCAAATGACTCTCTACTCCTCTAGGTCCATTGGTCCGTAACATCTTGAATTAATGAACATTAAACTAAAAGTCATTAATTGTATATACAAAAATAACAAAAATTGGAATTTTATTGAAGAAGAAATGATGAAGAAAGTGTCACATTCCTCCGATTCTTCTTCTTCACCTCCCCTTCATCGAATTCTCCTAGTTTCTCTCTTTTCTTTTTCGTCCTTTTGAAATTTCTCGCATTTCTTCGAGAATTTTGAAATTCGAAACTAAGAGCCTGAAAATAACATAAAGCTTCAACATCATCCCCTTCGTTAACCGCATAGATCCAACGGGTCTCTGATTTTTTAATTGTGATGGGTCTCGTCAACATGTAGAAGAAAGTTGGGAGATGTTGACAATGGAGAAAGAATTTGATTCAAAGCTTGTTCTTCAAGGGAATTCATCAAATGGTGCAACTATATCCAGAAGCAAGAGCTTCGCATTCAAGGCTCCTCAGGAGAATTTCACCATTAAGGATTTCGAGCTCGACAAGATCTATGGCGTCGGCTCTTATTCAAAGGTTCTCTATTCTAGTTTCTTACGAATTTCATTTCTTCTGCATTTCGGTTTTTGATTCATGAACCAATTCACACGATTCTCTTCATGAATTTCCGCAATCTGGTACTTGTTGGTTGATTCATTTCCGCAATCTTATAGTTTTTTGGTGGGAATTAGGAAACTTGTTCATAGTTTAAGCTGGATTTGGCTTAATGGATGATTGAATCAGGTTGTTAGGGCGAAGAAGAAGGAAAATGGAGCTGTGTACGCGTTGAAGATCATGGACAAGAAATTCATCACCAAGGAGAACAAAACAGCTTATGTCAAATTGGAGAGGATTGTTCTTGATCAACTCGAACATCCAGGGATTGTCAAACTCTTCTTTACATTTCAAGATAATTTCTCACTATGTAGGTAGTTTTTACACATACGGCTTTGTTCGTCACACCACAAAATCTTGTTCTCTCTCTCTCTGTGATTGTGAATGGATCTTTGTCCTTTTGTAGACATGGCGCTTGAATCTTGTGAAGGTGGGGAACTTTTCGACCAAATCACAAGAGTAAGATACTATTCAGAATCTTGGAGATTTGGTTCTTGTTCTCAAAATGTAGTTTGCATTATGGTTCTTTTTGTTTTTGGCAGAAAGGTCGTCTATCAGAGGATGAAGCTCGGTTCTACGGTGCAGAAGTTGTGGATGCTCTTGAGTATATACATAACATGGGACTGATACATCGTGATATAAAGGTAGCTTTTTTTCTTTTTCACATATCATCTCTTTTTAGACACGCCAATGACATTGTTGCTTACATTTTTTTCCTTGGATTTTGAACGAGTAGCCGGAAAATCTGTTACTGACTTCAGATGGACACATTAAGATTGCTGATTTTGGTAGTGTAAAGCCAATGCAAGACAGCCAAATCACAGTACTTCCTAATGCAGCTTCTGGTAATATGATCCTTAACTATAAATTCTTGAGCTAAGATTCTGGTTTACGCCTTTCTATAGACTGTGGTGACTTATCTCTTATGCAGATGATAAGGCGTGTACTTTTGTTGGAACTGCTGCATATGTTCCTCCTGAAGTTCTCAACTCTTCCCCTGCAACTTTTGGGTAAGAAAAAACAAACTTTAACCACTATGTGATGAGTATATGGAGCTTTTGGTTTTGGAGATTACTACATGTCTCTTTACTTAGAACAGTTTTATGTGGTGTTTGTGGAACATTATTCAAACAGAAATGATCTCTGGGCACTCGGCTGCACTCTGTACCAAATGCTTTCAGGAACTTCTCCATTCAAGGATGCAAGTGAATGGCTGATTTTCCAGAGAATTATAGCGAGAGATATAAAGTTTCCAAATCATTTCTCAGAAGCAGCAAGAGACCTCATCGACAGATTACTGGTAAGAACATGCTTCACTTCTTACCCAGTCTTTACTAGATCAGGAATCATGAATTTAACTCAAAAAGTCATAATCATAATCATCATCTGTTTTTCGTTGTGGCTATGGTGCTCTCTCAGGATACAGATCCAAGTAGAAGACCAGGAGCCGGATCAGAAGGTTATGCTTCTCTCAAGAGACATCCTTTCTTCAAGGGAGTTGACTGGAAAAACCTAAGGTCACAAACTCCTCCAAAACTAGCTCCAGATCCTTCGGTATCTACACTACCTCCTTATTATATAAAATGTTCCCGCATTGGGCTTCCCTTGATCCAGTTTTGTTCTTTTGCAGTCTCAATCAGCATCTCCCGAGAGAGACGGTTCTCCATGGAACCAAACACATGATGGACACGGTGGGTTCAATTCAAATTCTGAATCCTCAGGTTCCATAACCAGGCTTGCCTCCATAGACTCCTTTGATTCAAGATGGTGAGAGACAGTATTACTAGGCTTTTACTGTTTCTTCCATTGGCAAAAACTCATTTTTTAGAAAAAAAAAAGCGAACCAGGTTTTGTGATGTTGGCTTTATAACAACAGGCAACAGTTTCTTGAACCTGGAGAATCGGTTCTGATGATATCAGCAGTGAAGAAGCTACAGAAGATCACAAGTAAGAAGGTGCAGCTAATACTCACAAACAAACCGAGACTGATCTACGTAGACCCATCAAAGCTTGTTGTGAAAGGGAACATAATCTGGTCTGATAACTCCAACGACCTCAACGTTCAAGTCTCAAGTCCTTCAAATTTCAAGATTTGCACTGTAAAACACCATACAATTCCCATGGCTCTCACCAGCTTTCACTTCTTCTTCTTTATTTCTTGGTGATGAAAAATTGACTGTTTGCTTCTTGTTGCCATTTTGTATGTTTTGCAGCCAAAGAAGGTTTTATCGTTTGAAGACTCGAAACAACGATCTTTGCAGTGGAAAAAGGCAATCGAAACTCTTCAAAACCGTTGATGTCAATTCATTTGTTTTTTTTCTTTTCATTTTGTTTCTTGTCTTTTAAATTCAATCGATTAGCTACATTACATCTCGTTTTATGCATGTAGAAGAAGAGCCTTCTCTTCTCTGAGAACGTTTCCTCGGCCATATAAGTGTTGCACTAATCTGTTCACCTAACTCAGTTTTGAAACCAGTTTTTTTTTCTCTTTTCAGTTCAGTTTTTTTGATATATGACAAGAGAAAGTATTTTAGTCATTAATTAAGTTTTGGTTCAGTTTCTTAAGCTATTATTTCGGGTATAGCTTATAAGAGCTCATGCCTGATTCAACTTCTACAAACTCTTCAGAGATTATACGAAGTTTGTCCATTTAGACTCTCTTTTACATGAATTTCCTTAAAATCACCCAATAATTAAAGGAAGACGAAAATCGAATAATATGATACTGTACATCACTTTCAAACTTTATTAATTTTTAACCAAAAAGAATCATAGATCTAAAACAAATAGTAGTGGTTAAGAAAAATAAAAAATAACATGGAGATATGTATTAGCTCTATACATTCTCCTGCTTTTTAGTTTTTACTTTTAGCTATACACAAAGTAAAGATCAGAGAGAGAGACTCCCCTGTTCCAAAATCTCAGGGTGTCAGTTTATACCGTTATGCTCCCGCCTTTTTTCCTTTGACGGTCTTTAATTCAAAGACTCTCATTGGCTTTTTATTCTGTTAGAAAAATTACAGCTTCCTTTGGTCTTTTGTTGAATTTCTTCATTCGGATTGGAAATAGCTGTCGTGGATGCAAAGCCGATCAAATGCATCAAAGTTTGCTTTTAACCCGACAAACTGACTTCCGAGATGAGCACATCCAGCTTCAGGCCATCGACAAACTCCGTCTCTTGTCCGCAACGGACACAAGGCTTCGCAAACTCGTCCTGTCGGGTTTCCGGATCTGTTCTCTTCAGACATTAGCGAGATTGACACAGAAACATCCGAGTTGTTCCCGTGTCTGTCACGCCTCCTAGGATTAGTATTCTCCAGAGAGCTTGTTCTTGAGTCATCTTCCACATCAGATGTGGTGAAGTTAACCTTGCAGCCGAGTGATTGCACCGCTCGGGTCAAAGCTGCGTATTCCTTGGTGGCTCGGTTAGCGGATTCTCTAGCGGACCAGCTCAAACGCCGTTCTCTTAGCAGCTCTGCACTTAATGACTCCATTGCGAAAGATATCTCGTCCACTCTTCTTTCTGCTGCTTCTTTCTCCTGTTTCGAAATCAAGTCAGAATGTGAAATCTATCAAGAAAAGGGATCAGGTAAGAAAGATGAGTTACTTTACCTTTTGCGTTTCGGAATACTTCACTCTCATGGCTCTACACTGGACCTCGATGTCTGCAGCTTTAGCTTCCTCGGGACAAGCCCACCGGAGATGGAACTGGGGCCAAAGCGTAGGGGCTAGAGATGCTGCCGGAGGTAACAATGGGCCGTCGTATTTCAAAGGGTCATAGAAAGGGTTACAATGGACATGAGAAGTTGCATTAAATGAGCGTAGATCAGTCAAGTAGGCCCAAAGGCACCCACATGCTTCAGAGATCCCACATTGCTGCCTCTCTTTTTCACTGTAAATTACATTTAGCTCACATATTGGTCAAAACATAATACAAAAATTGGTTTCACAATCACTTTAACTTTGTAGCTTACCTGTTGCATAAGAAGTTCCCAAAACGACATGAAAGCAAGCAATCCATGAAATCTACAAGGAAAGTCTGCAATACCAAATTTGAAGGCCAATGAGTAACTGAAAGAAAGTTGAACATGAAAATGTCAGGGAATGTGTTAAGCCTTCATACATACCGGAGAAAACTCAAAAGCGCAAGGATACATTCGCATTAGCTGTGAAACGCTGTCAACCCACTGCAAACACATACATGTGGAAATAGTATAAGCTTGTTTGTCTGCTAAACCATTGAAATAGATCTAAACAGAAGAAAAAGCTGCTCGCTCACCTGCGTAAATATAGGTGAGTAATTGTTTTGCGCATGGGAAGAGCTTGAGGATTGTGAGGCTGCTGATCCTGAAGACTGACGCACAGGAGACGAAGGGAAACTTCCAACTGAAGTAGACTGCCTTGGTAAGTCGAAATTACCAGGACCTGATATGTTTGGCATTCCTACACGATCCGAAAATGGGTGACCAAAAGCAAGCCAATCTTTTTCGATAAGAGCCTGATGTGATGTCAATGAAAAATATTACATAAGACAAGGGTGAAAATAAACAAGAACCTAGGAACACCAAAGTAAGAACAAGGAATACCTGAAACCCAGCAAATGTCCTGTAGTATGGATCAAGCATTAAGCATGCAAGAGAAACCAGCTGAGTTGTTCTGTCCCATCCATCACTGCGCAATGACATAGACTATTAGGAGTCATGAAATAACAAAAGATAATAGTTTAAGCTTCCATTTAAAACAGACTCATCTTCATCATATCAAAAAGATGGAAACTGGTATCCGAGTAAACAGAATGGTGGTGATGTAAATTCAAGATAGCTAGCAAACCTGCAGTGCACAAGAACCGACGCCGACTCCATTGCAACACGTGCGGCGATCCATGCAGCACCAGCTAAGACGTTCTGGATGTGTATCAACCAAGCACTGTCTCCAAGTAAGGATACAGAAGCAGACATACTACTAAGATTACCTCCTCCCCAAGTCCAACCACCGTGTCTCTGCAGATTCCACGCATACATATATCTTAATGATGAGGAGCATAAGTAAGAAACAAAACTATATAACAAATCATAGTGTATCCTCTAATTGAACTCTATCAGAAAGTTAATATCATAAATTCACTGTGCTTTTAAATGAAGTTTTCATCAACTTATAAGACTCCAAAGACCTCCTCAACTTTGATAGAACAAAGGACATCCATTTCATTGCTGAGCCTATGAGCCTATTTTAAGGTCACGCCCTATTGAACTTATCATTGGTGTGTGAATGGAAAAGTTTAGTATCTATACCAACTTTAACTACAGAGAGTTCTTGGATATTCAGTACTCACCAAGAACGATGATCTCCCATCAGATGATGTTGTACCGTGCATATCTAAATAATCTCTAAGTCGAGAATAGCTCTCCCTCATCGCATGTATGTTGTCTATGCCAAAGAAAACAACCTGAAAAGGAAAGAAAACACTGTCACTAAAATCAAGCAATTTCAAAAGATCAAGACTTTGAGAATCAAACCACAAGAAAATCATTTACTGACTGGAGACTGGAAATAATTTGAAGATGATTCTGATCCGCCTCCCATCGCTCCGTTTGCTAATGCATTTTTCCTAGGTCTCGCATCAGCAATATAAAGCTTCCTGTCAAGCAAAACAAGATCAGATAAGTGCATCTATTTTAATATAAACCCTATGGAATAAGTGTTAATCTCCCTAAGAGTTAACCGGATCAAGAAAACGTCATAAGCTCACCTTCGTTCTCCTTTACCACCAGCTAACTGGGTGCAGAATGCAGCAACAAGTTTTTCATCAAAATTACTGTCAAAACAAATCAAACTTCAGAACCTATCACTTCAAATACTTTGAAATCCAAAAACTAAAAACTAGACTATTATCCAAATGCATCCTCATGAAACTGGAAGTCTGATATACCTCCTCATATTCATCATAAGACCCACTAAAGGTTGTGACGAGCGTGCAATTACAGCTCCACTACCTGCACTCGAGACCAAAATCAGCATGTCAATATGGAAGCAATGCCACCAAAACTAAAACGGAAGCAACCAGAATATCTGCATCTCTACCTGGCTGACACCAAGTGATCACAGGTAAGCGACATTTTGCCCGGAAAGAACACGCCTGGAGTAGCTCTTCATCACTATCAGCAACAATCATATGTTTAGTTTTATTTTCTATCATTACTCGCTAGAAAGATGGTCTAGTGTCCTACCTTATAGATTTTGGAACCATGAAAGCAAATGGATAACTCTGGCACAAGTTATAATTGGAGTTCAAGTCACTAATCCGCCACAGCTCATTTGACAATGTGAATGATCCATCTTCAATCATATCCATTGATGCACGTACAGAACTTCTCCCGAGAAGACGGAAATATTCATTAAGCAACCTCTCCTTTGGGTTTGCGTTACCAAATCTGGAAGGCCCGCAAGCAAAAGTATAAAGATCCCATACTCTCTCCGGCTTGCTACACCTCAGTAATGCATCAAACACAGTACGCCTCTGCAAAAAAAGTATGATCATAAAGTCCATATTCATATGTCAGCATAAGAAGAAGTGAGAGCTTCACTTCACCTGCTTGGTTTTAGCACGAAAGCCATAAACAATTATCCTCATGTCTTTCCCTGCAAAATGCAAGTGATTTACAGCATGTATTGTCATTTTCCAAGATAATATTCATACGTCAAGAATCAAGAAGAAAAACAAAACATACCAGTGACCTGTAAAAGACGTCTCGGTGGATTTTTGTCAGCCTGACGGTTGTTTGATTGAACTTTCAGCGCCTATGTATGTCATACAAACAACAGCATTAGACCTCACAGCCGAACTTTTTTACTAATTATGACATTAGTTATGTATAGCAACTGACCATTTTGTTAAACTTCTCAATAGTTGCCAATGGGATTGTTCCAAGTGGAATGATCTTTCTTGTACCTTCACTCTTCACAAAAGAAGAAAACAAAGAATCTTTGCCTTACGATGCACGCACTTAAATGTTATACACAAACAGAGGAAAAGAAAATATAAGCATACCAAAAACAGAATGCGGAAATTTGTCACCAGCAAGGTCCCTGCCTCATCTGTGTTAATAAGGACAACTCCATAGCCCTGTAAACAAACGTCCATAATCAGATAAAAGTTACAAAAACATAATTTTCAACAATACTATCATCATGGACAAATGCCACAACCGATTCTGGATTTTCTGAATACCGGATATGGTAAATTGGTAACAATTCCAATTCGAATGAAAAAAAAACATCACTTTGACTAACTCTGATG